ATTGACGACTTGAAGACACACAATGCAGCAACAACAAATAAACGTGAAGACATGAAGGAAGACAATTATATATAGCTGCTTCCCAGTTTTACCTCCTGTTTTTCATTTTCTTTTTTATGCAGAGCCTGCTAGGAGGAGTTGCTGAAAGCAGCAATATTTGGGGAAGTGTCAACAGGAGAACGCATAATTGAATCATGTGTGCTTGCCCTGCTCAGCAAAGTTCCGCAAATATGTCTTCTCTCAGGAATTTTTGCCTTCCTTTCCAGCTGGGATGAGGCGCCACTTTGGACAGCGGTATTCCTTTTGCTGGAACAACACCGAAAACAAAACAAATCCAGTCCTTGGCTTGCTTAAAGTCCTGGCTGGCAGAACTGGAACCAATGCATATGTTGAACATTGTGTTCCTTTAGGTTGACAGTCTCTTCCCAAATTCATCCCTCACAAACCCAATGAAGGAGTGTTGGGTGGCTGGACATAACTGGCTACCTTTGGAAAGATGGCACCAAGATACACTGTTTACTTACACATGCATAACTATAAAGGTGCATCTATACAGTAGAATTAATGCAGCTTGACATCACTTCAATTGCTGTGGCTCAATGCTATGGAATCCTGGGGGTTGGAGTTTTGGTGAGGCAACTATACTATTTGACAAAAAAGACTAAAGACCCTGTACAATGACAACTTCCATAATACAAAGTCTCCTTCTTCCTGCACCAACATGAATGATCAGGCTCCCTTCCCTTTTCTTGTCTGGACTGTGGGGTTAAATAACACGAACTATCATGTGCCAGAAAAGCAGAAATATAAATCCTATTAAATATTCCACCAAGTGGTTCCCAAAACCAGTTTCCTTACATAGATTTATAGTAGGTCCCTGGAATTTGGCTTTTCTGTGGATACCAAAATTTGTGGATGCTCAAATCCTGTTATATACAGTGGCATAGTATGATGGTGTCCCTTATGTAAAATGGCAAGACCGAGCTTTAAAAATTGGGGGGGAAATCAAGCTATGGATGATTGTATCCATGGATGAAGAATCTGTGAATGCAGAAGCTGACTGTATACATTACATTTATACTATATGTTTGTATAACTATAACGCATCTAAAAGATACACGAAGTCCCTTCAACGTTTAGTGTTGTTTTTCTTATTTGTGAAGTTGGCTGTTTAGGCCGAAAGCCACTAGATGGGAGTCTGCACCATTACTTTTGGGATAAATGTTGTTTACATTCTAGATTTAGCAACAAGGACAGGACAAAACAGCTCTCTCCTGCTTAATCTTTAGAATTGTTTCTCTCTCTCCAAGGTAGGTAACTCCCCATAAACTGTGAAGTTAGCTGTTATAGGAAGCAGTAAGAGATCAGAGCTTTAAAACAAAAACAAACCCAAAACGCTCTATCAATATGTCAAGGCCTGAGAGGGTCACATTCCTGGAGACTGAAATGCATTTCAAAGACTCAAAAGCACAGATTTTGGAAACATTTCAGTTGGATTTATAAATATGCTCAACTGTGACCCTTGAATTTTGTAACCCACTCATGGATCGATGCAACTAGTTTACCTGTTGTATCTACCAGACATGGCTATTGTAAGGAAAGGATGATAGCTGAGATTATGATTTTTTGTGTGTGTCAGGAGTGACTTGAGAAACTGCAAGTTGCTTCTGGTGTGAGAGAATTGGCCATCTGCAAGGATGTTGTCCAGGGGATGCCCAGATGTTTGATGTTTTACCATCCTTGTGGGAGGCTTCTCTCATGTCCCCACATGGGGAGCTGGAGCTGACAGAGGCAGCTCATCTGTGCTCTCCCCAGATTCGAACCTCCGACCCATCAGTCTTCAGTCCTGCCCATTGCTCCACTGGGGGCTCTGTTATAATGATAACAACTGCATAAAGGTCTAAATAGGTTTTGTTCATGCCAATGTGTCCTCCTGCATCTAGTGATTTCAGAATGGACCATTAGAGAGTCAGTGAATGGAGCAGACAGTCAAGGTACAAATAGGTGATTCATTTCTGGCACAGAATTCAAAGTGTCAGTTCTACCTATTTTTAAACTAGCATATTACATTCAAGACTGGAATTGCTGTTTGCCTCTCAAGTCATTTCCTATTTATGGCAGACCCTAAAGTTGAACCTACCATGGGATTTTCTGGGGTGAATTTCCCAGGGTCACCCAGTGGGTTTTCATGGTCAAGCAGAAAATCGAACCCTGAACTCCAGGGTCATAGTCCAATGTCCAAACCCAGCCAAGGAATGATGCTGAATTAACTGAGTGCATGCTACTTTTGCACTTTGGACTCAGCAGCAACTGAACTATGCTGGGGACAAAGGGGGCAAGTGGTGGGAGAATAAGAGAGAAAATTGGAGCTTAAAAAGATGGGACACTAGACGATCACTCAACACTATCTTTGCAAATCAGGACATTTGGAGAGTATGTTTTCTGTCACCTTACTTAAACAGATAGAATTCTGGAAAAATGGAAAAGCTGCATATTTCTGTGGCATTTTGATTGCGATTAACAGTGTGGATTTCAATGTGCATTGTATCCAAGAGCCCCAGATTCTAAGTATGTATTAACACTACATTTAAGTTGGTTTAACCCTCATTTCCCTCCCTGACCCTGCCTCCCAGGAAACCTGAGAAATGTCATTCAGCTGGAAAGTGCTCATGCAAATCCTTACTGTTTTGGGTTGTTGTAGGTTTTTCAAGCTATATGGCCATGTTCTAGAGGCATTCTCTCCTGACGTTTTGCCTGCATCTATGACAAGAATCCTTAGAGGTAGTGAGGTCTGTTGGAACTAGGAAAATGGGTTTATATATCTGTGGAAAGACCAGGGTGGGACAAAGGACTCTTGTTTGCTGGAGCTAGGTGTGAATGTTTCAACTGACCACCTTGATTAGCATTTGATAGCCTGGCAGTGCCTGGAGCAATCTTTTGTTGAGAGGTGATTAGATGTCCCTGATTGTTTTCCCTCTGCCATAAAGGGTTTGCCATTGCCTTCCTCTGGGGAAGAGAGAGTGTGGCTTACCTAAGTCACCCTGTGGATTTCCATGGCTGAGAAGAAATTTGAACCCAAGTTTCCAGAGTCATACTCCAATGTTCAAACCACTGCACCATACTAGCTCTCTCCTTGCGCCATCACAAATCCCACAGTTTTCCATGGGATTCCTTGAGAAAGTGATAAATTAACAATGTAGGCTGATGAGTAAGATACATCCTCCATCTTACTGATCCTAAACAGACTTGCACTCATAAATGCTAATGATGTTGCACGGTACTCTTTATTGCATCATTCCTTAGTCTGTGAGAGATGTCAGGGACAACAGGGAACAATAGAGGTGACCATGAAGGGTCAGGCAAAATCATTAAAAGCTGCATAACAAATGGACCTCCTGTAGGAGTCGCAAGTACAATTACGCCAGCAAACTTTGATTATGAAATAATTAAGTAACAAATACAATCCTTGCGAACAAGCATAAAGTAAGTAGCGAGCAAAGTCTGTGACCAAACATGAATGCCAATTAAGCAGGATACAGTAAAGCTAACGGGGGAATTTTGTTCTCTAGATCTTTCTAGCCAGGTTCTGCATGTTATGGGGAAATCTAATAAGAGCCTGGATGTAATACATCACACGCCATAATGTTACCTGTAATGCATTACAGATGGTACTCTGCATCCATAGATTCTTTAGGCAGCTGAACCAGGTTTCACAAAAAGGAGCTCCCACAATGAAAGACTTTGCAATTAGAAAGCCTTTTTTCCAATATAAAATGGAAGTATATTTATTTATTTATTTATTTATTTATTTGCTTTACTTCTATACTGCTTTTCTCAGCCAAAATGGCGACTCAAAGCGGTTTACATAATACAAGTTATCACAACAATATCAAAAAGGCAATTAAAACACATTATACATGGCATACAAGATCAAAAAACAAACCTATAGAACCTATATTACAAAAAACAAGCATTATTTTCACCTTATGGTAAATTTTGTTTAATTTTGTTTTTTTTTTTAAATATGGGCTTTTATTATTATTTATATTTGAATTAGATATGTAGGGGGCACTAAAATATTTTAAGTCCTAAGGGCCTCGAAAGGTCTTAATCTGGCCATGACACAAAGGGAAATGTAAATGTTGCTTTAAATATCTAAAAGGGAACAGTTATTCTATTTTAAATTAGTTTCCATCCTTTAAAAATCTCTATTAATATACTTAATATACTTAATATACTTGTTACAAGTACAGGTGGGCCCTGGGTTATGAACAATATAGGTTCTATAGGTTTGTTTTTAAGTTGAATTTGTATGTAAACCAAAACAGGTACATTTTTAAAGTGTAAATCTCGCTCTCTCTCTCTCTCTATCAGCGGTTCCTAACCTTTTTTTGAGCAGGGACCACTCTCCAACATTAATACCAAAAGGGTAATGAATCAGCTTTTGGCCAACTTTAGATTTGGTTTGGTTATTTGGGTACTGATTCAGAAAATTGCATTGAATAGACCACATCAGCTCTAGTTTCTGATACAGATCATATGCCATCCAGTAGTCGCCATCTGCTCACCCACAGAAAACTATATTTAAGTAGCCTTGGCACTATAAGAGGGTTTTGTGAGACCAGTTGCTCTCATTGCAATGGTTTAGTAGCTGTGAGGTCATGGACCATATTTTAGTCCTTGCAGGCCACTGGTGGTTCACAGATCACAGGTTGGGAACTCTCTCTCTCCATATATATATTCGATTTAGGAAAATTTGGCTTGTTGTGGAAACAGGATTGGTAAGAAAGCTTAAGTGGACACCTTTTCCCCATGATAATAACTCTTTCAGGAGTGGATTTCCCTCCTGAGGGATAGATTCTTATCACTTCCTGTCGTCTCACCCATTCTTAACTATGAGTTGTTTGTAAATCAGATGTTTGTTACTGGGGGACTGCTTGTAAATGATGGTGACTTAAATGACATGGCTAAATGTTTGGGTGCATTTCTGTCCTAGGTGCTCATAAGAAGACAGCCAGCAATACAATTCATCCAACATGGAATACGACTTGTACAGGAAGAAGAAATTAGCAACTGTTTTCAAGGACAGCCCTTATAAAGTGTATGTATTTCTTACCACATTGTACAAACAATGTGATATACACAGATTTATACTATAGCTTGATGACTGAGTGCAAAGGGTGGGCAATTTGTGGCTCTCTAGATATTGGAGGCCCAGGTGATGCAGTGGGTTAAACCGCTGAGCTGCTGAACTTGCTGACCAAAAGGTTGGTGGTTCGAATCTTGCAATCATGCCGGTCACATGATCTTGGCAGTGTTTACAGACAATGCTGGCTCTTTAGTTTAGAAATGGAGATGAGCACCACCCCCCAGAGTTAGCCATGACTAGACTTAATGTCAAGCGAAAACCTTTACCATTAGATATTGGCAGATTGTGATTTCCATGCATGTGTCCAGTAACAATACTAAGGAGATGGTGTAGAACAGGGGTCTTCAAACTAAGGCCTGAGGACTGGATACGGCCCTCCAAGGTCACTTACCCGGCCCTCGCTTAGGGTCAACCTAACTCTGAAATGACTTGAAAGCATACAACAACAATCCTATCTGATCAGCCAAAAGCAGGCCCACACTTCCCATTGAAATACTAATAAGTTTATATTTGTCAAAATTGTTCTTCATTTTAATTATTATATTGTTTTTAAGTGCTTTTTTACACTACAAATAAGATATGTCCAATGTGCATAAGAATTCATGCTTTTTTTCAAAATATAATCCGGCCCTCCAACGGTTTGAAGGAATGTGACCTGGCCCTCTGTTTAAAAAGTTTGAGGACTCCTGATGTAGAAGATAGGCCAGAACACATAAAAATAATGGCATCCTCTCTGTTGTTAAACCGGGAAGTTAAGGAATTCCCCAAAGACAAAGACAAAAGAGAAAGAGCCGTATGATACCAATGTGCATTTGAATACAAACACAATTTTCTACATATTGCTTTGGATTCCTTTGGGATAAAAATATTTCAGTAGATGTGAAATCCTCATCCCACCCCTGTCCCCCACTGCAAATATATATTTGAAAAAAATAACCTAATAAAATTCAACAGAATGCAATAATATTTGCAGAGTATCAGCATTCCTTAATAAAACACATAATAAACCTGTTTCGTAGCTCTTATGTTAAGACATCATTCCAAAATCCAATATGAAAACCAGGTGGATCTAGATTACTTCTGTTTCTATTGATAATATAAATAAATGGAAACCAATTCATAATAAAAGTGATGTGTTATGAACCTTTTGTGTCAGTTTTTCCATAAGAGCAAGAGGCTAGTAATTGTGATATTGATATTTCAGGCATGACCGTGTAGAATTTGCCGCACTTACAAGACGTTTGTTATTTGCCTCTGAAGAAGTAATAGACAACCCCCTCCATTTTGAAATCTGTTGGGGATCTCCTTTCAAACTGCGACCTGTAACAACAGTTTTGAAAACACATTTTCCTTCCATGCAAAGTAAGTTTATGGGGCTTCGGGTGGGAAATAAAGTGATCTAAGTCACATTGTTTCTTCTCAGATGGCTCTCCTAATATGTAACTTAATTTGTCAAAGTTATCCGTTTATTTACAAAATTCTGCAAAAAATATTCAAATCAAAAGATTTCAATTTGACACAATAACAGAAGGTGCATTTCACAAAATTAACACAGAATAGCATAATAACCATACAACCCTTGGCAGGTTGGATTACAGATCTTCCAAGTTATCATCACAAAATTCACCACAGTTTGCTCCCATGGGACTTAGGCTAAACCAAATGTACTCAGATAATCTGGAGTAAACTGCTCCAGAGCTGCCCCAGTTGCCATATGGGAATTCTATTTTACCTGCTATCATTGAAGAGCATCAATTCCTTTAAAAAGCCCAAATGGCCAGCTGGAGCAACAGTGCATTAGCACCAATGCCTTGTTGTCCTGGGAAATGCCGCCATTCTTGAACTCCAAGCAGCTCCTGGCCAAAGTTTTTCTGATGAAGCCATTTTTGGTGAGGTCACAACAGGTGATTCAGCCATGTGATCTCCAAAAGTGTCATTGCTAGGAAAGTGGAGAATGGCTTGCTCTTGAAAGAATAACCCCATTACTCTCAGAAGATCTAGCTAATGCATGGAGATGCTGGGAGTTGTGAAGGACCTCTCCAGATTTACAGCATGTCGCACCGGGATTGTGGCACAGTTGGCTGAGTGTCAGCTGCATTAAGATCACTTCTGACCAAAAGGTCATGAGTTTGAAGCCAACCCGGATCGGAGTGAGCTTCCGACCAGTTGTGTAGCTTGTTGTCGATCTTGAAAGACAGTTGCATCTGTCAAGCAGAAAGATTAGGTACCACCTATGTGTGGGGAGGCTAATTTAACCAATTTACGAAGCCATAAAAAAAAAGAATGCAGCAAGGCATGCGGGGAATGTGGAAATACTTCATCAGCATTGCAGATGGACGATGAAAGCGACAGCTCCCCTGGCAGCCAGAAAAGTTAAATAGCCTCTGACTGACTATCTGTCTATATCTGTTGTGTGTCTTTGGCATTGAATGTTGGCCATATATGTGTACATTGTTATCCACCCTGAGTCCCCTGTGGGGTGAGAAGGGCGGAATATAAATACTGTAAATAAATAAATAAATAATATGCACGTCATGATAGAGCATCCCTTATGTGGAATTCTAAAGGCTGAAATACTCTGAAATTCAAAACTGTCCACATGAGTGGCTGATATAGTGACACCATTGCTTTCTGATGGTCCAACACAAACTCTGTTACATGGAGATGTTGTACAAAATCATCTTCAAGCTATGTCTATAAGCTTTATATGAAACACTACTGAATGTCAGGCCCATCTCCAAGATATCTCATTGTGTATGTATATCCAAATACAGGTATGCCAAAATCCAAAAAATGTGAAATCCAAAATTTTTCTGGCTCACAGCATTTTGAATATTTAACCTGTATTTCTATCCTGTAATGTCTGAGCACTCATGAAGACTTGCACATTCAAAATAAATTTGTCTGTCTTGCCTACAATTCCGACATCTTAACAATTGTTCTGTCATCTTAACAATTCCGTTCTTAATTATGTTGCTTTATCAAAATATCACTGTTTTTTTTTCTATTTTGCTTATTGCTTTGTAGTGATAGAGGCAGCAAAGTTGTTAGAAACCCAAAGACTTGAGAACATTCAGCGCCAGAAGAAGCTCGCACAGCAAGTGGAGTCAGAATTCAGATGCAGGGTATTTTTGGAAAGAAGACCACTGCCCCCAAGTGGTCCCAACTAGACCTTCTTCCCATTGATGATTGTTTTGCTCCTTCAGCAATAATAGTTGTCATTTGCAGAAGCAATAAGCAAATTATTAGAGTGTTCTGCAATTACACCTGGTAACATCTAGTAAGATCATCACTTTGATGATGAAATACAGAGCTAGAGAAAGTTTTAAAATCCTAATGGTAATTATTATGGGAAAAAAACAACATTGTGCCTGTGTATATACCAGTGGTTCCCAACTTTCTTTTGATCAGGGACCACTCTCCAACATTAATACCAAAATAATGAATCCGTTTTTGGTCAATTTTAGATTCGATTTGGTTATTTGGGGTGTTGATTCAGAAAATTGCAGTGGATAGACCACACCAACTCTAGTTTCAGATACAGAACATATGCCATCCAGTAGCTGCATGGTTTCGTGAGACCAGTTGCTCTCGTTGCAACGGTGTAGTAATGGTGAGACCATGGACCATATTTTCGTTCTTGCAGACCACTAGTGGTCCACAAACCACAGGTTGGGAACCACTAGTGTAGACATAAAGACAAAGTGACTTCTGAAAATTCCTAGTGATTGTTGAAGGTTCCGGGGCAGATAGTTTAAAAAGGAACTTTTGCAAACTCTGATCATCAGGCAATTCCACATGATAGGCCAGAACTCCCCCAGACTATTGGGCTTGTTCTGTTCCCCACCTCATATTCTTCATAACTTTGGCTATAAAGATATAAAGAGTTTTCACATTGTACTTCAATTAACCATAATTTAGTACTACATCTCAATCATCAACTGTGAGTAATCACAATTTTGATTAGTGAAAAGCAATCAGCTTCATAAAACATGAGTTGAAGGTGGTTTCTTTCAGCTGGACATAATTAAAGCATGACTAATCTAAAATGGAAGCAAACATTTCTAACTCTGCCTCATGAAGACAGTGAAAGAAGTGAAGAATATGGAACATGTGAATACAATGTTCTTACAAACAAAAAATCATTCTTCGGGCTTGTTATAGGATGGTTTATGTAATTTATTTATGTACATGTACATTGTTATTGTTTATATATGCTCGTGTATTTTATTGTACTGTGTATCTTGTTGCACTATTAAGTGCTTTTGTAAGCCGCCCAAATCCCTTTTGGGAGATGGTGGCAGGATATAAAGAAAGAAGATTCCATCTGAACATGAGGAAGAACTTCGTGACTGTGAGAGTCGTTCAGCAGTGGAACTCTCTGCCCCGGAGTGTGGTGGAGGCTTCTTCTTTGGAAGCTTTTAAACAGAGGCTGTCAGGGGTGATTTGAATGCAATATTCTTTGGCAGGGGGTTGGACTGGATGGCCATGAAGTCTCTTCCAACTCTTTGATTCTATGATTCTATGAAAATTTTATATAATTATATGATTTTATTGTTCGTATCAAAAGCACATATGCTAGGTTGTTGTGTGTTTTTCAGGCTGCATGGCCAAGTTCCAGAAGCATTCTCTCCTGACATTTCACTTGTATCTATGGCGGTTTGTGCTGTTGCTTTTAGTCTCTTCCAGAGTCATACATATTTTAAGAATGTGAAGCTAGCTGTATTGCAATATTCACAGTTGGGCAGTTTTGGCTGATCCTAATAAAGAAATTACTCAACTGTGGGTATATATATTTTGAACCGAAGACATGATTGATTGTAGTGAGTATGTACTCTGGCTTACCTCCACAGGTGGCAAACATCAATTCTATTTCTAAATGAAAATTAGTCACAGCAATAAAAATACAATGGCTTGCTAGCTACACAATAAGCACTTGATATATTTTCCGAGTCCAGCTAGGAGCTATCTCTGCACAGAGGCAAGCTTGTATTGCTGATTAGCAGCAGCTCTCTTTCTTTGTCTTACCTCAACTAAGAAGGATGGAAATGGAAAGATAAGCCATGTTTCCACCAGAAAGACAGCTCAATGTTTCTGCAAACCGCTGCAGCTTGTTCTCAAAATGTGAATGCTTTAAGATTGCCTTTGGAAGAGTTCTTCCAGTTCTAAGCTGTGTTGCCTGCAAAAGTATACATTCCACTGGACAACACACATTTTGGTGCCTCAAATGTTAGCCCCATTTCTGCATGTACATATATGATCTGCTGATTCCAAAAATGGCACTAATTCCCCCCCCCCATCAGCTCTAGTTGAGATACAGAACATGTTTACTGAACATATGCCATCTTATCACTCATAAAAAACCTTAATAACCATTGTGTAAGAAACCGGAGCTGATGTGGTCTATCCAATGCAATTTTCTAAATCAGCTCCCCAAATAACCCATGGAACAGGCTTAAAAACCAAGACACCAAGATTTTTTTGTGTCATGCTCTTGGACTGTGTTATTGGTGTCCTTGTAAGATGTACCAGTGCATGTGGTGTAAAATATGGAGTATATTTTATGACAACATCCCAATCTGTGCAAACATCAATATGTCTCTGGAAAAAACAAGAGAAACCTAATTTCTTTGTACCTGTGATAAAGCATTGATTGGGAACAATGTATTTCTAGACCAGAGGTTCTCAACCTGTGGGTCCCCAGGTGTTTTGGCCTACAACTCCCAGAAATCACAGCCAGTTTACCAGCTGTTAGGATTTCTAGGAGTTGAAGGCCAAAACATCTGGGAACCCACAGGTTGAGAACCACTGTTCTAGAGTGAATCAGAAACAATCATAAACCCAACTAACTGTGTGGGTCTAGAAATTCTCAGTCCAATCTAGAAATCTGTTCTGATCATCAGAAGAAAACAGATCAAAAAGACACCAGACCAAATAGTCACATCATATTTTAAAAGTGTCCTTTTATTTACATTGTGGAGATGCCTCAGCAGTTATAAGCTCAGTCATCTGATAATTCAATATTTTTGGTAAAAGTATATAAATATATACACACAACTCTATATAAAGTAAACATAGTAACTTGTGATACAGTAAACGTTTGCTATTTTTCCTTACACTAATAAGACGTCCCATAAAGCTTAAATACTGATTTCAAGTATTTTCTATAAAAAGCTCTATTGCATTAAAAATACTGTGAAAAGACAGCTCTGCTATAAACAAACTTTAAAAACAGACTAATAAAAACGTACCTGTAAGAAAGTTCAGCAGAAAAAAATACTGTTCTTATTTCCCAGCCAACCCCCAGCATTAAAATACATTATAATGGAGGTGAGGAAAGAACCTGCAAAAGGCATTAATACTTCTTAAAAATAATATAAAAGCCTTTTCTTAAAAATCCCAATTGCTTATCAGAGTCTGAAACAGCTGCAAAAATGCAGCACTATTAAATATAAATGGTGCACAAGGATCCCATTGTTTCAAAGGGAGGAGGGGTTATAGTGGTATTTGATCCTTTATAGAAGTGGAACTATATTGGCAAAGCGAACCAATGGAAAATCTACACTACATATTTAGTGTTGGGTTACACCAGTCTAATTGCCATGGCTTCCCATAAAGACATGTGGGAGTTGTAGTTTGACAACTGTGCTGAACATCTTTTCTCAGTATGATTGATCATTCATTATAGAGTCAGTTTCCCAAGGAGGCAGCATTAATGTTAAACCCCTTGCACGAAAGCATGCCCAACAAATTCAGGAACCTCTTCTCTCATTGCCCCCTTTAAAGCATATGCAGCTTTAAATTTCTAGTTGGTCATTTGCTGTTCTTCTGCTTGCAGACGTTTTAGGATGTACAGAATAACTTGGTAGCAGAAAATGTACTGGTCCTGTAGGAGAAAATAGAGATGAATTTCTTGGAATAGAAATTTGTAAGGACATTAAAACAGCTGTAGCTTAACACATATGCTGCATTGTGCAATTTTGCCCCTTTCTATCATTAAACTCCTTTCTTTCATCTAAACCTTATCTAGCTCCAGGGCACATCTGCAAAAAGGTTTTGTGGAGGGCTGAATGTCAATGCAACATGCATCCAGAACCCACAGTCCATATGTACTGATGATTTTCCCCATGATCATCACCTCTCTGGCATTCCAGATCCCCCCTATTATTGATATTCCACTTATACAGTGGTTCCCAACCTTTTTTGACCAGGAACCACTTGACCAGGGACCACTCTCCAACATTAGTATCAAAAGGGTTACGAATCAGTTTTTGGTCAACTTTAGATTTGGTTTGGGTTGCTGATTCAGAAAATTGTATTTGATAGACCACATTAGCTCTTGTTTCTGATACAGAACTTACGCTATGGGAAGGAGTGGCAGGTAGAACAAAAGGAGCAGAAATAAAATCAAATAAAATAAAAAGAGAAAGGAGGCTCATGGACCAGATTTTCATCCTTGCGACGCACTGTTGCCCGCAGTCTACAGGTTAAGAACCACTGCACTAATATAACATATGGGATATAACAAGTGGTACAGTAAAAATGCAGCAGCAAAGAGGAACAGGAACCATATGTGGCAAATGAAGAGAAATAGGTTTTCAAAAGTGCATTGAGTTTACCAAAGTCCAATACACTTCAGGAATGTATACTTTTTCATCAAAAGCAATCTGAGTAAGACTGCTTCATAACTCTGGAATATTTAGTGGTGTTTCATTCAGAAATGCCCCAGAGTTAGTAAATATACTTATGTAGGATTGCCTTTGAAAAGGAGCTGTAGTTTTGAGTTACACTAAGCTCCAACAAACTCAGATATCTTTTTGGATCTCAAAAATAAAAAGGAAATATGTTTCATGTGTTAAGTATACTATACAGCTGGGTCTGTGCCAAATGAAAAGCACAAGGAACTGCAGCAACAGAAAGCTGGTCTTTGTACATGGTTAGACTATGTATTTATCCCGCTAGTTGAGTACTATCTTAATACTTTAAGACTGGCAATAACTCTTCAAGGTTTCAGGCTGAGGTCAGCCAAGGTCTCTTTTACTGGAGAAGCTGGGATTGACTCTGGGATCTTCTGCAATCAAAACACAGATGCTACGACTGTGTTGTGTGTCACCTGGACAGCAGGTGAACCATCCCTACGGCATTTCCTGTGCAGATGGCTATATTAGCAAGCTAGCTGGATTCAGACCAGTCTGGGACTATCTGTTCCAACCAGAAGCACAGCGGCTTTCCAAATAAATCTGTTACGCTTTTCTCCCAATGACTCCTGTTCCTAGCACAGCAAAAGAGATAATCCTGATGAAGAGCCCCTTGGAACTAGAAGCCAGCATTTATGTTACAAGTCAAGGCAAACATACCGCGGTTTGCACCATGCCAGGTCTTTGCAGGCGCATTGTGCGCACTACGTCAGAGATGTCAAACTGCAAAAAAACACAAACAGAATTCAATAGTCTTGAATGTGAGAGAGCACCAATACAAAGGTGAATTGGCACTGTAGGCTTTGCAGCAAGTGGGATTGGGCCATCATTAGAAAGCTTAGAGGTGCCATGAGGGGTGAGATTTAACTATGTCCTTTCATATTTCCAGTTCTTCATAGCAAATTGAATGTTTCTATAAAACAGGCACTGCAGAAGCACATGCTCCATTGTTTCGATGTGAGCTGAGTCACAGGGACATAGCTTTTCAGAGTATGGGGTTTTCTAGTAACAACCTTCCAGTATGGCAGAAGGATCTCATCTCATCTCTCCATAGACAATTAAATACCAGAAAGCTATGGACAATTCTACATAGCCCTGCTGCTCTCAGACACAAACTCAGCAATGACGTACAACATCGCTAAGTTCTGCATGGCTGTGCTTTAAGTTTGGTGGATGATAATTGAGAGTCAAAAGACCTAAGCTTCACCTCTGGAATATAGATGGGAAATCAGATCTAGACTGATAATTATAGTGTTTGATAATATTTATAGTGGATATTTATGGTGGTGGGTTTTAATAACTATCTGTATGTGGTTTTTAGCCTAGATTTTAAAATTTGTTGAAGTTTGAAGCATATAAGCCTTGAGTTTGACGTGGATGTACGGGACTGGGTCCCCCTGTTATGATCTGGTCATCGACTGTAATAAAGTTTACTACTACTACATAGCAAATCACCCCAATATTATCTACAAATATTCAATCAAGACCAAGGTTAATAGATCTGGGTTCAGTGGTGAACATTTAGTTCAGCCTCAGAGAAAGCCTGCTCATGTCTAACTAAGACAAGCAAGGCACTTGATCTCTTTTCATATGCAAAAACATTATAGCCTCTGTTTATTTCACAAACATTTCTAAAATTGCAAACTGCCTTGCATATTCATCCAATGGTAGTGTAATGGGAATTCTAGAAGTTAGTTCTATGATAGCTAATTCCAGATTTTGGAGCATCTTCTCATTAATATGTATCAATGAAATACTGGGTCTGTCACATCTGTAAAGGGAAAGTCCAAAATGAAATAGAACATACACATAGTATGTTAGTTCAAAAACCTATGCAAAGAAGAATGAAGGGAGTCCCTTCCTTAATGTTCACTCACCTCAAGATCTTGGCTGATTAGTCCCAAGACTACGTCTATGCAAATAAGCGTCCCTGATCGTCCAATCCCAGCACTGCAATGAGTGATGATGGGCCCTGATTTGTGGATGTGCCTCATGTAGGATATAAATGTGAGCAAATCATCTGGTTGGGATGGCGTGTCATGATCTGGCCAGGCAGTGAAGTTTAAATGGGAAATACGCCGGAGTTCACCTGTCTAGATTTTAAATTAAAAACAACACACACAGAGAGAAAAAGAAAGCATTAAAGCTTGGGAGAAGAATATGAAATCTCTCCACAAAAACATAATCGGATCCTGGCAGCCTTTTTTAATGCCTTTTTCAAATGCAACCCATAGCTACTTTGCATATATAGTGGATCTATTATTTTTTGCAAAGGACCCCTGCAAAAGTAGGAAAACTGCAAATTTAAAATTTTTAAAGTAATATTTTAATCTCTCTAGGAACCTCTAGGTCCTTCTTTGTGGAGCATGACTATAGTCAAAACCTCCACTGAATGCTGACAATACAATTGTACTTTTTCATGTCAGGAGTGACTTAATAAACTGCAAGTCACTTCTGGTGTGAGGGAATTGGCCGTCTGCAAAGACATTGCTCAGGGGATGCTCAGATGTTGATGTTTTACCATCTTGTGGGAGGCTTCTCTCATGTCCCTACATGGGAAGCTAGAGTGGAGAAGGGAGTTCACACTGCTCCCTGGATTCAAACTACCAGCTTGTTGGTCAGCAGTCCTGTTAGCACAAGGATTTAAGCTATTGTGTTGCCAGGGGATCCTTACAATTGCACTGAAGGATCTAGAAATGCTGAAAAAAGTGTTCCCTCCAGCTTGCCCAGGAGAAGTTGATTACATCAAACTCACAAAAGTTAAACCTGAAAATGTGAATGGACCACTTTTCCTCTCTTGTATGAGGTTGATATGACATCACCTTCTGAAAGGCCTTTTTTTGCATAACAATTCTATGAATTCCCAACCAGTATGGTACAAGTCAAGTTCTGTTTCCTGTTCTGTCTCTAGCTGTTTTTCCATTTAATTCCAGAAAGAATTAAAGAGGTTATTATACAGGTGAGCAAAGTGTGGCTTGTGGGACATATGTTTTGGCTATCAAAAACTGCAAGCCCTGCTTGCACCAGATAATGGACATTCAAAACTATGGTCACTCACCAGCAAGCTATAGTGAAATAATAAATGTAAACCACTCAATCAAACTGCCAAGACTAAGACCAGTTTTGGCAAGGAAATCAACATGGCTTCCCATTCCTTTGGTCCTCAGCTCATTTGACATGGCCACACATTCCTCTTTTCTTGCCAGAGTTCATGTAGCAGAGCAGGAGCAGAAAAGGTTTCAAACAGGCATACTCTGCCTCTTTCCTTTCCTTGCAGTGCTTCCATATTCCTAATACTGCTCTGCTGCACAAGATGTCTATGCCAGGACACTCAGAAACATGATGAGAAAATTAAAACAGCAGGCACCAGCAATGGTCTCCTTACACTCCACAGCTATTCAAAAGATTGCTGAAAAGACCACTGAAACCACTTGACTGTCACTGGCATAGGTTTTTCTGATGGCTTCAATCTTTAACAACTACAATCCAAGTGCTAAGACAGTAGATTTCAGTATGAAGCCACATCCCAGAAGAACAAAACTGCTGCTCAGCATCTTGGCATCTAAGTAAGGTTTGCCCAGGAAGCTATTACATGCTGTGCTACACCTGGCTCATTTACCTGAATGTCCTCGAGCTTCATGTCTCTAATGACGAAGCCTTTCTGCTGTTGCAGCTTGACAAGAGAGAGCCGTAGTCTATCGCCGATCATAGTGGTTTTGCCAAGGGCTTCAGGCCAATATCGCTGACATTTGACTTTTTCCCCTTCTACTTCCTGGGTCATCATGGCTATGATGGTGCAGTTTTGTTCCCAAGTCATCTGCCAAAAGTCTGCTACAGTAGTGGGAAGGGGTCCTTGACATGCGATGTAAACATACTCCTTGCTTCCCACTGGCATCTGGATAAAGCTGGCATTGATGTAGCCACCTTCAGCTCCTAGAGGTACTCTTGTGGTGTCATCTGAGCCATGCATTGAAATGCATTCATTAGAAAAGTTATCTAAGAATATTCACCAAAGAGACAGCTACATTTGCCAACAGGTTATTACTAGTTCCTTTCTTTAAATAACCCTCCTTTAAAGTTTGGATTTCAGCCCAAACTTTCAAGGAGCTCTCCAAGTACTGAGCCCCAATCCTTCATATACGTTTGCCACCTCAAATAGCTCCCACACAGTACATACAAAAGCCTGGAGCAGAATTACCTGGAAGCCACTAACTGTTCATGCATCTGCCACAAAAGATGCTGTCCTCCCCTCCAATTTTCATCCTGAGCCCACAAAATCCCAACCCAGAGATCTATTGCATTTTTGTTGACCATTAATAGCTTCTGGCACCAAGACCTAAGTGAAATAAATTTATGTGCAAAACTGAGAGTCCTTTAAAAACCTTTAATGAAATTATTATAAATATAAAGACATAAAAATACAGGTTTGCATGGGGAAATCAGGAAATCATCATCATCATCATCATCACCATCATCATCATCATCATCTTTATTTATACTCCGCCATCTCTCCCCGAAGGGACTCAGGGCGACTTACAGGGCAATATGTTCTTATATCTGTTCTTCTTTCGGTTTTCCTTTGTTTGGCCCACTAGACACTGATCCAAAGGTTTTAAGTCATGAAGGTTCTAGAATAAAACAAGTTAAATAATCAGATAATTGGAAGAAAAGGGATATTACCCAATAGAATGACTGATAGTTTATATGATTTGAACATTTTTATTATTCTTGAGTCATGTTCAGAAATGCACAAAATAGAAAGCAATGTTTAAGAATATCCATGCCAGAAATAGTTGCATTTGTCGAAAGAGTATTACTAGTTATGTTTTGCTAACCCCCTGCCCCAGGTAATCTTCATCTGAACCAATCCCAATTTAATTGAAATTAATGCCATATCATTAATAGCATTATAATCATGCCTATTATTTTTTAAAAAATCATTTATATTAGTGCATAATAATGAACCATAACATTAAACACATTTACCAGAAATGACCACAACAATGAGAAAAAAAACAAAATTAAATAAATAGATGAGTAAATAAAATTTTGAATGATACAAATAAACAGATGATGCTGACTCCTTGTATAATGAAGGTGAGTGTAGCCTGGTTGAGTAAAAGTTCTGTAACTTTCACACACCTCTACTATTCAGCAAATCAAGGGTGGTATATGGTTCAGTTTAGTGTAGGTTTGCATGCGGGACTGAATACTCTTGTTGTGTGTCTTCAAATCATTTCTGAATTATGGCAACTTTAGCATGGAGTTTCTGGGGTTGACACTGTTTAACCAGCCCAAGGTGATTTAGTGGGTTTCCATGGCTTCCAGAGTCATAGTCCAATGCGCTAACCATAGCAACACACTGGCTCTCTAAACTGAGGCATACAGGATTGTAGCCACTGGAAGACTGTTCACTCACCTCAATCTCCTTAGAAGGGACTCCTTGTTCCAACAAACCTCGAAGCATCCGGATAGCTGACTTTAATTTGGACCCTGTGTATTTGCCCGAAGGAAGCACTTGAACGATGGGGAGAGCAGGAAACTCCTCACTTGTGACTAAAAAGCAATATGGCATAGGAAGGAGATTGATTTATTGCTGTCTATAATATTTGACACAAATAGAGAAGCACACATGACAGTGTCAGCCCATGAAATGTAGCAGTGGTTGCCTGCAACGTAGGGTGCCAGAAGCTAATTTTGATCATAGCTTTTATAAATGCTCCCATAAATAATCTATGTAGTAAACATTTCCCTCATTATTCCTCTACCTTGAACTTTTGCATTTGCTGCTAACAGCAGTTCATTCAGTTTTTCATGAACATCGGTTCATATTTAACATTTATTTATTTATCGTGTCATCCGCAACCAGAACATTGTATTACATTTCTAACAGAACAAAACAAACAAACAGATAAAAACCCCCACAAATTTTGCAAACTTGGTAGCTGATTAAATGTCCTTTGACCAGTATCTGGCCACTTAAGAGTGCCTCTGGTGTTGCCGCAAGAAGGTCCTCCATCGTGCATGTGGCAGGGCTCAGGTTGCATTGCAGCAGGTGGTCAATGGTTTGCTCTTCTCCACACTCACATGTCGTGGATTCAACTTTGTAGCCAAATTTCTTAAGATTGGCTCTGCATCTCATGGTGCCAGAGCGCAGTCTGTTCAGCGCCTTCCAAGTTTTTAAAAAAACTGTTATCGAACAAGTTATTTTCATATTTAACATGAAAATAACTTGTTCGATGACAGTTTTCAAAACACTGGAAATGGAAAAACAAAATGCAGCACAAGCAACAAATAAGCTCCTACAACCATAATGGGTTACTTCACTGACTATAGCTATAAGATACATAACTTTTTATATTAAAAAGAACCTGAGCACATATTTTACTTATGGGGGAAAGTGATAGTCCTCATGTATTTCCCTGATCTCTTTGTTATCACTGAACTTCACAGGTCATACTCCATCCACCAAATGCCCCAAATCACATCAAATCATCAAAATTAATTGAAAATTGCACTAAAATGCAGCAGCTGGGTCAATTTTAACTTTCACATGTTCCACGAAGAAATATGTAAGCTGCTACTGTATGAAGCTGCTACTAGTGCTACAGGTGCTAAGAGGCACACGTGTGCTCTCTCTTCCTGCATGCAGCTTTTCAAGGCATTTTAAGGAGGATTCCCACTTCCCAGGGAAAAAAGAGTGATTGATCTGAAGCTATTCTACCTTGGGCTTCCTTTAAGAAGTCCTCTCTTTTCTTTTGATTTGCACTTCAGGCCCTACCTGGAGTGGTGCCTCCCCTCCCCGCCCCATGCCTTTCTGCTTTGGGTTTAATGTTTCTTTAAAACTGCTTCTACTTTCTACTCTAGAGGAGAGGTAACTAGATGGTAGTAGTTTTCTGAGAATGGGGCTTTTCTTTGGCTAAGCTGAAGAAACTGGATTGGTAGAAGGAAAATGGCTAAAACGGATCCACGCACAAGCCTACTGTTTACCTTCTACAGAGGACTCCTGGTTTATTGATTCTATTGGCAATTCATCACTTCCCCACGTAATCTCATCATCATCTCCCTGACCCATCAGAGGCTGGTGAGGTAATCTTAAAAAAGAAAAAAACATGTCAGTAAATGACAAAAATATGCTCTATTTCAACCCACAGTAAAACAAACAAAAAGGAATCTTAATAGACAAAAATGGCAAAGGTTTCAAATGACAAAAGTTACAAATTAAACTGATGTCACTAGAATACTTTTTTAAAAAACATATATAACACACTATATAATTTATATGTGGAATTTATTTGATATACTGTCTCAAAAGTAAGAGTAATCTGTGGGTAATAAATGAAATTTGATCTCCTCAGCAGGCTGCATGAAAACAAATAGTGTAAATCCAATACATTAGTTATTGGTTTTATATCATCAGGGCCATATAATATCTGCCCTTCTTCGATATTAAAAAGCAACACATATTTCTAAGAATATGAAAAGGAACAATTGCTTTTTGTACAAAGATTTCTACAGAAAGAGGCCTAAATTCAACTGTTAGCCCAAACTAATAGAGACACTTATCAAAAGAATTTATGCAGATGTTGACTAATAACTTTCTCAGTTGGTCTACTCTAGAATTAACTATTGTACTGAGGCTACAATCCATTACACATTGGCATGCTTATGGCTTCAATGGTCTTAAAATAGATTACAATGTTCCCTAACTACTTCGCGGTTTGCTTATTGTGGACTCGCTGTTTTGCAGTTGTGGTAAGGAGGAGGAGGTTGCCGCCGAGTGGATGGAGCTTCCCTACTTTGCAGATTTTCACTTATCACAGGTGGTCCTAGAACAGAACACCTGCGATAAGTGAGGGAACACTGTAATTCTGTTTTGGATTGTGGCTATGAGGGTAAACTCTGAAAAGCAAAGAGAACAGAGCTTCTTCGTTGAACTTGGTGAATTATTGGAGTCAGTTATGAAATACTCTGGAAATGATTTGTTCATGATGGTATTTTAATACCATGAAACCGGCCAGATGTCTTGAATGGTCAAATAAGTAACTATGACCAAAAGTGGGCAAGCCCAGTCTGGGATATCTTCTCCACCAATAGTGTCTGTATTTGGATTTCTGGGGCTTATAAGAACCCCCTTTAAAAGGGCTTGCAGTTTGCCATATTCCACTCCTAAAATGGATGCACCTTACAGCTAGCTCATTGTTTATCTCACTGTTGCCACTGTCATACATGATACTAGGAATCATGAACCTATCCAGATGTTGCTGGACTACAACTTCTAGCTTTTCCCACCACTGCTTGCGCTGAGCACTGAAGCCCAACAACATCTGGAGGTCCACATTTTGCCCATCCTGTCCTATGCTCAGATTAAAGGATGTGCCCTGAGTCACTAAATGGACACAGAAAGTCAAAGCCAGCATTACAAATGCTTGTGTGGAGCTCCATGAATGATCTCACCTTTCAGAAGGTTTTCTGTCATTGCTATGATCTTCACAGCCATTCAGCTGAGGAGGCTAAGGGGGAAAACAGGTTAAAGAGTTTGAAATGAATGCCAAAGCATACTAGTAAAAGTGAAGGCTGAATCTGGGGTGGGTGGGAGAACAAATTCCCTTCTTTTCCATAATTGACTACTTCTAGCAAAAGAGAAGCAACTGGAAGGCTGGCAACAGTTCAGCACTACTTGTTTTGCTTCAGGACATATTTGTATAATTGCAGACACAGGCAAGACTGGTTTAGGATGGCAAATTCTGGGCACCAGCATTAAAGAAAGATATTGACAAGCTGGAACTTCTTCAGAAGCAGGAACAACTTAAAGAGTTGGTATGTTTACTGGGTTGTTGTAGGTTTTTTGGGCTATATAGCCATGTTCTAGAGGCATTCTCTCCTGACATTTCGCCTGCATCTATGGCAAGCATCTTCAAGTTGTGAGGTCACAACCTCTGAGGATGGTTGCCATAGACGCAGGTGAAACGTCAGGAGAGAATGTCTCTAGAACATGGCCATATAACCCAAAAACCTACAACAACCCAGTGATTCCAGTCATGAAAGCCTTCGACAACACATTGGTATGTTTAGCTTGGAGAAAAGAAAGCTGAGAGGGGATATGATAGTCATATTTAAATATTGGAAAAGGTGTCACATTGAGTCCCTCCATTCTGCTGCTCTAGAGACTAGGACATGGAGCAATGGATTCAAAATGCAGGAAAAGAGATTATACTTGAATATTGGGAATAATGTCCTAATGGTGGGAGCTATTTGACAGTGTTATGGAGTCTTTGTCACTGAAGGCTGAATGGCCACCTGCTGGGAGTGCTTTCATTGTGCATTCCCACATGATGGAATGGGGTTGGATTGGATGGCCTTTGTGGTCTCCTCCAACTCTATGATTCTATGATTTTAATTAATACTTGTCCCACTTCATGCTAATGTAGTTACTTGCTTTTGAATACCTGGTTTTTTCAAGACAGTTAAGGTGGAAGATGGCTTTGATACAGACTTACATCACTCATCTCAAATAAGAGAAGAAAAGAAAAAATGGGCAGGGATAAAATGCAGATCTTTCCAAGAAGAGGACACTCCATAATAACAATGCTATGATGATAATAATCACATTTGTTTTACCTCTGGGAAGTCCTCAGGCAATGAAGACCCATCACAATCAGTGTCTTCTGATTTCTCTTCTGAAACTTTCCCATTTGTTTCTGTAGGAGGAAGAAATAATGCAACAGAATGAAAAGAACATCTTCCAAAGGAAAGCTGCTTTAATTTCATGTACTAAATTTATGCTATTATGGGAACATAACCAAGCACTATTTATTCTGAGTTCAAGCCAATTATGTTAGTCATTGTTCATCCCTCTGCAATTATTCAAGTTATCCATTAATAGAATGTGCCACTGATTTTGGTGGGACTAAAGTATAATTCATATTTTTATAGACCACCTTTCTGTTATTTATATTCAAAGGAGATAGCCATCTAGTTAAAAACTTGTTCATAAAAATGAGATCTCTTTCAAACAAATGAGGAAACCATTATTATATCCTCACAATCAAAATGCGTATAAAGTATAAATCAGCTGTGAAGTAAGGAAAAGCAACTATCAAGACTCAAATGACTGTTATAATATAGGATCCAAATGCCCAGGTGAAAAAACAAACTCAGGAAGAATTGTATGCATTATTTTCCAATATATTTTTAAATACAAAGTTTTCAGTTCGGGATGAAAGTTATGCAATTGAAGCAATGGTAGAGTTAACTGACCAAAGTCCAATGGCAAATTTATTACTTGAAGCATATTTGTCAGCAATTTCAGAGAGAGAAAAACATTCCATTAATGAGTATGCAAATGAAACCAACAAGAAGGCCTCTCTGCATGACAGAAAACAATGGCCCAAGAAAAAAAAAATGCACTGCAGCCCTCGTAAAAATTAATGTTGCAAAACCACCTCAATTCTGAAGTAGTTTTAATTCAGTACTTGATGATGCTCCTTATTTGCATGCAGTATTTTCTTGACTGTACCTGGCAGGTGGTTCCCAGATGTGGCATTGCTACGATTCAGCAGGTTTTGGGCTTCTTCATCTACTACATCTAAAAGGTACTGAATGACTTCATTGTGATCATCCTCATCATAGGAATCTTCATCTTGTAGTTCCACTTAAAATAAAATGATTACAGATTACATTTACTTCCTGATAAAAAGGAAATAGAGTACCATATTTACACATTTCAGTACAATGTAGTTTTCGGATTTTCCACTGACTGTTTGATTTGTTTAGAACAGTCTTCTTCAAGGATAGTTTCCTTGGATTTGCATTGGCTATGAATTAATTTTGCCAGATTAATTTTGCCAAGTTTTTTGAATACCAAATTAAGCAATATAAGCCAACCACTGCTTTGGGATTTTCCAATTCCTAGGAGACAGCAGGACTGCACAATTTCCAAGTTTATTCAAAAGCGGATTTTAATTCTGAAAAAATAATAATTAGGTTTTCAGCAAGATAAGGGTCCATGTATAAACTAGTTTGGACATAATCTTTAAAAAATGGCTTCGCATTAGGATGAGCCTAACCTTCCCTTGAGATGGTACATTCCTCCTTCCTACAATAGTCTAGCTGTCAAGTTTTTGCTTCCAATTTCAATTAAGCAGATCATGTTGTGTTGTTCAAAACCAGGAAATGTACTTTTTGACAAGAGTTCCCATAACTATTAGCCAGAATGGCCATGAGGAGATTTTAGAAGTTTGTAGGCCAGAAATTCCTGACCTGGACAAAATATGATTCATTTTCACTATGGGTAGTGAAAATCAAATGCAAACTATGGTTTGTGAAGTGTACTCTTTCACCTAACCATAAAGAACAGTTTAGACCAGTGGTTTCAACCTGTGGGTCCCCAGATGTTTTTGGTCTTCAACTCCCAGAAATCCTAACAGCTGATAAACTGGCTGGTATTTCTGGAAGTTGTAGGCCAAAACACCTGGGGACCCACAGGTTGAGAATAATTGGTTTAGATATATACTTGAAATTTTAGTTAAAAAGTCAACTAAAAATATTGGTCCACATGCATGGGTCAATGAAAATACACATCCTACCTCTTCTCAAAAAAGGAACCAACCCCTTCTCTAAACAGAGTGGGAAAAGACAAGAGTTTATTCCAGGCATGGCAAACTTCAGCCCTCCAGGTGTTTTTGGACTTCAACTCCCACAATTCATAACAGCTGGTAGGCTGTTAGGACTTGTGAGAGTTGGAATCCAAAACACCTGGAGGGCTGAAGTTTGCCCATGTCTAGTTTAGTCTGTCCTGGAAGAATCTAAAAGAAGAACCGATCTCCTGTATGCTCTTTACCACAGAACCATTTACATTCTTTATAAATGCCTGGGCATGAAAATGAAGCACTGAGAAGACTAGAGAGGAAGGGTGCTTCTTTGATGTTCCACTGCGATAGACTAATCTTTTACTATTCTGTTTAGGGAAGGAGATGGTTCCCTTTTTTAAATATAAGAATTAAAAAGGAACCATTGCCTTCTCTAAGGAGATGCTTTCTGAAAGCTTGAGCAAAATAATGGTGGTGCTGATGCTTTCCTGTCTCTATGGAATGACCATCGACTTATCCATGGATTATATTAAAATCCATAATTCTATCCCCAAAACCCTGCCCTTAGTTTATGCATGATATCGGCTTATGCACGAGTCTATACGGTAAGATCTTCAAAAGATTCCAATATCTTCTTGGCAGCTGTACTAGTTGCATGTACGTAAGTAGCCACTATACATTGGAAACTGGGTTGAGTGTATGGTGAGACAACATTTCAAACTGCCAACCTCTGAAGCTGCCCCTGCTTCTTCCTCTTAAACAACAGCCTTATTCAAAATAATTAATATGCTTCACGATTATCCCAATAACATGATGAATATATGCACCTGCTGACTTTTCAACAGGAAGCTTCTGCTAAAAGAACAACAGGAGGCTACCTGGGCCAAGTCTAATCTAATAACTGGACGTGATGCTACACTTGGTCATGATTTAATTTCCTGCTTTCTTTGTCTCCATGCTTTAATTCAATTTCTGGGCTATCTCTGCAATACAGAGTACTATATAATTATTAAGATTTTAATTTAATTATATAGTCATTACAGTGAAACATACAATACAATCTGAATACGTAATACATGAGAATAGCCAAGTAAAGAATGATAACGACAACAGCAACTTTTCCACTCAATATATTATTCCTGTGAATTTCAAAATCTGTATTAAAAGAAAGATACGAAGTTATCACACTCAGTTTCTCTTACCTGAGTTATTACTGTACTTGGAAAAGTCAGGGTTCTGACTGGTAGCATTGCATAAGGACGTCTCTTGAGAAATTGTGACATGCGCTGGGCCTTTTCCCTGGTGATTATTGTTCATTTCACCATTAATCTAACAAGACCAAGAAGTTTGAATCAGTTTTCATACATAACTTACTTATCCCAAAACTTGGAGAAGTTTGGTTTTGGGGCTACAACTCCCAGAATTCCCCAACCAACTGTGGCACAAAAACCAAGATGGTTGGGGGATTCTGGAAGTCAAAGCCCTAACTGTAATATTTCCAAGATCTTTCCTTTATTAAATTGATAGCTTGCTTTTTAAAAACAAACTGACTTCAAATAACAATAAGAAGCATCATCATCCTCCACTTTATTTATGTTCTGGTTTATCTCTCCGAGGGGTATTCAGAGCGTATTACAGTTTTACATATATAAGGCAAACAATCAATGCCTTTTTACACAGTAAACAAATTACATACAATACACAGAGAGAGGTAAAAGCCTTCCATTTCCAGTGTTAGGAGGTGATGCTCAACTATGGCCATGGGGAGGTACACTTGTTCAATTTTTCCATACCAAGGAGCCTGTTGTCTGTAGACATCTCCAATTGTATTGCTGGCATGTCTGCATGGGGCACCCTTTTACCTCCCCACCGAGGCGATACCTATTGATCTACTCACATTACATGCTTTCAAATTGCTAGGTAGGCAGAAGCTAGGGCTGACAGCCGAGGTGATACCTATTGATCTACTCACATTACATGCTTTCAAATTGCTAGCTAGGCAGAAGCTAGGGCTGACGGCCAGGAGCTCACCCCAACTTGCAGCTTTGAACTGCTAACCCTCCGATCATCAGATTTCCTGCAGCTAGTGGTTTAACCCACTGCATTACTGCGCCCCTTTGAAGTGTCTGAACTGTCTCCAAATATGAAAGGGGCCATTGAGCATACAAAATACCAGATCCAACCTGTAGCATCTTCTGAGTGGATCCCAAGTTGCCAAGGCTGAAACTCCAAATGGATTCCTATCAGCTGTTGACAAGTTGATGACCACCATAACATGTAAACTGACAGGCGCACTGTCCATGTAAATGTGTCGTATATCAAGTTATTTCTTTTTAAACAGACACTTTCACTGTGGTTCAACTCCTCCTGCCAAAGCTGCAAGTTTGGATCTAGACCAACTGTTCCAGTTACTTACCTTGGGTACATATGCATCATGTTCTATTTCTGATTTGCCATATGTTTCTCCAAGAAAATGACCTGAAAAACAGTTTCAGGAAGTTGGGAAAGAAGAATGTATTATTTGCCAGTTACATTATTTTTGTATATAATATTTTATTTCATACCATTACAGAATTGCAATGAAGATCTCATTCATCAGCTCATTCACAAGTCTTTTAATTATTATCACTTCCCCATTTTTATATCCATGCCACAGCTGGATATACTACTTTCTGCAACTACACCTTCTTCAATTCTTCAGGCAACCTAGCTACTTGCAGTGTAATATTTAATTTTTCCAAGGACTGATTTGAGTTCAATCATCAGGACATTTTTTTGAGAAATCATTTGTAGCTATAGGTTGTTAGAATCTAAATCTAATTTTAAGACCCACTAAACCAATGAAATTTATACAACTGTTAGAATCAAATTCTGAATATGATAAGCTATCTTGAACAAGCAAAGATCAAGGCTAAATCATGACTGATCCAGTGTCTGACCATTTTTGGACAATGATCAGGGCGAAAGGTAGTATATGCTTACCATTATGTTTGATTGATCTCATGCTAGGGTTATTGGGATCTTTAGTTCTTGGAAACACTGGATGACCATCTCTGAAAAAGAAAAAGTTTGTTCAATGTATTCAGAATGTATATGATATCAAACACACACACACACACACACACACAGGCACACACTGGATAGACAGGTAAACTCATGTAGTTATGGTGCTGCCTTGATCACAGGTTTCTTAAAACAACAGAGGCCTAGAAATAATTAAAATAATTCTTAGTAGATAAGCATTTGTGAACATTAGAATCTGATTTGGTTGTTTAGTCAAGATGAAGCCTGCATGCCATCTTCAGCCATATTGTGGAATAAACAATGTAGGAATAATTCCTATATATTTAGTAGCATTTCTTTGTTGTTGTTGTTGACTGTTATCAAGTCGATTTTGATTTAAAGTGAGTTCATTTGTTTTTTTTTGTCATGTCAGGAGCAACTTGAGAAACTGCAAGTTGCTTCTGGTGTGAGAGAATTGGCCGTCTGCAAGGATGTTGTCCAGGGGACGCCCGGATGATTTGATGTTTTTATAATCCTTGTGGGAGGCTTCTCTCATGTCCCCGCATGAGGAGCTGAAGTTGATAGAGGGAGCTCATCCCCCTCTCCCCGGATTTGAACCTGTGACCTGTCGGTCTTCAGTCCTGCCGGCACAGGGGTTTAACCCACTGCGCCACCTGGGGCTCCAGTTCATGAATGTGAGACTTTCAAACCACCCTATCTGCAATAGCCCTGCTTAAGTCTTGCAGCCTCAAGGTTGTGGCTACATTTGTATTCCACTTTCCTCTGGTGAGCTCTTGGCAGTGTACGCAGCTCTCCCATTTCTTACTTTATAGGAGGCTGAGAGAAAGCAGCTGGCTTAATGGCACCAGGGAGATTTCATGGCTCATGCAAAATTGGAAACTTTGTCACCCAAGTTCCAGCCCAACACTTGAACTATTACACAATGCTGGGTTTCTGCAAGTTATTACCCAAATTTCCTAGAAAATACCTTGTTGCTTTCAGTATCACTGTTGGAAGGGACATCTCCAGTGTTCTCTTTGCTTCCTTCAAAGTCATTCCCTGAGTGCTGAACCCATTAATATAATGGATGACATCCAAGGTATGAAGAGATCCCTCCAAGTCTGCTGCAGATTTGGGACTGATATCACAAATGTATACCACCTGATAAATACTGTCATGACCACCTGCAAGGGAGATGCCTGGAGGAAAGAAAAATTGTACATGACCATTTCATTATTTACTGTTACAAAACAGTGCAGTGGTTCTGCTTTCATGCAGTGGAACAGGTCTGAAATTGTGCATTACCCAGTTGTTGTTCTTTATGGCAAGTTAAGTCAATGTCAGGCAGCAGGTGTGGCATCATGGGTATTTTGGGTAGCTCCAAAACTCGTCCAAGCACCAGCCTGACCATCTTTGGAGCTGCTCGGAGGAAACTGACAGCATCTGTGTGGCTCATGTTAGTGACATCTGTATCATTAACCTATGAAAGTAAATGGCAAAAAGAAAGAAAATGAACAATCTATCTTGAGTGTGATACTGATTCAGACAAGATGGCAAACATTTCCAGAAAGCAAAACAATAGCTTGCCATTAATACTATCCACTACCATTCTACCAGACCTAATGCCTCCAGACATGCTGGACCACAGCTTCCACCATTCCACCAGAGACACTGAAGTTCAAAGAAGTGGCTCTTGAACCCCTAAAATATTGTAGCTGGTGGATGAAAAAATAGATTTATAGACACTATGGGCCATAATAGTTCCAAATCCCCCTAGAGATAATCAGTTCATTTATATTAAATTATATCTCACATTTTTTCACACAATAGAGTAAGAGCCCCTTATTCACAAGGAATACACTTCAACGCCTATTGATATCTCACCATACACAGTACCAAACCCTGTATATTCAGACTGAAGTAGACAACTTAAACATAACCCACTAAGTTAAAGTAGTCAACTGAAGTCTGAAAATATAGGATTTGGTACAAAGTTAAAACAGGCTTGGAAATAATGTTTTCCATGTCCTGGGTAGGGGGTGTCCCCCACTTTCTCACCTGTTGCTGATCTACTCCCAACTTCCCTCTTGTTGCTTCCTCAGATACTAGTACATGTATTTGAAAACAGGAAGTCAACTTCTGGCCCAAGAATATCAAAGAGTCATGCAGAAGAACTAAGCCCACAAATGCCTCTGGGAGTGGAGACTGTGTGTAAGTGACACTGCAGAAAATGAATTTGTGGATAGGGGGGGGGGTGTGTGTGTCTTACTCTATGTTTAAGGCAGCTTATGAGAAGCAACATAATGTATAACACTAAACCAAATTCAAAACAAGAATGCAGCAGGCACCTTCTGAACTCTTTTGACTTTCTGCAACATGAAAAAGCCAAGCAAGATTGGAATGCTACCTCACCTTGATCAGGCGGTCTCCAGGTCGTAATCTCCCATCACTTTTGGCAGGGTCTTGAAGGACATCATGAATGAAACAGCCAATACTGTCACTGCCTTTGGTCACTGTGAAACCAAGGCTGCCCTTTTCGGACTTAGTCAGGATAACGTGGAGCTCCACCTCCTGCAGGGAAAATGAGACATTTAACAACAGGACCAGCAAAACACAACTGCACTCTCCACTCTTCAGGCAGTGAAAAGCGGAGTTCAAACAGCATGAAGCAGGAGACCATTTGGAATATGCTTCTCATATGTTTTCAAGCGAGCTGAACACAGATGTACTAAAATATTTCCATTAAAAACTACAACATTTTTATTCATGCAGAAGAAGTGAAAGCATTTTAGATGTTGAAAGCCCTGTGAGATAGTCGATTCCTCAAACTTATTCTCTGGAAGTAAAATCTGAGGTGGTGCAGTGATGTGGTGGTGTAAATCGCACTAGCTATTCCCTAAACCTGTCACAAGAAAACTCATGCTTGCAAACTCATCCCCTTGAATGCTGTCAAATTACCTTCACCTGTTCCTTCAAACCCATTCGTACTCACAGCTTCTTCTCACCTCTACTGTGAGCCAAATGCTTTTCTATTCTAGCCTCCCTCCCTTCAAACTTTGCTTTTCAACTGACAAACTATTTGACATGTGCAAATGAGAAAGTACAGTTCCACATAAAACCATTTCAAAAATGATCAATATAAAAATCTTTCCTGGCTTGCAGTTAATCTAAAATTGTAAGATGTGCAAGTTATGCTAATTTGTTTCTTTGAGATGTTCCTCATCCATCTAGATCTATTTTGGGGGAAGGTGTATATCTTAACCATGTAGTAAATTCTTGCAAGATAGGGCTGGGAAAAAAAGAAATTGATAAACTGGAAAGCTTCTCTAAGTTACTGTTAATAACGTCATGCTTAGATGGACTAGTGACCATATTCAGTGTAAGTCAGCTTGATAAATTAGTATGAAAAAAAGAAATCAATCATCTCCTGCCTACATAATATGTCTATCATCTCTTTTCTATGAAAATTAACTGAGACATAACACAAAATCCTGCAGTGAACAGCAACTAAATAATTTCTGTGATGTGCTGAATTTGTGGAGCTTCAGAAACACACACAAACATGCCCTCTACTCAAATCAAGAAGAAACATGGAAAATTACTGGTTCATATTCATCCACATGTTTTTCAAGTTGGTTAAAAAGTGATGTCAGGCCTCTCTGTGGTGCTGGGAGTTCAGAGACAGAACAACTGTATTTCTCCTCCGTTGAACCAGATGTGATGGTTCTGCAGTTTGCAATTGGTGGCAAATCCATCAGCAGGGGAGAAGGAGGATTACTAATGGAGCAAAAAAGAAGAAAACTGAGGTTAGCTCTAAAGGGTCTAAAGACAGATTTGGGGGATAATGTAAGGCTCCCATATTTACTGGATAATGTATTTATTTATTTATTTATTGCATTTGCATGTTGCCTCTCTCCCAGAGTGGTCCCTATATTTGACAAAAGATATCCTCTCTAGGCATTTTCTAGATCAAGCAGCATAACTCTTTAGCATACTTGGAGCAGAACTTCTTCCATTTCAATAAGGTTCACTATTATCTCTGGTGTCACATATCCATGCAATGTTCAAATGGACACAATGTTCCCTTGGACACATGGAGGTACACTTCATAACCTTTTGGACTACAGCCCCCAGAATTAGAATAATAGAATCGTAGAACTGGAAGAGACCTTGTGGGCCATCCAGTCCAACCCCCTGCCAAAAAGCAGGAATATCGCATTCTAAGCACACCCGACAGATGACCATCCAGCCTCTGTTTAAAAGCCTCCAAAGAAGGAGCCTCCACCACACTCCAGGGTAGAGAGTTCCACTGCTGAATAGCTCTCACAGTTAGGAAGTTCTGGTGGTTCAGGTGGAATATCTTTTTCTGTAGTTTGAAGCCATTGTTCCGCATGCTTGAATTCCCACAACCTTTTATTATTTATTTATTATTTCCAATATTTATATTGCACCCTTCTCACCCCAAAGGGGACTCAGGGTGAATCACAATGCACACATACATAACAAACATTCAAAGACAGGAATTTTGGCATTTCCAACTTATGCCTGGAGCTTATGCTCAAGTCCGGTCACTGGGGGTGGTGATGTTTCATACACTATGATGCCGAGTCATTTTTATTGTATTTCCTCCTTGTTCTTTAATTGCTGGCATTTTTATGGTGTCATAAAATATCTCCCCACTTTAAGCGGTACCTAATTTCTCTACTCACAGCTCAGCTGTTTTCGAACTGCTTAGGTGAACAGTAAGCTAGGATACTCAATCTGACTCAGGCTTCGAATTTGCCACCTTCTGGTCGGCAGTGATCTATTGCTGCTGGCAATTAACCAACTGTGCTGCAACCCATGTTAAAGGTCTTAGGGAAACCCAGCAAAGATCATCTAAATTAGAAAATGTAGTAAAATGTGCCAAGAAAACATGCCTGTTCTCCATTTCTGGTTTCCCAGGTGACTCATGAGAAGAATGATATAATGTGCGAAGGGCTTCATCATGGTTGCAAGATATTTCATAAGGGCTATGTGCTTGAGCTGCTGGTTTGATTGGAGTTTGGTACAAAGCGGAGCTCCATTTCTCGCTTGCTATATCAGTTGTGTTTGCCAGAAGCTCTTCCCCTCCACTCCCGCTGCTGTCACTGTAGCTGTCTCTCCGGGAGAGGGACTTGTTCTGCTTTTTGTTTTTATCTGTGGCTTCATTATCATCAGAGCTCTCATCGTGATCTCCATGAGATGACTGAGCATTTCCTTTGCAGATGTCAGGGAAAATCTGGGATGGGGAATGGATGGGGGTCTGGAAATGAAAGAAATCAAAATAATATTTCTCCCAACAGATCAATGAAACTTTATTTTCATCATTCTAGTTCTATATTACAGACTGAGTATCCTTTATTCAAAAAAGCATGAGATTAGAAGTATTTTGGTTTTTAAAATTTATTTTGGAATACCTTATATGTATATACATATATAATGAGGTAACTTGGAGATGGGACCCAAGTCCAAGCATGAAATTCATTTGTTTTATATATATGTATACCTCATACATGTAGCCTGAAGGTAATTTTATACAACATTTTAAGGAATTGTGTGCATGAGACAAAGTTTATGTACACTGATTCAACAGAAAGCAGAGGTGTCACTATTTCAGTCACCTATGTAGACAGTTTTGGATTTTGGAATATTTATGATTTCAATATTCCAGATAAAGGATGCTCAATCTGTATTTACTAAAGGGATATTTTTGACTTTGCAGACGTTGTCACACATAATGCAACCACAAACATATGCATTTTTATAATTTTGGAATGAGAAATAGGATTGTATCAAGTGTATATTTTGCTCCATCGAGGTTTTAAAAACATGACAATCTTTTTTTAAACATAGTATTAGGAAGAAGGTTTTTTACAAACCTTACTATAATTCTTACCAATAAAGAAGGGTCAATTTCTGGTAATATTCCAGGGAGTGGTCTGCAGAGGAGAAGAGTAACTTCTGGAGATGTTCCCCTGAGAGCAGAGATGACTTCCTATAAAAGTCAAGAGATGGAAAACAATGACTTCACGGAGCCATAAAGCTAGAAGGGCCATCAAGTCCAACTCTCTGCCCAGTGTGGGATCTTCAGCTACTGCAACCTAAATACACAGAGAGATGCTCACCTGCTGGGATAGTCCTTTTAAGGAAGAACCATTGACTTTCAAGATGACATCTCCAACCTCGATCTGTCCACTTTCTGCCGCAGGTTGCCCTGGGAAGAGCTTTTTGACTCTGACTATGCTGGAACCTGGCTGCTCAGGAGAAACACTGTCTTCACGGCAGAAACTGAAACCCAGTCCTGAGCTGTTCTTCACGAGCTTCACCTCAAATGTGTTTTCTGCAAAAGAAGCATTCAAATTTACATCAACATGAACCATATACAGGTGATGTGCTCTAACTGTGTTGTGAACCACCTCGAGCCATGAGGAGGAGTGGGTAACAAATAACAACAAAAACAACAAAAATGTTTAAAGCCATTTGTGATAGGAGCCAGAGGTTTCCACATCAGGGAGCCAGCCAATCTATTTGAAGGATCCCCAATATACATATGCACAAACACATTACTCATAATTTAATTTCTACATCTTCTACAGAAATTTTGGGGGAAAAGACAAGGAGCTGCAAGAGCTTAGAGATAAGCTTTCACCTAGATGGGGAGCGGAAAGCATTGCTAATAAGTTCACATGTATGAAACGTCACATGAGAAAAATTGAACTGATAAAACTTCATTTGGGGTAACAACTAGAAAGGACACATTTTCAAAACAAAATGGAGATCAAAAAGTGAAAAGGGAGTAAGAAGAAGTAATGCGCATTTAAAAGAAGAAGCTGGCAAGCAACCAAAATATAATTATGAACAAATACAGAGAAGTGCACGTGATTCTATGGAAAGGCTTTAACAAATGTCATGCTGAGCCTCAAACTAAAGTATTAGTAGCATCTGGGGTTTGTTTCCAGGATTTCCTTGGATACGACAATCCAGGGATGCTCAAATCCCATAATAAAAAGTGAAGTAGTAAAATGGTGTCCCTTACAGAGAATATATATAAAAAATCAAGGTATGCTTTTGGGTTATCTATCTATCTATCTATCTATCTATCTATCTTGTGGGTAGTTGGATCTGTGCAGAGAATCAATTGTACTGTATTTCTTCTAATCAAGCACATTTTGCATTCTGACAGGTTCTTACCATCAGTGACAAAGCTGTACTCTCTGGCACTTAATGTCTTCTTGACAGGTCTCTCTGGGGTTCCTCCATGGCTGGTTGGGTTCGGAGGTGTGCACTGAGGTGTAACTGGAGCATGGACTCTGGCTGCTGCGTGCTGCCCCTTTTCTAACACCAAATGAACTTCCTGCAGAAATGACCCTGAATTCATTAGCATGAAATCACAAGGCTGTAAGCCATGAAGATAAAGAAATGGTAAAGAAATAGGACTGAACCACCCTATGAACCACCCTAGAAGGATATTCATGTGTTTGAGCCCCATTCTGTCTGTTTTGGAATCCCAAACAAAGAAGAAGTCCCTGTTCCATCCAGAGCAGCCAAAACAGGCAGAAAGGGGAATCCAAATTCCCTATGAGGTCCAACAGATTGGTTCTAGACAGAAGTTACTGCATGGGTATTCACATGTGAGATGACAACAGCAACATCACCATCTAGCTTTCTAAAAGCCATGCATGGGCTTACCAGCAGCAACTACGTTTGCCTATTCAGGAAAGCAGCCATTAATGGAGCAAGCATACCGTTGAAGCCCAATCAAGAATGGTGACAATAAATGGTCTCTCTTCTTCAAGAGACTTCTTAGGGCTTAAGTAAATAATATGAAATATTTCCCCAAAGAAAGGAAGACTAGCTATTATCTCCTACCTGGCCAGTATTCCTCAGGATTTCCACAGCTTCTTTATGAGTGGCGCCTTCCAAAGTAATTCCATTGACAGAGAGTACACGGTCACCTAGGAATCAACAACGAATTGTTAGAAGAAGAAAAGAAAAGATGTAGACAGAGGATTGGTATAATACACCGAAAGTGTCTGCAGTTGGGCAATCAACTGCCAACATTAAAAGTAAGATTCAGCCTTCAGTACATTTGGCTTCTGAAGTGGAATGGGGATGCCCTTTTGTCATTGACCTTAGCAAAATATCTTGGTCCTAAGGGTTCTCAAAAGCTAAGCATTTAAGTGTTAATCTTTTGGATATTCTAGAATCTACAAGATTCTACAAAATTCTGTAACACTTAAGCATTGTACATACCTTTTTGAATCCTGCCATCAGCTTCAGCAGCTCCTTTTGGAATAATAGCTTTGACATAAAGACCTCCATGTCTCACATTGGTGTTCACGCCACCCTATAGATTAATATATCAAGCACAAACATTTAAACACTGTGGGATCTCTAGAGTACCAAAATACAAAGGCAATCCCTTAACACTCATGCAAGCTATCAGCAAGTTCAAGCAACAGACAAAAATGAAACTTGTGGCATTGCAGAACAATTCATTTCAAGCCCCGTGTAACCAAGTGCCAATGGAGAGATGAACAGCAAGGCAACAGAGTACGGATGCAAACATAAACTCCCAAAGTTGCAGGTTTGAGGGAAAAAAACAATAAAAATGTAACAAAAACATAAGCCTCTGCCTGTTTCAAACCATCATGCATCTGAAGCCATTCAGAAACAAGATAAAAATAAAGAGGGATGCTGGCATGCATTTCTTCCTCTTGAATAATGGAAAGCCAAGTGGATAAATCAGAATCTTTAAGAGGTGGCTTTCAGTGTGTCCAGACTGATTGAAAAGTTCCAGAGTTTGTTCTTGTTCTTTCCAATTTTATAATAAGTCAAAAACATAATCAAGTGGGTAGTTAGTATACAAACTCACTGATTGTATAAGGAGTGGACAAGAAATATTTTGAGATAAATAAAACCCATATGGATCTCCAAAATCAAACGAGAAAGAACACAAACTAAAAGTGAGATCCCTTAAATCAGTCTGTGTGCATTCTTCTCTTCATTTCTGAAGATCTAATTAAGTGTGCCACCACTTTTTTCTGGCAGGGTCCTTGGACTGTTAACTATGGGGGGCAACCCTTTTGTATGCAGGCTTAATCTGGTGTTAGAAGGGTCACAAATCCATACAATTTTGAAAGCCCAATAGTTCAGGATGAACCCCCGACTGTTATCTCCATTCAGTGCATAGGGATAACTTTGAGTTCCTGAAGATTCAAATATATGAGCTGTTTTGGAGTTCCTTCTCTTATCTCCCACATAAGGAAAGGGAAAGCTTTATCCAAGAGACTTAAAGATATCAGGGGATACAGGGGTACCTAATACTCTTAAAATTCTCATACTCTGTTTCCCCCAATACAAATAAGTTTTCAACTTATTGCCTTCAAATATGGCATTCAAAACAAAATTTCAGCAGATGTGGCTTTTCCTACAATGACATTTCCAATGGCTTTGTTGTTCTTTTTTCTTGCAAAATATTGTAAGAAAATACCATTGGGGACATCTAGGCAGGTTAAAACAAACTGTGGTCCTTGGACAGTATTTTTGCTTGAAGCCAAGAACAATCAGGAATAGGTCTGGAAATTTCCTGAACAGAAACCCAATATTTATCTTAAGAGTTCCCTTCCTATGTTTGTTTGTTTTTGCTTTAGACTCACAATCTAATCTAACACTGAGTGGAAGAAAAAGACCTGACATATCCAGTAAGGTCACCTCCAGCCAGCTAGGTATAGCAGCCTTCCCTCAATCTAGTTCCCTGTAGATGTGTTGGACTATAAATTTAATAAACTATAAATAAAGTTCCTATAAATCTTAGTCAGGATGACAGAGGATTGTGAGGGCTAGACTTCAGCCCATCTCAACTAGAGAAGTTTGTTGTGCATGACTGAAGAAGAGCTTTTGGCACTGTGGTAGCAGAATGCCCTTTAAGATTCAGGATGGAAATACCAATCGACATATGTAAAATGAAGCATAGCTACAAAGCGTGCTGTAGGGAAGTAGAGCATTTGTTTTCTATGACCTACTTTTCACTGCAAACCATTTCAGTTTTAAAAGGATGAAACTTTTGATAACCTGAACAAATCCCTCAAGGAAGATCCAGAGCCTCCCTTTCTTGAATGACTTTCCAACATTCAGAGATGCAATCCCTCAGTTTAATCTTTGTGTTATGAACCAAAGATTGATGTAAACAAGCAATAAAAGGGAAAAATAGCAACAAAGCAAAAAAGGCATCACATTCCCATTCCTGAAGTTTGTCTTTAAAGAGACACTGTCAAGTAGTTACATGACATAAAAGATCTGGGCATGTTTAGCCTGCAGAAGAGAAGACTGAAAGGAGACATGATAGCTATGTATAAATATGTGAGGGGAAGTCCAGTTCCGAGCACGATTCAAAGTGCTGGTTTCAACCTAGTGTGTAGGCATCAAATTGTGCCTTTCTGTAAGCCGCCCTGAGTCCCCCCTCGGGGGTTGAGAAGGGTGGGGTAGAAGTACACGAAATAAATAAATAAATAAATAAATAAATAAATAAATGACACAGGGAGGAGAGACCAAGCTTGTTTTCTGCTGCCCTGGAGACTAGGACGTGGAGCAACGGCTTCAAACTACAGGAAAGGAGATCCCACCTGAGCATCAGAAAGAACTTTCTGACCATGAGAGCTGTTCAGCAGTGGAACTCTCTGCCCTAAAATGTGGTGAAAGCTCCTTCTATGGAGGCTTTTAAACAGAGGCTGGATGGCCATCTGTTGGGGGTGCTTTGAATGCGATTGGCAGGGGGTTGGACTGGATGGCCCACGAGGTATCTTCCAACGCCCTGATTCTATGATTCTATCTTATACAGCTTGTTAGATTTTTCCAAAACTGGAAGTACATGAAAATAATTGGGCTTAGGGTTGCCAGGCTTTCAACTCATAAATGCTACAGGTAAGTTTCAGAAAGCAAAGAGTAGATACATCTGTCAATTCTTCTACTCTGTTCCTCTTCCAGCTATCTTGACACCACTTCAGTTCCTGCTTCCTACAAGAGTTGAAACTAAAAAAGATTGGGACGAGTCAAGAGATGGGAGAGGAATGGAAATAGAGAAATAATTGCTGCGTCTCCTATTTTCTTGGCATTCAGAGCAATAGCAGCAGTCTATGGTTGCAACACAGTCGTTAAATTAAATTATGGTATGTATGAGCAGAAATATTTGGTAGCATTCTGCTTTGTAAGCAGCAGAGGGAGCTCAGTGGATGTATCACAAAAGTATATTGACTATTTTAGTATAAACCAACAACAAAACCATTCTTGACCTTGACAGGGAATTCACTGATACAGTACTTTCAGAGAATTTGACATGGATCATAAGTCTTCCTTATGATTTCTCCTAGCTGATCCTACAATTTCAATGGATACATAGCTTTGCTTTTTTATTGTGCCTTATTCATTATATTTGTTCCGTAGCTTCACCTCTTGTTCCATCTTCTAATGTCTTTTGTAAGCAAATTAGTGGTTTGTTCTTGTTTTGCTATATATTTTCACTTTATTTACCATTCTATAGAAATGTTTTTTCCTTCTTTTTGTGGGAAGAATTTTTTTTGTAGTTTGTATTTTCTGGGGGGGGGGGGACTTCATGTACTTTAGATTTTTTTCACTAGGATACTCCTCACACTGTCCTATTTGAAGCTTCGATCAGCCTAGCACTATATATAATCAAGATATGGGGATCTGAAGGTGAGAGAGGCAAAATATAGAGCAGTAGATACACTGGCATAAGGCATCATGATCAAACATTAACAGCTGTCCACTGGCATGAAAGAGTTAGTGTGTAACAGACCTGGCAGTAAATGCTTCTTTTAGAAAACAGTTTATACTGTTCTCTTAGGAGAATGGGAGATGGATCGCATCTGGACACTTCAATTCCTCAATTAAAGGACTAGAATGGTTTAATCTGCTATAGACTGTGGTATAGAAGGGGTGTCCACCTCATTTTCATTGAGAGCCACATCAGCCTTATGGTTGGCTTCAAAGGGATGTTCAATTTATGGATGGAGAATTTGTGGACACAGAGGGCCAATCACATCTTTTTTACATAGTGCTCAGTGTTCTAGTTTTTACCCAAACTGGGTCCTCAGATGTGGTTGAACAACTACCATCACATCTGATTATCTGTCATGTGGATTGGGGATAATGGGAATGTCAACCCAATAGCACTTGTGGCTCTGAGGTTGAAGAAAGGTTAAAGGATGTTTTAAAGGCAGACATTATACTCACAAGCCTTGTATATAAATTCAAACGCCACTCTTCCACTAAACAGAATAAACTGCAGCCTTTCCAGATGCTACTATATCACAACTCTCATCAGATCTAGCCATGAGGTCTCATGATGAGGAATACAGGAGTTGTAGTCCAGCATATGAAGGGCCACATAAAATGATCTGATGGGAGTTGTGATATAATATCATCTGGAAATGCTGCAGTTTATTCTGTTTAGTTGGAAGAGTGAGGTTTGCATTTATATACAAGGCTTGTGAGTATGATGTCTGCCTTTAAAACATCCTTTAACCTTTTCTCAACCTCAGAGCCCCAAGTGTTGGGTTGACATTCAGCCCGTGAGTTTGACATGTGTGATGTACGGCTTACCTTACAGCAGTAATGTGCCAGCTTTCAGTATCAAATTAATTCTTTGAGTTACCCTGAATTGTGGCTTGTATTAGTTCAAAACGAGCAGCCAGTTGGACATTGGCATAAGGAAGCTGGGCATGGAGTATATGTATTTGTAAGAGTTGGGCCTGGCAACTGTTGCACTGCCTAGAAGAAAGAGATGCTGGATACCGTCTCACACAGTGTCAAGAAACATAATTTCGGTTACCAAAAGCATTCCAATTTATGTATAACGGTCTATGGTATGTAGAACATTCTTGATGTGTGGGACAGCCCTACATAACACACATTTACAAGTATGTAACTTCAAGGGTGATTGCAGCCTTGAGGGCTGTTGAAAGAAGTTAAAGATTAGCAGCCTGCAACTACTTGACAGTACCTCTTTAAGGTCCACTGCTTCCCTGTAAACCAGACATTTTTAACAGGTCGCTTGGAGTGGAGAAAATGAGAAAACATCTAAAAACCTTGTCAAACAGTACCGTGACACTTATTCCCAAGCCGTTATCATTTTTGACCAGTTCGACTTCAAAGATATCTCCGGGTTTAAGAGGAGGTGTAGAAAACTTTTTAGAATGCATTGAGTTGGCCAAATTCAGGAAGGAAGGCTCCTTTATAAAATAAAAAAACACAAAGAAATAAATTGGGGTGGGGCCAAGATAAAAAGAAGGACAGGCTGTTAAAGGTAGCAATTTGTTATAAGGACAGTACATTTGTCCCTCCACATTTGCGGTTTCGACTTTTGTGGATTTGGTTATTCACAGATTTGATTAAAACTGTTCTCTCTAGAAATCTTTAGGTCCTCCAGTATGGTTCTATAGTCACCTTCCTCCAGTCATGTTGGAAGATCTAGAGCTTTCTAGAGCAGTGGTTCTCAACCTGTGGGGTCCCCAGATGTTTTGGCCTTCAACTCCCAGAAATCCTAACCGCTGGTAAACTGGCTGGGATTTCTGGGAGTTGTAGGCCAAAACACCTGGGGACCCACAGGTTGAGAACCACTGTTTAGAGAGAACATATCTCTAGAAACCTCTAGGTCAGCCAATGCAATTCAGCTTCTAGTGGACATTGACCATATAATTATGCTGGAAAACCTCCAAATCTCTCAGGTTAAAAAAAGCGATTTTTTATTTTTTATTCCACTTTCATGTGGGTCCTTTACCTTCAATCCCAGCGAATGTGGTCAACTAACAGTAGTGTATATTTAAGAAGGGAGCCAGAGGATTAAACCAGAAAAAATATATTATATGTGCATACATATTTACATTTCAGAAACATTAATCTATTTTAAAGGGCATTCTAAGGTTTATCAAAGTACTGTCTGATTTACTGCAGTGAAATAATGTGATCCAGCTTTTTCCTAATATCTTCTAAATAGCGTTGAATGGCAAACCCACTAATCTCCAGATGTGTTGGATGACAGCCATTGTTACTTCTATCAAGTCTTGCCAATTAATGCAACTCTCCAACACATCTGGAGGGCATCAGAAAGAGAAAATATTAGTTCATGGTGCACATGCAAGTAAACCATAGAAGTGGTATTATGACACAAAATTCCTATCTACCATCTCTCACCCCATTCAAACCAATATGCCATATTTAATAAATGACATCTCTTTTGGGGTGGGAAGGAAACATATTACAGAAATGGACTATGCCTTTTTGCTGGCTGCTGCTGCTTGCTCATGACCACCGGAGTAAGTGGCTTCATCCATGTCCGAATCTCCTCGGTCAGAATACTCAGGGGTTTCCTGTATCCCAGACTTTTGGGGCTTTATTAGATTCACCTCCAAAGAAGAGCCATTTCTTTCCTTGCATTTGAGAAGGGAAAGCTGAGAATTGTTGCAATGTTGAAACTCCTGCTGGGCTCGGACACTGATATGGTTGCCAAGTAATCCACCATTTGTTTGGCTCTGGGACAGGCTGGCACTTTCAGTCCTGGAGTCTTGGGAGCTCAGACTGCCATCCCATTTGCTTGAGCAGAGGCCAGATAAGTTCCCAGATGTAGGCTTCTGGTGGCCAAGTAGCCGGTTGTGCTCCTCTGAAGATGACTCTGCCTCATTGTCTGGTATGAGCGAAGGCCTCTTTAAATAACCCTTCATGCCATTTAGGAGACTGGGTGACACTGAAAATTAAAAAAAGTAAGCAATAATGCACATTACTGAACTCTCACTTAATACAGTGATTTAGTTCCTTAGTGATGTCAGGATATGCACAAACTTTGCAACTGTGTGCTATACCCTTGTGCCGTCCCTTCACTCTTTCCATTTTGGCATCCTACAATTTACTACTTCCTGGGCTCTTTAAGAACAGCTTCCTATAAATGTCATCATGCCAAAAGCTGGTCATAATTCAATACTGATGTTAAATTTTGGTTTGGAGGCTTCCAAGTTCTGCCCTTTCCACAGCAGCCATTCCAAAATGCCACACAGTGTGTTGGGAAACTCAGCTGAATGGGTAAGGGTGAGGTGGATTTATCTCCTATGAATGGAAAAAACGCTCAAGCCAGGTGCCCCCACCTAATTGTAGGCAATTCTTCCACAGACAGAAACTATATCTGGATCCAAACTACTATCAACTGTTTAACTAAGAAGGATGAGCCACATGTGATCACAATTACCATAGCTGGCCACAGCTTCCATGGAAAATTGAGAAAGACAATTAGAAGGCAATCCAACTACACTGGGAAAGCCTCCAATTGCTGGTCCCTGATTACTTAAAAAAGCAATTATGTCCGTTCATAGGGGAAATACCTTTGATAGGACCTTCCTTAGGTTGTGAAATGACAAGAGTCACATCTTCTGGAGCATGTTCCATAATTTCTAATGCTGTGTGATGGCTCACCCCTTCCAAGCTTACATTGTTCACTGATATCAAGCGATCTCCTACACAAAGAGAATGATTCAGAGGTAAGCAATACAGTATGTAGATTTCAAGGCAACACAGTTGGGCCTCCAAACAATCTGCCAAGAGTTGATGATCTGCAAGTTCTAATCACATGATTACCAAAGGCAACATTTAATGGCACCTACATTAAAGATTTGGTGTCCTTCTTCAATTACAATGTTTTACAATGTTTTACAATGTCCTTCTTCAATAACAATGTTTTTTTTAAGAAAAGGACTAAATAATTAACGTTGACACATAATTAAGTGCATATGCTCTATTTCTCTCATTGTACATTGTCATCCCAACATTTACCTGGTTTTAGCGATCCCTCCAAATCAGCTGGTCCTCCAGGTGTTATGGAATGAATAAAAATGCCAAGATCCAGTTTTCCAGTCTTCTCCCCACCAGTGATTTGAAACCCTGTAAAAAAGCAGCTCTTCAGGAACATTGACAAGTGCTTAACAGAAGTATGAGTATGACATGTTGCTCACGGCTAACCAGGAGCTTTCCTTTGCAAAGCACAAAAGTAAAAAAAAAACAAAACAGGTGCCTGAATGATACCTGAAATATCAGCTCCAAACGTGTGCTTGAAGTCAGAATACTGTTGCATCCCTGCTATTTCCATCTTGATAATGGCCCCAGTACATCTCCATTGGTAAGGCTAATTTTGGCTTTTCAAGCAAAATGTAGCTTTACTTTCAGACATCTCCACAGGGTATTTTTGAACAGCTGTCAGCCATAATAATGAACCCGACATGGGCACTTTCATAACAGTACATGTCTACATATCCAATCCTAGGGACAATTAGGGGGTTTCCTTGTTTATGAATCCTGGAAGAATTGTGGCCACTCAAGACCCACAAGTCTTCTCCACAATTCCTATTCTATCATCTAAAAGACTATCAAGCCACTGAAGCATTATCCAGTTTGGATCTATCCACAACTTGCATCAACCATTAGTGCCTTGGCCAACTGGAAACAGATCCAATTTGGGAAAGAAATTAAAAGGACCACTGACCTTACATTCTAATGAATGAGAAAGGATAGAGGATGACCTTGAAGGAATGAAGAGAAAGGATTGGAACACAGGAAACTGTCCTAAATAGAATCAGCATACTGGTTCTTCTAATTTGGCCCATCTAGGAACACCCCCCCCACACACACACACACACAAAGTAGCTTTTCAAGCCTTGAACATTCAAAGAAACATCAACATACCTAAACCATATTTTTCATCTTTTTTCAAGTTTACCAAGTTGATTTCTCTTTCTGGCTTAAACATTGCATTCTGTCTTATATGTGGAGTATCTGTGGACCAAAGAAACCCACATACACACAATTAAAACCAGCACTGACATACATTGGGGAACATTACTTTTGGGAGCATGATATAACATGATTCAACCCTTTTAAATCAAGGTTTCGCTTAAACTCAATACAGGTGTATAATTAAAACTGGCTCTTTTTGCAATTCCAGGTGCATTAATGATGGCCTACATTAGTACATCATTTTGGGAGAAGCAGCACAGTGACAGACAGCTCTTCTTTCCTGTGTTAAAATATTAGGATGTGAGATGTGGTGATCATGGAGAAAATTATGAACTCACACCCAGCACAAAACACTGAATGAAGCAATGTGTGCATGCTTATTCACTCGAAGGCTGTCAACAAATTTAAGTGGAAAGTAAGGGATTCACAAGACTGTTTTTTTTCACCCTCTTGGCTCCCCAAATTGCCTCTTTTGTGGCCAAAAATAGGGAAAGGGGATTGATTTCTTCTGAAATCCCCAGGATTGTTTTAAAATTAAAAACACCAAATTTTCAAACCCAGAAGTATAATTCTGGACACCTCTGGTTTTGCATCTCATCGAAATGATACAACATTGTTTTAAATACTTCTATATTAAATAGCAGAAAAGTGCTGAATCAAGCAATGCTGACCTACAACATAGACTTGGCCAGTATCTTCAGCAGATGAAGAGTCTGATTCGTTTTTCCTCCTTTCTAGGCTGGCACTTAAACCTGCATGGCAGTATGAACTAAAAGGTGGTGGAAGGAGCAGCAAAGGAGAAGAGAGGTAAAGAGGAAGCACAAGGGGACCAAAGGAAAATGGAATTAAATGATATAAATCAACATGACATGCAAAACACCTGCTGTAAAGATGCACACTTCTTTGCATTAAAGAATACACTGGCAAAAATATGAGACATGTGAAGATGTATACATGTGTGGAAGCAAAGCATATGGAACTGTAAATGAAACCAGCAGCTCAAAAGATTTTAGGAATGATGGGATGAAAATTATTTCTTTGATTGTACAAACTTACACTATTTTCTTATAGTCAGTAGCCCAGTGCCAGCAGGGCTGTTGACTCCAGAAGTGTGAAGAGTTCAGAGTGACAGAATTACTCAGAACCTCTCTTTCTGGTTAAAAAAAGGAGTAGAATCAAAATGTATTGTCAAAGGCTTTCATGGCTAGAGTCACTGGATTGTTGTAGGTTTTTTGGGCTGTATGACCATGTTCTAGAAGTATTCTCTCCTGACGTAATCAAGGTGGCCAATTGAGACATTCATACCTAGCTCCAACAGACAAGAGTTCTTTCTTCCACCCTGGACATTCCACAGATATATAAATCCAATTTTCCTAGTTTCCAACAGACCTCATAACCTCTGAGGATGCCTGCCATAGATACAGGCAAAATGTCAGGAGAGAATACATCTAGAACATGGCCATACAGCCTGAAAAACCTACAACAACCCAGAATCAAAATGGGTTTTGATTTTGGCCAAGCCATGTTGTTGTTGTTGATGGTAGTGTGTGCTTTCAAGTCATTTCTGATTTATGACTTAACCATACCAGTGATTTTAGTCTAATAAATGCAGACATTGGCCACAGGTACTATCAATTACTGTAAATATAGGAAAAGGCTCAGATAAATGTAGTGATCGTGCCTTTTAATTTCTGTGGCTATGGCAATTCATTTTCTAAAAAAAGTATAACTTTAGGTTGCCATGAACAGGAGTAGAATGCCAGCCACCATGGCCAATAGAGAATACCCATTATTCATGATGCCATACCATGCAGTGGGCCCAAAAACTAGTAAGTAGTAAGAAGGCACTAACTGTATTTAACACTCTGTGCAAGAAAGGCTTTAAACCAGGATTAGGCAACCTGTCATTTTTCAGATGTTCATGGCAGGGCAGTCAAAAGTCATGAGAGTTGTGGCTCAAAAGAAGTTGAGAGAGCATTAGTCTGCCTGCTTTAAACATTACAGTAAGATCCCTGAAGTTGCAGATCTATAACTTTAGCTGTGACCAGAGGAAAATAATCTCTCTAGGAAATTGTTAGGTCCTTCAGATGACTCGATGGTATGCTTCCCTTGGAAGTTACCACAGAATCACCAAGATGGATCTAGTACATTTTTAGAGAAGATATGTTTTAAGTCGAAGTCTAATTCTAATTCTAAGTTCTAAGCGTTGACGGGGGTTGTTGTTATAATTTTGTGTGACATGTTTTATACTTTTGTACCATTTTTACTTCTTGTATATTATATGTGCACCCAAGAGTGCCTTGTAAGGTGCCATGAGTCCCTTTGAGGAGATGGTGGCAGGATATAAATAAAGTGTTTTATTATTATAATATTATTATTAAGTCCTCCAAGGGAATGTTATGGTATGCTGCCACCTGGTATTTTAAATGTGTTTAGTTGTATCCACAATTTTGGGTCCAGCCAGGAATGTATCCATCAACCTGTATACATGGGTCTTACTGTACTGTGCATTGCACAGAAAAGCCCTACATGCCTTAGTTACATCCCATCTGGATTACTGTAACGTATGCTATGTGGGGCTGCCTTTGAAGAGTGCCTGGAAATTTCAGCTGATTCAAAGAGCTGCAGCCAGGTTGCCAAGTGGGGTTGGCTGCAGGGAACAGATATCCCACCTCTCCTGGCTCCGTTGGCTGCCAGTTTCTTTCTGGGCACAATTCAAAGTGCTGGTTATAGCCCTAGACGGCTCAAGTCCAGGCTATTTAGCTGATCACATTTCATTGAATAAGCCTGACTTGAGCCCTGTGGTCTTTAGGAGAGGCCCTTCTCTCAGTCCCACCCTCATCTCAAGCTCGGTTAGTGGGAATGAGAGAGCAAGCCTTCTTTCTGCCCCTCAACTCTGGAACTCCCTTCTTCACAGGGAAGTCAGAATGGCTCTTTCCCTGCTGTCCTTCTGGTGGCAAACTAAAACCTTTTTATTCAGGCAGGTTGTTAAAGAGGAAAGCGTTTAAGATCAAGTCAGGGGCTGCTGTGGTTTTTAGTTTTGATTATGTTTTTATGGATTTTAACTTTGATTTTTAAAATACCATTTATATTTAATTCTGTTTAAATGTTTGTATATTTTTAGATTTGAAATTGTATTGAAACATTTTGAGTCTCCTTGTGGAGAGAAAAAGCAGGGTAGAAATAATAATAATAATATTATATTGTATAATACTAGAGACAAAGTTGAAGCACTTTGGCCACATCATGAGGAGACAGGAAAACCTAGAGAAGTCAATTATGCTGGGGAAAGTGGAAGGCAAAAGGAAGAGGGGCCGACCAAGGGCAAGATGGATGGATGGCATCCTTGAAGTGACTGGACTGACCTTGAGGGAGCTGGGGGTGGTAACGGCCGACAGGGAGCTCTGGCGTAGGCTGGTCCATGAGGTCACGAAGAGTCGGAGACGACTGAACGAATGAACAACAACAACATTGTATAATACTGTATAATACTGTATAATAATAATAATAATAATAATAATAATAATAATACAAGGGATGGATGTTCACCTGGTTAATCCAAAAGGGATCGTAATACTCAGACCACAAGAACGATTCTTACTTGTTAAGCTTTGCTCCCCCAGTTACTGATTCTGTATCCGATTTTGGCACCTGTTGGAAGATCTTCCCCATCAGTTCCTCCACTCTTCGCGAAGTGGAATCTCTGGGGCTGGCAATGTTCTTCCGAAATGGGCTGACTGACACCTGAGTTTGTGTCAGGTCATGAAAGGATTTGCTCATTATTTTGGGTTTTTCCTCCCATGGTGACTTCTCACTTTGGTCTCTGGGACAGCCTTGGCCAGGCTGAAGGAGGGACAGTTCAGAGTAGGAGAGTCTCTTGAGGATCTCAGCTTGCACCGACAGTGGCCGTACCGCAAGTCTGTTCAATGTGCTGCTGGCGAGACTGCCTGTGCTGATGGCACGCCCCATGTTAAACCCCTTAACAGAATCCGTGTGGAGGTTCAGACTTCTGAATGATGCTCTCTCTGCAAGGAGACGGAAATGGTTTATGCACATATATGAGAGAAAACAATTAATGATATGTAAAGACAGCAGCTTTGGCCTGAAGCTCTATAAAACTCCAAGAATGGTTCATACATTCAACTGGCATGACTGCATGGAGTGCCATTACCTTCCCGCCGGAACAGTACCTATTGATCTATGCACATTTGAATGTTTTCGAACTGCTAGGTTGACAGAAGCTGGGGCTGACAGTGGGAGCTCACACTGCTCCCCAAATTTGAACCTGTGACCTTTCAGTCAACAAGTTTAGCAGCTCAGTGGTTTAACCCACTGGGCCACCGGGGGCTCCTTAAGAGAGGGAATGAAACATATTTTTAACTAAAGCATTAACCAAGGACTAAATGAAATGCTCTATATCTCCGTATTTCCATTCCTGGACCATAAAGCAGAGTGGTAGGACAATTTCATTTACAACAGGGGGCAAATTTGGCAAACATAGGGAAGAAACAGTGCATAAGGCTCTGAAGATTGAAGGTTTACATTTCAGTATTCCCAAAATGCACCAATATTCTCAGGACATGGGAGGGTATCACAAAAAAACAAAAAAAAAACCCAGTGCTTTCCTTTCTCCACAAATTTCTCATAAGAAGATATTCTGTAGCACCTAAAATTCTAATATTTCAAAAATCTTGAAGAAGGCCAATGAGATTAAATACCCTCACCCCAAAACAAATGTGACGGTCCTCCAAAATACATAAAAAGGGAGGCAGCCTGTCTCCTCTGCTTGTCAAATTGGAATTCAGTTATCAAGTAAAATCCACAGGATGTCATATTGGTTTAAGACGAAAAGGACCTTTAGATGTGTCCCAGACATCGATGGCAGACATGAAAGCAAGATCTGAAGTTCTTTAAATACTCACACTTTTTATCACACACTCTTTTATTGACTCTCAGTTCACTGAAGCCTTTCTGTGTAATATTTAATCTTAAGATGATCTTGGTGAGTCATTCTTTGCACTCCTTCAAGAATCTGACTCTATGTTCTTTATACTTGGTACCAAGCATTAGACACAGGACTCTTCTTACAAAAGTTTACATGAAAGAAACTATTATCCCCCCATTTGTAACTAATCCCCTTCTTCCTCGTATGCTGTAAGATCTTGTTTGCTAAGTTTTTAGAAGATACCAGCTGCTTTCTCCTTTGAATTTCTGGATCCACAGTAAAATATCTCATGGAACTTTTTTCTCATATGTCTTATTCCAGAAGATTTTAGGAATTGTGTTTCTAGCTATATGTAGTAATGCTAGATGCCAAGATTCATGCTCATTTTATGTCCATGTGCACTTTATTATTCTTTGCATTGTTAACCCTGAATGTTAACATGATCAATTTTCAAATGGGTTGCTGATCATCTGTTTTTGTAATCTGAAACAACTGATTCAGCAGTTGCTGGCCTATGGCTGGTGCAATGCTAAATCAGCCACATAGCCCTGTGTTAGGAAGAGATGCCAAATATATACCATTGGTCGCTGTTTCAAGTCTTATGTCATACTCATCCTATACATTCCAGAACAATTGCATGCCTGTTTGAGAGTATGTAAGGCAGCACAGCCAATGCTGAGGAATGCTGAGAGCAGCAAAAGGGCCTCTCTGTTTTGTCACTCCAGATATGAAATATCCTCCCTGAAAGGCCTAATGGGCAACACACTGGCTTCAGAATCTAGTTGAAAAACATCTTTGTATTGAAGCCTTTGGGGTCTAAGATTGTATCCAGTTTGTTCTTGAACATGGTTTTAACTGGGTTGCTGTGAGTTTTCCGGGTTGTATAGCCATGTTCCAGAAGCATTTTCTCCTGACGTTTCGCCTACATTTACGGTAGACATCCTCAGAGGTTGTGAGGTATACTGGAAACTAGACAAGGGGTGGTTTATATATCCAGGATGGGAGAAAGAATTCTTGTCTGTTGGAGACAAGTATGAATGTTGCAATTAATCACCTTGATTAGCATTGCAAAGCCTGGCAGCTTCAAGGCCTGGCTGATTCTTGCCTGGGGAAATCCTTTGTTGGGAAGTGTTAGCTGGCCCTGATTGTTTCATGTCTTGAATTCCCCTGCTTTCAAGGTGATTCATTACAACTTTAACACTTTCCTCAATCAGACAAGAGTTCCTTCCCCCACTCTGGATCTTCAACAGATATATAAACCTCCCTTGTCTAGTTTCCAATATACCTCACAACTTCTGAGGATGCCTGCCATAGATGTGGGCATCAATCAGGAGAGAATGCTTCTGGAACGGCCCAGAAAACTCACAGCAACCCAGTTATTCCAGCCTTGAAAAACTTAAAAAACACATGGTTTTAACTGTTATAAATCCTTTTGGATTGTTAGACAGTTTATTAACAGGCGGCACACTAATGTTTTTAGACTGCATATTATTTTGCATGTTTTCTTGAATATTTTAAATTGATATTATTGTCCATAGCCCTGCAACCCCAGTTGCAGGTCAAGATGGAAATATGAAATAAAAATTTAAAAACTCAGTAAAATGAATGATATCTTTTTCTTGCATCCAATTTCCTTGCCCTTCTTTTACTTTCATTTATAAGACAGGAAAACTCAGTGTGATATTATGTGACATGTTTTTACTTGTTAGACAACACAATGGAAGGGAGAGAGGGGGTGATGCACACATTTGGACAGCATAAAAAACAGATGTTTGGATATCAGCAGCTAGTGACCATGGATTGCTCAGGCTCAGAAGTACCATCATACTGAATCCTCTTTCCTAGAAACAAATGAAGGGTACTGTTTCTCTAAAACATCCCATTGTCTACTATGGGAAAACATGATACTAGACTTGATAGGACTTGATAGATCTTTGGTCTGATTCAGCAGGGATTTCAGGTTCTTGCCAATGTTAGTTTTCTGTGACAGTCATGGATTCATAAGAGAACTTAACTCTGACCCAATGCAGTTTCTAATGGAAGCAACTTAGCCCTTGCTCTCTTTGAGGGGGTGAGTATCTTAATGATGCAAAAGGCAACACAATGAACCTTCTGATATTAAAATCTGCAAAAACATTAGTGGGCAGAGCAGCTGCTGTCAATTAGCACTTACCAATTTCCTGAGCATCCTGGTTATTTTGCCTGGCTCTCATCTGGAGCTGGAATTTATGTTGTGAAGAGCAGAGCTGCAGCAAGTACTGACAGGTTTTGCTTGTGTCTGTTTGGAATGCATGTTTTATACCATCAGATGTGTTCTGCAAGGTTATCTTCCGCTTCTGCAAAGTGAGAGACAGAGAGGGAAAATGAAACACAAGTAACACCAAAACAGCTCTGCTTTTTGGCTGGGAATGAATAGAATCATAGAATCATAGAATCAAAGAGTTGGAAGAGACCTCATGGGCCATCCAGTCCAACCCCCTGCCAAGAAGCAGGAATATTGCATTCAAATCACCCCTGACAAATGGCCATCCAGCCTCTGCTTAAAAGCTTCCAAAGAAGGAGCCTCCACTGAACGGCTCTCACAGTCAGGAAGTTCTTCCTCATGTTCAGATGGAATCTCCTCTCTTGTAGTTTGAAGCCATTGTTCCGCGTCCTAGTCTCCAAGGAAGCAGAAAAAAAGCTTGCTCCCTCCTCCCTGTGGCTTCCTCTCACATATTTATACATGGCTATCATATCTCCTCTCAGCCTTCTCTTCTTCAGGCTAAACATGCCCAGTTCCCTAAGCCGCTCCTCATAGGGCTTGTTCTCCAGACCCTTGATCATTTTAGTCAATAAAACAATAAAGACTAAAAATGAACTGAAAACTTGTGAAGGTACAAGCAGATAATAATAATAATAATAATAATAATAATAATAATAATAATAATAAAAATAGAATTGAAAAGTCGAAAACAGATCCCAAATGTAGATTCTGCAAGGAATCAAATAAACGATAGATCACATCCTCAGCTGCTGCAAGAAGATCGTGCAGACAGACTACAAGCAGAGGCATAACACCACTGCTCAGATGATTCATTGGAACCTGTGCCACAAATATCATCTGCCTGTGACAAAGAACTGGTGGAATCACAAGCCAGAAAAAGTTACAGAAAATGAACATGTCAAACTCCTCTGGGACATCCGAATTCAGACAGAGTTTTGGAGCACAACACTCCTGACTTCACAATCATGTTAAAAAATAAAGTATGGATTGTTAATGTTGCAATCCCAGGTGACAGCAGGATTGAAGAGAAACAACTGGAAAAGCTGACCCAATATAAGGATTTAAAGATCGAACTGCAAAGACTCTGGCACAAGCCAGTTAAGGTGGTCCCAGTGGTGATCAGCACACTGGGTGCAGTGCCTAAGACCTTGGCCTGCACTTAAACACAATTGGTGCTGACAAGCTTACCATCTGCCAGCTGCAGAAGGCCACCTTACTGGGATCTGCATGCATTATTCACCGATATATCACACAGTCCTAGACACTTGGGAAGTGTCAGACGTGTGATCCAATATAACAGCCAGCAGAGTGTCTGCTGTGGACTCATCTTGTTTAATTTCAAATAACAACAACAACAACAACAACAATTTTTACAAGCCTCTCCTTGTGGCTTGAGGCAGATTACAACATAGTTAAAATATGTAATCATTGTAAACATTATGTAAAATAATGTTGCTAGAATACTTGCTATATCGATCACTCTAAAACCAAGACATAGAAAATGAAATCACAACATATCTGTGGCTAGAGAAAATATAAGAGTCAGATTGTAAATTATTTAATAGGCAGGGAAAGAGGGAGATGTGAAAAGAAAAATATTATAGGAAGGGAAGTTTCTTTCTCAGCTATCTTCCATAAGAATATTTCCCTTGCTCTGTCAAAGCATACACAATGCTACTATTAACTGCAGAATGGAAGCTACCATGGGCACTACATTGTGGCTGTGACCGATAAAGCCCTGTATGACTTAGGTCTAGATTATCTGAAAGATTATAGCTCCTTTAAAAAACACCTTTAAAACCCTAAGATTGACAGGGAAAACCTTTCTCTCCTTTCAGAGACAGATAATTGTTGCCTTGTAGAAGAGGCCTTCCCAAATCATGTTACTGCTACTATAGATAGGATTTGGAGCAGAAGACAGTGGAAAGGAAATATTAAAAACAGTCCAGACAAATGTGTCATTCTAGTGGAGCCTCCAGTGGCGCAATGGGTTAAACCCTTGTGCCGGCAGGACTGCTGACCAAAAAGTCAGTAGTTTGAATCCAGGGAGCAGAGTGAGCTCCTGTCTGTCAGCTCTAGCTTCCCATGCGAGGACATGAGAGAAGCCTCCCACAGGATGGTAAAGCATCCAGGTGTCCCCAGGGCAACATCCTTGTAGATTGCCAATTCTCTCACACCTGAAGTGACTTAATTTCTCAAGTTGCTCCTGACATGAAATGTTTCTCTAGTGATTTTTTTCTGACTTCTCTTGACTTCAATGAATAGGATGCCAGCATGTGATTAACTCTTAGACCAAAGTTATTTAGATTTAAAGAAACTTAAATGGATTGCATTTTCTCATTTTGGAGAGATTGCCATTTAACATATTCAGAGAAGATGAGATAGTGTTTTCCTGAGAAGGTTTCATATCACAATGCTGATGAAGGACTCCAGATCTGAAAGTGCCTCTACATCTTAAAATAAGCAAGTGGAAAGGTTTCATGTCAAAGGGAAGGTTGATCTAAATGTATGACATGAACAGAGAACTTTTGAGACAGGAAGAGAGAATTCTCACTTGAATAATTCTTCACTTGCATTCTACAGTATCATCTCAGAAAGACCACAATGAACATTCTTCCTAAAGGCCCCTGATATTCCTCCCTTGTATCTCCAATTCAGCTTCTCTTGCATCATCCAACCTGCCTCAATGCTTGCATCACCTGGTTTTTGTTACTAAACTATTTTGATGCACAGTCTGGAACACCTTTTATAATCTGTTTTTGGGACAACAGGATTTGGATGAAGTAGATAATGTGGGAATAGGAGTTATTATGTTGTCCAGTCTGTCCCTTCATGAAAAATGTTACCCACATACACTAAAGGATATTTTCTTTGTTTCTCTCCATGGGAAACGCAGGACAGGTGTACGGGTTCCATTCTGAACCTCAAAAATGAGGACTCCTTTGGGGCAAATGCCCAGGAGAATTCCCGTCTGAGATTTTTTTTCTGGCAACACACGATGAAAATGAACGCCATACTCTGTCAGCCTCTGGCAAATCTACAGAGAGACAGGGAATGAAAGAGAAACAGAGACATTTGTGAGAAAACTGATTTGAGAATACCATGAGAGCAAATCAATATTTGAAGTCTTAAGATGCGCCCTCCCCACCAGATGGTGTACTGCAATTTCTTAGCCATTCTTACCTGTTAAAACTGATGGGAGATGGAGACCTAAACTTTATTCACCCTGATTTAAAAAAAATCAGTTTCTACTATCAGAGTCTCTCTTCATTCACAGGCCACCTCTATGCAGATTAAGTTAAGGTGCGTGCACATTTAATAACTCCTACAGCTCTAGAGTGTCACATTTTATCTTTAAACAGCAACAACAAACAACCCACTAGAAATCAGTAGTCATCAAATAAAGACTACAATAATATTTATAACAGCAGCCTTCCTTTATTTTCACTTCCCTCCCATGTAACAATTCATAACCAACCTGACATTAAGTCCAGTCATGTCTGACTCTGGGGGTTGATGCTCATCTCCATTTTTAAGCCAAAGAGTCGGTGTTGTCTGTAGACACCTCCAAGGTCATGTGGCCGGCATGACTGCATGGAGCACCATTACCTTTCTGCCGGAGCGGTACGTATTGATCTACTCACATTTGCGTGTTTTTGAACTGCTAGGTTGGCAGAAGCTGGGGCTAACAGTGGGAGCTCATGCTGCTCCCCAGATTAGAACCTGCGACCTTTCAGTTAGCAAGTTTAGCAGCTCAGCGGTTTAACCCACTGTGCCACCATTCGTACTAACCTTAAGAAATTCCAATTCAGCCTCTTTTTCAGAAGCTCCAGCATAAGTGCTATGAAGTTTTGGCAACTCTTCTTTGACATTAGAAAGGTCCACGTTTTCTATCACTCTCGCTGGCAAATAGTGTTCCGTTCTGAAATAAGACAGGCCATGCACCTGCAAGAAGAGAAAGGAGAATAAGAGCAAAGCCCGTGCACATGCTTTTGGAAAATGTGAATCTCCAAAACCATTTGGGAAATGGGATTCATAACCTTTTTGGAAAAATCACTGGTCACTGGAAAGGCATGACCCTGTTAGAAGTTACAACCTTTTGAAAAGTGATGTTCACCAGCATTTATGCAAGGCAACAAGGTCTTTCAGCTGTTACACTGATGTACCTAGGTATGTCTTTGAACTGTCAGGGACAAAGACATGCCAATGCACAAAAATACATATATTCAACAGAGTTTCAGAAGTGTTCCTTTAGTTGCCCAAAAAATACTCTCCCTTAAAATATATTTGCCTTTAAATCATGCTCTCAGGGGATAAAATAATCAGTTTTCTTTAAAAGTAACAGAGTTAGTTTACTCTCAAAACTTCATGTATGAAGCATACAGGCACCTTATTTAAGAATCCAGTAGTTTCTCTGTGTAGGTAACACAGGGCGTCTTCCTTTGAAACAATAGTCCACAGTCCAATGGAGTCCTTAAGCATACATCTTACTGAAGTCTAAACTGTATAACTGTACTCACTGCTTCTGATGCAAACACACACTTCTCTACATGGCTTCTCAAAGCAAACAATTATCTAAAAAGGAGTCTTAGTTTGGAACATTTCTAATTCTGATCTCATGGTTTGTAGCCCCTTCCACAATAAAGAGGTTAGGTAAAATTGCAAACCAATATACACATACAATACAGTAAGCACTTATATACATAACAAATAACTAGTGGAAGCTTGAGAAGGTTGCTATTTTCAACACATACAAGAATCATAGAATCATTGAGTTGGAAGAGACCTCATGAGTCATCAGTCCAACCCCCTGCCAAGAAGTAGGAAAATCACATTTAAAGCATCCCTACAGATGTAGCTGTAGCTGAATGCTATATTGGTCAGTCCTCATTATCTATGAGTCTACAACCAGAGAATCAACCTTTTTTTTTTGGCCAGCTGAATGGATAACCTCTCTAAGAACAGATATACGACCCCTCTCTTAGTGAATGCTGCAAGGTAACTCCCCAAAGAGGTTTCATATAATGTATATGAAATATCATGTTATGTCGAACTGTTCAGCAGCGGAATATGCTTCCTCGGAGCATGGTTGTGTCCCCTTCCCTGGCCGTCTGTCAAGAGTGCTTTGATTCTGTGTTCCTGTTTATCAGAATGGGGTTGGACTAGATAGCCCTTGTGGTCTATTCCAACTTTCTACAAAAGATCTTATCTGAATATGACTCTTCATCAGCAGAAATATTCATTTCTACCCCACAGCTCTATCTTAAAAGTGATCAAATGATTTGAGCTATGATCACATGGGTACAGTAAAAGTGTTCACATCAAGCATAAAAGGCCTTTTCTATTTCTGCAGATGAGTTCCTGTCCTAGTCATGCCATGCAAAACATATGAAAAGAAAACTCTTTTTGCCTATTAGAATAAAGCATGCCTTTGATTTGAGTTAAAAGCATGCACCAGGTTTTTTTGATGCTTATGAAACTAGGTGTGACAAAAATTCTTTTGTGAAGTCTGCCACATTTTTGGCTTTCCTTAAGGACTATTGGAATTGGATCACTGGTTTCAAGACCTTAAATGAAAAAGACATTCTAGTTTCCAGGTCCTATAGCAGAAAACCAACTCAATTTCGAAAGGCTATGTTTGTTTTTTCTCTTTTACCCGCATCAAGTCAACTTAATCAGAGTGACTCATACAGTGTCATATAGTGTCCAAAACAACCCAGATTAACTAAACTACACAGCAGACACAGAATTAGAAAACAGAATTAGGAGGCTGTCCACAGATAAACAATATCCTTACTTCAGGTTGGTAATCGCCATATTCTGCTTGCAGGGCCAGAGAGGCAAGTAATAAGGCTGTTTCATCATCACAATGAATCTTCTCCTCCAAGATATCTTTCCTTAACTGCAGGTAATACTGATGACATGTCAGAGTATGTCTGTTTTTTAAAATTTAAAAAGAGGTGGAAAGGGGGATACATTATATTAGATCTAGACACTGCAAAGCTGAGACAGTGCTGATGTGCATAAAAAGTCAGGACAGCTGCATGTTACTGTACACTCAAGTAGGCTATTTATTTATTTATTATTTATTTACTTAGTTTATACCCCGCCTTTCTCACCCCACAGAGGACTTAAGGCGGCTTACAAACTCCGACAAAACTCAATGCCGCATCTAAACATAACAATAAAAACATACCTCATCAAACTATAAAACAATTCACATGAGCAAATAAAACACATAGAACTATAAAAAAAGATTAAAACATATAAAGTTCTTGCTTCCATTAATCCTTGTTCAAACTTTGTCAAAATCCGTGATGTCTTATTCTCCAAACACCTGTGTACAGAGCCAGGTCTTTAGTGTTTTTCTGAAGAACAGAAAAGATGGGGCCTGCCTGATGTTGCTGGGGAGGGACTTCCACAGCTGAAGGGCCACCACTGAGAAGGCCCTGTCACTCATGTCCCCACCAATCGTGCTTGCGGAGAGGGTGGGACCGAGAGCAGGGCCTCCCCAGCAGATCTTAAAGCTCTAATTGGCTCATAAGGGGAGAAGCGTTTGGACACGTAAGTTGGACCAGAACTATTTAGGGCGTTATAGGCCAAAGCCAGCACTTTGAATTGGGTCCAGTAGCAAACTGGCAGCCAGTAGAGTTGGCACAGCAGGGGAGTTGTGTGCTCCCTGTACACTGCTTCAGTAAGGAATCTGGATGCCATCTGTTGGACTACTTGAAGCTTCTGGGCTGTCTTCAAAGGCAATCCCACATAGCATGTTGCAGTAATCTATGTGAGATGTAACAAGAGCATGGACCACCATGGCTAAATCTGACTTCCCAAGGAACAGGCACAACTGGTGCACAAGCTGTAATTCTGCAAAAGCTCCCCTGACCACCACTGAAGTCTGGGGTTCCAGGCTCAGTGATGAGTCTAGGAAAACTCCCATGCTGCGAACCTGTGTCTTCAGGGGGAGTACAACCCCGTCCAACACAGGCTGTAACCCTATACCCTGTCTGGCCTTACGACTGACTAGGAGTACCTCCACTTTGTCTGGATTCAATTTCAATTTGTTCGCCCTCATCCAGACCATCACTGCTAAGGTATGACATGGGAGAAACCCGCCCTGATATTTTGGTTGGGTAAAGTGAACAACAGCAACAACTGTTATTTCTAGACATGCATAAAATTCCCAACCGTGAGAAATTTTAATAAAAACATTAAAATCTTGCTGCAATTAAAAAAACAAAGCCCCAATTTAAGAAGCCTAGGGAAGAATTTAACGAGCCCCTTAAGTCCCATCTTTGGGAGAAATGTGGGGTATCGACCAGGTAGACCAGGGGTCCTCAAACTAAGGCCCGGGGGCCGAATGCGGCCCTCCAAAGTCATTTATTCGGCCCTCACTCAGGGTCAACCTAAGTCTGAAACAACTTGAAGCACACAACAACAACAATCCTATTTCATCAGCCAAAAGCAGGTCCACACTCCCCATTGAAATACTAATAAGTTTTTATTTGGTAAAATTGTTCTTCATTTTAATTATTGAATTGTTTTTAAGTGATTTTTGCAGTACAAATAAAATATGTGCAGTGTGCAAATAAATTAATTCTTTTTTTTCAAGTTATACTCTGGCCCTCCAACAGTTTGAGGGACTGTGACCTGGCCCTCTGTTTAAAAAGTTTGTGGACCCCTGAGGTAGACAAATACAATTAAAATGCACTAAAATGCTTATCACAAAAGTGTGTCCCATCTCACCTTAAAAAATCACAAAATGGGGTACAATGAGAATGTAACTGGGAAGAAGTCTCATAAATGGATACCCTCATAGGATAAGCCCACTTCATTTTCATGGTGGTTGTGGACAAAGATACTTTTCTTCTATGCAGCTATCATGAAAATGAAGAAGGCTAGTAGAGAAAGGATGGTGTAAGTTGTCTCTTCCTCCACCAGCATACTCACTCACTTACATAGAATTACATGAAGTCTGAATTGTATACAGAAAAGGAATTCCTAATTGTCTGTGGATACCATACTAATACAGGGCTACCATCCCACCTGCCATTAGTCTCCTTCTATCATGGAGTCAGGCAAAGAATTAGAAGAGGACCATCACAAAGTGTATATAACTTGTGAGGAACAAATACATTGGGGACAACACTGGATTCTCCTATGGAATCCACACACTGTGGAAAGAGGATTTGAAACAGCATGCATGCACTCACTGTATCAAGCTAATATCATCCACAAAGAACTTAATTCGGAAGAACAAGGTGAAATTTATTGCATTTTTGCTCTTTTTCTTTGGTTCTTCTTTCCATCCCTCAGGAGCTACTTTAGTCAATTTCAGCTCCGGATCAATAAAGAAAAATTCATTGTCTGTCCAAAAAAAGAAAGAGGGGGGTGATTAGGAACACAATATTCTGGCAGCTAAGTTTTTTCCACTTTACTATATTCTGGTAAATTTTGTTTCATCATTAACTGCCTGTGATATTGACAGCCCTTAGATTATAATCTTATACCCCTTCTTAAAATCCTTCTCCTTGAAGTAAGATCCACAAACTCAACATATCTGAACCAATGTAGATACATCTACACCATTAATTGTTTCACTTAAAGGAGGAAGACCTAGTAGTATAAAGTACTGCAAACTGGAGGTCAGAGAAACTGTTTTGGCCCATAAAAGGGCCCCATTTCCATTTCTGTGCCTCTCTCTCAGACTGCTTGAACTAACCTCTCTGAGACAGAAGTCTTTTCCTGACAAGGTCTCGTATTTCCTAATCTAATTCTATTGGGGATCAACATTATGTTAAATACAGACAAAGGAGTAATCAAACACATGCTGGAATTATGCCTATGTGGACAAGAGTGGTTTCTTTCTTCTTCTTCTTCTTCTTCTTCTTCTTCTTCTTCTTCTTCTTCTTCTTCTTCTTCTTCTTCTTTTTGGGGGGGGGGTGATATAGAAGGCTGTTGCTTTTACACTGTATTGGAGGGTATCATGTTGATTTCTACTGAACAGATATATTACAACTTTGCCTTATGCCTTCAAAACCATATCCCTTAGCAAAATGAATGGAAAAGCATTGTTTCTGATGATCAAAGTCCACAATATCATGATGTGGTGCGATGTGTTAAATCCTTGTGCCACTGAATCCGTGAGACAGGGTGAGCTCCTGTTTGTCAGCTCCAGCTCCTGCCAACTTAGCAGTCTGAAAACATGCAAATGTGAGTAGATAGGTACTATTTTGGCAGGAAAAGGCAAAGAGATACCCCAAACAATCTTGCTAGCCACATAACCAGGAGACTCCTTGGCTTGAAAATGGAGAAAGCACCTCTCTAGAGCCAGAGAGGAGCACCACCTCCAGAAGCCGGAAATGAAAGGAGAAGCCTGTGTGTTTGTGTGTCTCGTTGTACATGATTGTAAATGCATTGCATGTTTGCCTATGTATGCAAATGCTATTATCCACTCTGAGTCCCCAAGGGGAGAAGGGTGGAATATAAATAAAGTGTATTATTATTATTATTATTATTATTATTATTATTATTATTATTATTATTATTCCATGATTACTTGAAGGATGCATCAGTGATTTGCAAGAATTTTAGAAAGCAAGATGAATTTTTGTCCTCCTGCTGTCATGTGTGGTTTTGCTATGTCATGATTATGGAAACACTGGTTCCTGTTAGCTAATTTACACATACAAGTCACCATTTGCATTGGAATGTATATGCACATAGCAGCTCATGGTAAAATAGTTGACTTACCTTTAAAAGTGGCCAAGCCAAACAAGTGATGCTCCACTAAGCCAATATGGGCTACCACCATGTCAAACACATCTTTGCATACAGTCTTGGTATCACAGGTGAGTTCTAGCCTCTGGCCACTTAAAAACATGACATTCACTTTCCGCCGAGTATCTTCGTTCTTTCCTTTCTTGTTCTGCATTGCATCAAACAAAATACTGTCTGCCATCAAACTGCTGAAGGATCATGTATCATGAGTAGCAAATGCTATCTTATTTTTAATGGAAAACACATTTCTACCATAACAGGGCTTATGCCAAGCTATATTGCTTCAAAATAAAGTAAAAGTGTGACACGTTAATTTTGCAATAAAATCTCTCTCATGAAAACACTCTCATGAAACAGCTCTAATGAAAACACTTAGACCAGGCCCCTATGCCGTGATAGGCTTCCCATTTCAGCGATAGAAGGGTCATTTGAATATCATGCATTCTAGTGTGTAATAAAGGACTGTAGGAATGAAGAAGGTGTAGGAATGACGAAGGTGAATAAGTGAAGAAAACATTAGGAACAATTCAGAAAAAGGTATGTGCTTATACAGTTTAAACCAGTGGTTCTGTGGTCCATGGACCACTAGTGGTCCGTGGACTCACTGTCACTACACCGTTACAACAAGAGCAACTAATCTCGCAATACCCTCTTATAGTGCCAAGGCTTATTAAATATGGTTTTCTGTGAGCAGATGGTGATTATAGGATGGCATATGTTCTGTATCAGAAAGTAGAGCTGATGTGGTCTATCCAATGCAATTTTCTAAATCAGCACCTCAAATAACCAAACCGAATCTAAAGTTGACCAAAAACTGATTTGTAACCCTTTTGGTAGTAATGTTGGAGAGTGGTCCATGGTCAAGTGGTCCCTGGTCAAAAAAATGCTGGGAACCACTGGCTTAAACTATATGCTATGATAAATGCATAAAATGAAGCAAAGCTTTTTTTTAACCAATTTGAAATCAATGTGATTTTGTAGTATTTGAACTCTGGCTATTTTTCCCCCTTTTCATACTAAAGGAACCTAGATCCCCAAATATGTAGTGTTCTCTGAGACCCTGCAGCATCTAGAAAGCTAGAATGTCAAGAAGACAACTAGCCCAGATGCCAGTCAAGCATAAAGAACGGCTGACCCTTGGAAGAGGGAGCAACATCATACATGAAATGAGAGATCAAGCAGCCAATGAACTGTAACAAATTACATACTCTCCAGTGCATAAAAATGTCTCCAGCAAACATTAAAATATCCTGCCAAGATAGAGATGGCTTAGCCTAGTGCTTTGATCTTAGGATGAAAAGAAATGGAAGAAATGGAAAGAACAAGAAAACAAAAATAAGGCAGCAGTGAGAGGCTTGCAGCCTTCCTGATGTTGGATTACAATTTCAATCAGTTCTGCCAATCGGAGCTGCAATCCAATACATTTTAACCTGTGCTCTAAGGTAAAAGTTTCCCCTTGACATTAAGTCTAGTCGAGTCTGACTCTGAGGAGTGGTGCTCATCTCCATTTCTAAACCGAAGAGCTGGCATTGTTCATAGACGCCTCCTAGGTCATGGGGCCGGCATGACCGCATGGAGCACTGTTTCAATTCCTATTGATCTACTCTTGCACGTTTTTGAACTGTGAGGTTGACAGAAGCTGGGGCTAACAATATGAGCTAACCCTGTTCCATGGATTTGAACTGCCAACCTTCTAGTCAACAAGTCTGCGGTTTAACCCGTTGTGCCACCACAGCCCCATAACATGTGCTCTAGGCCAAAACAAATATTTTCCCTATAGAAAACCCACAATTCCACCTCCTCCATCTCCAGTTGAAATCATCCTAAGTGGATAAGCTTGGAAAAAAATAGGGATGGAGGAGAAAGTAGCTCATTTTGTGCTTAATATAATCTACCATTAATTAGCCAAGACATGAATTTTTACAATGCCAACCTTCAGTCAAAAATGCATTAAAATAAGTATGTTAAAGTGCTCACAAAAATGCATGTGTGAGTATATTATGTGTATCATGCATATTATGAAATGCTGCTTAAAATATATAATAGACAAAACTGCATGCATGACACATATAATTAGTAGAAATGTAAATAGATGTGCACTTAGGAAAAAATAAAATTGATACCGAAATGCTTAAGACTAGGAAAACATGAATAGGAAGAAATCTAATTTGGTCTATGCTTTTACAAAATTAGTCTTTTAGAACATCCTCCATTTAGGGTATAAAGTACTGGCCTAGATAAGGGAAATATCCTTAAGTTTTCTAAGTTCATATGCAGAAGGTGGAATTCCTTCTAATTCATAAGGCAACGTTCAGCTGATCCATATCAAAAGACACCAAAAGTATGTTACATCTGTGCAATTCTTATAGGGTTCATTGACAAAAGTTGCTTAGAGATACAAAAAGTCAAAGCTTAAAGCTTAATTGAGAACTCAGACATTTGGCTTGACATGACCCTATCCTGACTCTCTCAGAGAAATTAAGCCAGTGAAAGCCATTGGAGGTTACAAAAGTAAAGATGTGGGGCACACAGAGAAGATAAAGAGAAGGAGATGTTGAGGGAGAGAAAAAAAATACAAGCATTACACCATTGATCCACTATCTACTTATATAATTACTATTGATGTTAGATGAGCAGATGAAATCTTACCAAAATTGACTTTGGCAGGTCCAAGGAAGTAAATGGCTCAATTGTTGTTTTCACAAATTCAGGGCCAAAGAAATTCTGCAAATCACAGAATTCCATATCAGAATTACAGTGTGGAAGCAACAAAACATAAGTAATTACAAACCACGATACTGAGAATAATTGGAAAGCACAAAGGGATTGAATGTGAGGATAACATTTCATGCATGTGATAAAGTTCATAAAAGTTTATGTCACGTTATGTGTGATTGCCAACAGACTAACATGTCAACTTTCCCAACTGTCCTCTTCTATCATGCTGTAGGATGAACAGATCAAGATGAGAGAAAGGAAAGAACGCTATGGATGCATTGACTGGGCCAACACGATATTGTATGCTTTGCGATGAGCTGAATTTTCAAACACACTGGACATACATGCACAACCAGTTACTACTAATCTTCCATCATTGTGAATTGTTGAAAGCACTCTCAGATCTTATGAAGATGGTGATCATAGAATCATAGAATAATAGAGTTGGAAGAGACCACATGGGCCATCTAGTCCAACCCCTTGCCATGCAGAAAAAGCACAATTAAAGTACTCCTGACAGATGCACACAAGAGTTCCAAGTAATGCAATGCTTAGAACCAGAATTTGGGAAAGTTATTTGTTTGTTTGTTTTTTGGACTCTTAGTGCTAGCTGCGAGATTCCAAAAATTATTATTCTCCCATTCTAATATGTATGTGGTATGTGAGAACACCATGATGGTCAACTCCATATAGCTGTATTCCCCTGAAAATAGAAACTACTGGCATGTAGAATTGTAGGGTTGAAAGAGACCCTAAGGGCCACCCAATCCAACTTCCTACCATGCAGAAATATACAACCAAAGACAGCTGGCTTTCCAATCTCTGTATAAAAATCTTCAAAGACGGATACTCCATCACACTCTGAGGCAGTGTTTTACATTGTCAGACAGCTCTTACCATGTAGCTATTTTTCAAAGGGAATGTATCATACATAAGTAGGTATATATTGTAGGAATGTAAATCCTCAACTATTTTGTCATCACCTACAGAGACAGATAATGATAGTAGTTTTCACATTAGCCCAAGGGAAATCAAATATTCCTCCACAGTATGTTTTCTGTGCTGTGGGAGAAATAATTTGCCTGGATTTGTGTGTTTGCGTATGAAACAGACATATATTATTCTCTGTAGAACAATTTCTCTGTAACACTTCAGGACATTTGAATACCAGGAGGAAGATTGCAAAGAATTCTCCCTGGTTTATTATTCTTCCCAATAGAGTTTGCGTACGGTTAGGAAACATATTTTTCAGCCTGGGGACAAATAATTACAAATATTCTTCTAAAACCTTGTTTGTAGCAACCATTTTTTGGAAGAGAGCTACAATGCCATTGTCTTCCATGAGTGTTTGATAGCAGAATAATTTTCTCCCTATGTTCCAGTTGCTGAGGATACCATTCTCATTTCCTTTACAGTTTTTCACAAAATAATGCAACTGAGCACGGAACTTTCCTGACCTTCGTTATTGGCCTTCTAATAGAGAATTTATGACAAATTTCCCAAACTAAGGTTTTCCTGGAAAAGAGATTACAAATCGCTGATTATTTTGTATTATCAGACATGTACCAGACAGCTCTTTAGACAGGGCAATTGAGATTCCTGGATTTGTCCCATCGACATGTTGGAAAGGCTTGGGGGCCAACAGTAGCAACAGCTAGTAGCCCGGAGGCATTCTAAGAAAACTGAATAAATGTCTCTGCATTTCTTAACATCCTGGTGTCAAAACCTGGCATTTGCTTAGTCACCCCTGTTGCTGTTGGAACAAGCCTGCTTCCTGTAAATACCCAAGGAATGTCCATAAGAAGGACATTTCAAAAAGAAAACAAGATATAAGGGCACACAAGGGTACATTTTATAAAGTACACACTAGAACAGTGTTTCTCAGCCTTCCTAATGCTGTGACCCCTTAGTACTGTTCCTCATGTTGTGGTGACCCCCCAACCATAAAATTATTTTTGTTGTTACTTCATAACTGTAATTTTGCTGCTGTTATGAACCATAATGTAAATATGTGATATGCAGGACATATTTTCATACACTGGATGAAATTTGGAACCAATACACAAAACACCCAAATTTGAATACTGGTGGGGTTGGGGTGAAGGACTGATTTTGTTATTTGGGACTTGTAGTTGCTGGGATTTATAGTTCACCTACAGTCAAAGAGCATTCTGAACTCCACCAAAGATGGAATTGAACCAAATTTGGCACCCAAAACTCCCATGACCAAGAGAAAGTACTGGAAGGGTTTGGTGGGCATTGGCTTTGAATTTTGGAGTTGTAGTTCACCTACAACCAGAGAGCACTGTGAACTCAGACAATGATGGATCTGGATCAAACTTAGCACTAATACTCAATATGCCCAAATGTGAACACTGGTGGAGTTTGGGGAAAATAGATTTGACATTTGGGAGTTGTAGTTGCTGGGATTTATTGTTCACCTACCATCAAAGAGCATTTTGAACCTCACCAACAATAGAAGTGGCTCAAATTTCCCACACAGAACCCCCATGACCAACAGAAAATACTGTGTTTTCTGATGATCTTTGGTGACCCCTCTGATACTCCCCTCATGACCCCTTCCCCAGGCTCCTGACCCCTAGGTTGAGTACCGCTGCAGTAGACACTCATGAAAACTATTAAAAATTATGCATTTTTAGGAACATAATTTTCCAAAACATGAACACAGGTTATATCTGTTAAAATACCATAATTGGAAAAAGTAAACAGTGTTTAATGAGAACAACCAGCAAAAACAAATGATATTGTTATAACTCAATAACTTAAAGTGTGCAGAAAGGTATAAAATGTTACCCTTAGTTTCCTTTGGGTCATGGCTGTTTCCAATGCGATCTCTCTGAGAGGATCCCTTGTCATATCAAGTACTGATGGCCTCAGTGTTTCTCCAGGATACAGGCTTAGTCGAGACTGTCTGAGGGCCATTTTAGCTTGCAGCTGCATCATCTCCTCTTCCTGGCGCTTCAGCATCACTTCTTGGCTCAAGTGGTTGCCTTCCAGTGGAGTTTCGTATTGCCTATTATTGAGAAAGGTGGAAGAAAATTTGGGTTGTCATTTAAAAAAAAACAACAATGAATGCCACTAGGCAATCTGTCAGTATTATTGTCATGTGTCTTCAAGTCATTTCAATCTTATCATGAACTTAAGATGAAGCTATGTTTTGGAGCTGAGTGTGTGTGGCTCATCCAAGGTCAACCATGGCTGAGCGGGGAATCCAATCCTGGTTTCCAGAGTTGTTGTCTAATGCGCAAACCATTATGCCACAATGACTCTTGTCAACATTATAACAGACTATAATAAATAAGGGAACATATTGATATATGTTTTTGGTAAAAAGGAAATCACTTTGGCCAATTTAATGTAGGAACACAGGGATACTGAATTACACTACTAGCCCTTCTAGCCCATGGTAGCACATTTCCAGGGTTGAAGGCAGGATTATTTCCTAGTTTTACCAAGATTGGTTTCCTGCCCAAGGTTTCCTTCAAGCAAGGATTGGGAAAAGGGCCAAGATTCCTAGCATGCCATCCCTGTGCAGACTGTTCGGTCTCATTAATACATGTGCTAATCCTAGGTTGATATGTCCTAGTGTACGGCAATTGAGATCAATGGTAACTAAATGGGCTGTAACTTATAAATTCCATTCATTTCAATGGGTCTACTCTAGGAAATATTTAGACTGTTAATCCAGCTTTTTCAACAAAAAAGTGGCCATGGCACCTTACAAAAATTAGAAGATAGGTGAAAAATAAAATTCTGATTAATAAATATAATAAAAAACCCATAAAATATAGAGCCAGCACAAGAATCATCCTCTGTCCAACAACAGACCAACTTACATCCCAAAACCCTTTTCGAATAAAAGTTTTCACCCTGCTACAAGAGGAAGTCAACTCAAATTCCTCCAAGCATGAAATTTCAGTGCTAAGTGATAGCCACACTCTGATGTAAAAGTGTAGTTGTTCCAAAATCTGTATGTACAACAAATTTATATTTTAAGACTAGAGTGCTAAACTATCACAAATGAAAACCACCATCCAGGATGCCCACTAATCCTTAAACTATATTATCTTCTTTATATGAATTTCCTAACAAGCAAAGCTGCCTTTGAATAACTGCAAAGATATAAAAATCAAGAATCCTTTAATTCAACATCACATAAGTCCTCAAGGTCAGCCAAAATTAGTAACTCTACCCTCAAACTTCTTGGCTTGTGCTCTTAAGTCAGAGCACTGGAATTACTTATTAACTTCAAGATAGTAGGATTACCAGTCAGCTGGAAAATGGGATTGTAGCGAAGGCAAGAAAGCTATAATAATGGGATCATCTGCTATACTTACCAAGGTGTGATTTCACACTGGGGTCTAGAGGAAGAAGCCAGAGTTAAGGTATGAGTTAGGGAGTGTAGCTGAAGAGAGAAGCAGAAGGTTCAGGAGCAGAACAGATGGGGAAAGAAGGAGCAGACACTGTGAAGGAAAGAGGGGAAATTTAACCTGCTACAATAGAACTAAGGTGGCTAAATCCCTACATGCATGGTTGCTGACCATTCCTACAAAAGGCCAAGAAAACAGAAGTTGCAAATGTTTAACTTCCCTTGGCACAGAATTGCATGCATGGAATCTGTCCCACTTCTGAGTCATACTGCTTCTGGAATAAGAGATTCCCATGCAAAAACTGGAGATGCTGTTTGGATCACGAATCCCATAACATCCCACTCTGACAATAATCATATGGAAAGCCCCTTGGAGATTATCTAAGACTGCATATGAAGCAGGAGAAACCCAATGTTCGCATCTTGGGAGTGATCCTGGGCTCATCACTGAGCCTGGAGCCCCAGGTCTCGGGGGTGGCCAGGAGAGCTTTTGCACAATTAAAACTTGTGTGCCAGCTGTGCCTGTACCTTGGGAAGTCTCATCTGGCCACAGTGGTCCATGCTCTTGTTACATCCTGAATAGATTACTGCAATGCGCTCTACGTGGGGTTGTCTTTGAAGACTGGAAACTCCAACTAGTGCAATGGGCAGCAGCTAGAGTACTCTCTGGAGCGTCATACAGGGAGCACCCCCCCCCCCCGGTTATGTCAGCTCCACTGGCTGTTGGTCCAATTCCGAGCACAATTCAAAGTGCTGGTGTTGACCTATAAAACTCTATACAGTTCTGGCCCAGCGTACCTGTCCGAACGTATCTCCTTCTATATCTCACCTCAGAGTTTAAGATCTTCTGAGGAGGCCCTACTCTCGGCCCTGCCTCTGGTTGCAAACATGCTTGGTGGGGATGAGGGACAGGGCTTCTTGGTGGTGCCCCCCCCCCGCCTGTGGAATTCACCCCCCCAGTGAAATTAGATTATTAACATCCCTCCTTTCCTTTAGAAAGAAGTTAAAAACATGGATGTGGGACCAGGCCTTTGGGTAATCTTGCTGACAATGACAGTGACAATGATGACAATCGCTATGGAAATGGATTATGGACATGCTTGATGGTGTCTCTAACTACAGAATTTGAGTCAAATAAGGCCACCAGGCTGTTATTGAAACAGAAACAGATTTTAATTCATTAATGTGATTTAATGTTTTAAATGTATGTAATTATTGGATTTTATTATGTATTTTATTATGTGTACAATGGAGGCATCGAATTATTGCTGGCTGGAAGCTGCCCTGAGTACCCCCCTTCCCGGGGGGGGGGGGTTGAGAAGGGTGGGGTACAAATATCTGAAATAAATAAATAAATAAATAAAATAATAGAACAGGGGCAGTGAAGCAATGAAGTGAACTGGTAAGGCAGTTAAACTGTGCCTAAAAAGAGCCAACCAATGATGCTCAATAGCAGAATGACCAGCTTCTACACAATGGAGTGGCAAATCCCCTCCGAGTTTTACCCAGAACTTTAAAATGAGCTTTCTAAAGTATCAAACACACCTGCAGGATACATTTCAGTAACCTGAAACATTTCTTGTATATTTCAGACTGAAACACAGAAGTGGATCCATAAGTCTACTGACACCAGAGCCAGTGGAGAGCACTGGATAAATATAGCTGCCTTGATAAGCCAAGAAAAAAAGCACAATATAACATTTGTGGCTTCCATGGTAAAATTTCAACATGCAGACATAAGAATGTTGCATTTTCTCAGTCTTACTGTTATATCCGTTTCCTCTGTAGAACAGAGGATTGGTTCAAAATATTATAAGCCAACGGACTGTAGCTAATCCAAATATTTTATTTGCAATTAATTAACACAATTACTCAATCACTGGGGCTCACATCCTCTGGAGGTCTGACAAATCTGGAGCTTGGAATGAATGAAACATTTGAATGATGTACCAGGGGAGGGAAAGGTGAAGCGTTTTCACTAATTATTCCTACAATTAAAAACATTATAAAACAAAGACCTTTAAATATATATACAGAATAAGTGATTTGAGAACCACCTTCATAAACTTGGCAGATGCCAACTAGTTAGTGGATACATTCCACATAATTACAACCCCACTGATTATTTTTTGCTTTTTTTCTAGCCAGGGGTTTTGAATATTAGCTTCTAAAGCATTATTAAGTAGCTCAAGCCCAAGGGCATGATACCAAGAGCAGTGGATTTTATGAAAAAAAGCAGAATGCAGTGCTTGTATCTGGGTTACTGATCGTATCTCAAAGGGTTGTGAACTGGAAGATGGAACATCTTTTTTCACATTTTTGAAGCCATTATCAAGGCAGAATAAGCTCCCTCACTGCACTCATACTAGAGAGGCAAAGAAATGATTAAGAACTAGAGGAAAGGTTGCAGCCAATGAGGCATTTTTCTGTGGGTGGATCAAGATGGGCAGGGCTGGTTTACAACAGAACGGGGTGCAGCATCTTCAAAACAAAACAAAACAAAACGTAGTCTTGTAGTCTACTCTGCTTCAAGCTATTTTGTTTGGCACTTGAATTCAAACAGTTCAGAACTTAACCACGCTGGGATTCTTCCTACAATATATATGAAAAAAAGTTTTTTTCTGAACAGTGATCATCCTATCAGAAAACAACAAAACATGTTCTTGCAGACTGCTTCTCTCATGACTTTGAGAGAAACGTCTACTAAACCAATACCCTCTCAACTGCAGTTACTGATGGCATGTCCCACCTTGCTCTTCAGGGTTACCTGTCCTAACTGGAGATCTTTCTTGACTCATTTTGAATTGTCAACTTTACTGCCCACACTCAATCAATATTCCTGCTAGCATAGCTGTTGTCCCTCCTCTTAAATCACTTGATATGGAATCATGTCAGCTCTGCCAGCAGGGTTGGATTTCAACTTCCAGCAACATCACCAATGGCAAGGAATACTGGGAGATGTCAGACCAACCTGCTGCATGATTCCCAAGCCTGTCACAGCTGAGTCACTGATCTCTCTACATTGTGATGGGAAATTTACTCATGGCGGACAGTAGTGTTGTTCACTATTTGAATGTCAAGGGAAGCACACATTAAAGGGTGTGTGGCCACTAATATATTTGCCAAGACATGGAAATACATGAAGCAGAATATCAGGTTTCTTTTCAAATGTAGACACCTAGAAATGGAACCCAAAGTGGAAGTGAAACCCAGAAACAGGTACTGACTGCATCAGGTATTAACAAGGAATTAATACATGTACACACACACATATCTAAAATCTTACAGCCACTTTAATCTTCCAGTTACCAGCACAAGATTCTGACAATGTAGGGTCTTGATAAGGGATCTAAAGAACATTCACAACTTTTCTCATTCTGTGGAAGAAAAAGTGTCTCAATCCATTGAGATAGGACATTGGAAATGGGCAGTTGCTGCAAGATTTTCATCCCCATGAAAGTGCAAAAATGCACATCTCTTTTCATCAAGGCCTCAGTAGTTTGTGTAAAATACACATTTGCCAGAACTACTCTCCTTCTCCTTTTGTTAGGCAAAATGCACACACATATGGTACCCATGGGACAAGATAACGGATCTCAAAGCTGCAACAATCCATCCAAAGTTGTTTAAAAATCCACACAAGGCACCAACAATAGCTATTTGTAAAAAAGAAACCCTATTTGCAATTAATTTGTACTCTACTAGCTTTTGGTTTATACTTGTAAAGCTATCTTGAGTCCAAAATAGTTCTAAATAAGTAGTAACAGTCCCGTCATGTAATTTGTATAAAAAGAGAGCAAAAAACTCTGGAAAATGTGCAACAACTCATCAGTTTGCTGGGTGGAAGAAAGCTTAGGGATTTTTTATTCTTGTTCATAACAGTAAATTGTACAATGATTATAATTCTTGTCGTGACCAGAACTTGGAAATGCAACTTTTTAAAACAAAAAATCCCAGAATTCTTCAGTCATCTTCCAGTCATGTTGATTAGGGAACCAGGGGATTTATTGTCCAAAAAGCATGTTGTTAAAACATTCTGGCAGATTCCTAAAAAACACATCATGAAGGTGGTTCATCATGAGCCCAGCTGAACACCTAAATTGGAAATTCATCTTAAATGTCATCCAGATTTCTATCTGACTCTTTGCAGCTGACAACAGAAGGTCACAAATACATGTCCTCAAATTTCCAGACATATTTCATTTCTACATGTGGCAACGTATATATTTCTTAAGCAACACACAAAAATCCCCCTTATCTGAGGCCATGTACACCCACTTATTTCTTAAGGAATGAGTCAGGAATAGTTCTGCTTCAGACTTCACCTCAACCTGATGAAATCTTGAGCCATTCAAGTTTGAGCAAGACACATTTAGGTGGGATATCAGGCAACCTTTTCTAGCTATGAAACAACTGAGTGCTGCAATACATGTGACGATGAAATTGTAGAATCTTACATCTAGAGGTTTTAAAAAATATCCATGAGCTTCCAGTAGGACTGATTTAAATCAATGTTGTGAACGTTACAGAATTTCAGAACAAGTAGAACACAAACCTCACCCTTCTTGTTCCCTGGACCTTTCTTCTCCTAGGAGAATTTGCAAAAACCTCTTGCTGATGTAGAATATTGTACTGTTGACAGTACAGGCAATATATCTAGACACATCTGCCATTCCTAGATATATCTGTGATTCGTATCCCCTTCACAGCTCTGAAGCCACTTTCATAGTATAGTCAGCCCTCCACATTTGTGGGTTCAACCTTTGCGAATATAATCACTCAAAAATTGATCAATATAGGCTCTCTAAGAATTTCTAACTCCTCTAGTGTAACTCTATGTTCAACTTTCAGCAAATATCTTAGAATTTCTATAGACATGTCCTAACAGGTAAAAATGGTAGTGAGGTATTTTTTTTATTCACCACTTTTCACTATTGTGGTGGTTCTGTGACCCTAACCCCAGTGAAAATGGAGGGCTGACTCTATAAGAGTATTGCACTATAGAACAGTGGTTCCCAACCTTTTTTGACCAGGGACCACTTGACCAAGGACCACTCTGTCCAGGGACCACTCTCCAACATTAGTACCAAAAGGGTTACGAATCAGTTTTTGGTCAACTTTAGATTCAGTTTGGTTATTTGAGGTGCTGATTCAGAAAATTGCATTGGATAGACCACATCAGCTCCAGTTTCTGCTCGCTCACAGCACTATATGAAGGTTTTAATAAGCCTCAGCACTATAGTAAGCCTCAGCACTATATGAAGGTTTTGTGAGACCAGTCATTCTGGTTGCAACGGTGTAGTAACGGTGAGGTCTTAATAAGCCTCAGCACTATAATAAGCCTCAGCACTATATGAAGGTTTTGTGAGACCAGTTATTCTGGTTGCAACGGTGTAGTAACAGTGAGGTCCCAGACCATATTTTAGTTCTTGTCGACCACTGGTGGTCCATGGGCCACAAGATGGGAACCACTGCTATAGAATGACCTCATTTGTTTCCATATAATACTCAAATTCTTTCCACCATCTGCTTCCAGAAATGATCTGCAGATGAGGCACCAGGAAGAAAAGAAGGCAGATACACTGGGTTGCTGTAAGTTTTTTTGGGCTGTATCACCATGTTCCAGAATTAATCTCTCCTGACGTTTCATTGATATATAAAGCCCATTTTCCTAGTTTCCAACAGACCTCACAACCTCTGAGGATGCCTGCCATAGATGCAGGTGCAGCGTTGGGAGAGAATACTTCTGGAACATGGCCATACAGCCCAAAAAACTTACAACAACCCAGTGATTTCGGCTATGAAAGCCTTCGACAACACAAGGCAGATACATATGATTGGGATCAAATCTAGGTTTAGATCTAAAAGGGGTAGTTCAAAAAGACAGCAGCCTGAATGTTACCATCTTGATGTATCCATTCACCATTCCTTCCTTTCCCCTCACTTCCCTTCCCTCCTCTCTTCTCTTAAGACCAGAATCAGAGGTAGGTTTCCAGTTTCTTGAATCACTTTATCTTAATATCCAAAATGAGTAAATGAGAAGTCCCCTGCAAAGCAGGATCTGAATAAGAAACCAGTTAGTTCTTCTGCAACTGGTCACATGAAAGTAGGTTCATTAGTCATTCATACTGGAAAAAAATGTGCTTACAGCTGAACTGTGCCTTATGAGTCTATAAACTAGTTGCTACATTGGGAGTTCCTCTTTTTTTCTTTACCTTGATCTTTGTCCCTGAAGTCGACCTAATGGAGAGGGATCATCTTCTCTTTGGAGACGACCACTGGAGTCATCCCTCAGTGCTTCAAACCTCCTCGCTGGCACATGGAAAGAAAGCCAAAATCATAATTTAGTATTGAATAAAGGACAATTATTATATCACCTATGTTTTCACTACATTCAAGTTACCTTCAAGCCCAGCTTTTAAGTAATAGTATACATATTTTGTTAAATCCACAGGGACATGACGAGAGAATAGGGAATGCAAAACAAAAATGTCAGCCTTGTCTTGATTTTTGCCCAGACAAGTTGTCTCAAAATGGCAAAATAGCCTACTGAAGTTTCTCCAGTTCATACATTTCCCCCATCATACTTCCTTCAATTTATGCAAAGTTTCTCATGCTGAATTAGTGATTTTTTTCAGCTTTGTGACCAGACACACATATTTGGCAGACAAAAAGACAGGCTGACTGATCTAAAAGATACAAGCACCCCATTTGACACTACTTCTTTTTAAAAGTCCATGAAGCAAAGCAACGTTTATTTAGGGCTTACATTTACAGAAATACACAATCATGTCACAACATGGACAAAACTCTTTCATTTTCAACATCATTAGTTATAATAATGCAACTGCTGAGGGCACCGCTAACCAAGTAAAAGATCAGAACTGTAGAAAATTCAGCCACAGTACATATAATGCTCTGCTTTAAAAAGATCAGAGAATCTTCAACCTGCCTATCAACTTATGGCGACTCTACAAATATCATATGTATCTTTATGCAAGGAATACTCAGAAGTGGTTTGGCCAGTCCCTTCCTCTTAAATATAACCTGCAGCACCTGGTGTTCATTTGTGGTCTCCCATCGAAGTACCAACTAGGGCTGCCCAATACCAGAAAGGATCTGGGGTCTTTAGGATATTCAGGCCTCATTCTGAAAGTCTTACCTTGCCGGAAATCAGCCTCAGAAGACATAAAGGATGGACTTTCACTGTCTGTGCTGTATATGTCACTGTGATAAGATTTATATCTTCGAACATTGTCTGAAAGAATTTGAAGGAAACACAGCAATGTAATTACTCAACATATCATTTAATATCATTCCAATGCACAAACTTTTAAATACTTAGTTCTATTATCCCACTAGCCACTTTGCCTGATAAAATAAATAAGACTGCAGTCAGGCTTCTTTTCACTTTATTTTAAAAAGGAAAAGGTCACCGTATAGCTATCCAAGTAGTAATCCGGCACTTGAAATTAACATGCTAGAAGAGCCAATGATACTACCTATAATACATTTTCCCTGAAACAGAATAAATAGAACACAAATGGATAGAGTTAAACGTGGAGGACTTTGTGTAATGTTCAGACATGGTTTATCACTGCGTTTGTGAGTAATTTTGAATAGTGGATGTTTTTTGTGTTTTAAAGCATTTTAAAAAATAGTATTAAGTTAACAGGAAAAAGTAATGTTTTAGCTATTACTTTTCTCAATGTTTCGATCTTTGCATTTGCAATAGCAAGTCAAGGACTTCTCTTGCTAAGAATTCCAAAAGGCTCCGCCTTGAACTACGTTTCTCAGAATTTTGTAGGAGCAACTGGGATGATTGGCAGACAATAGCCTCCACCATTCTATAATGCTGGTGGGAAAACATCCCAAACTCTAGGATATTTTATCTTCCATAATCCCTTAGCATCATCTTTAACAGATTCTTGTCACATTTGATCATTCTTAACCATGAATAAAGATGCCTTTTAACATTCGATCTGATCTAAAACACAGTTTCTGAACTATGAGTTATAGGTGGCTCTAAACATGGGAAGTAATTGTGAGATGTATTTTAAAATTCAACCTAAAAATGTATAATCATTGAATCATAGAATCATAGAGTTGGAAGAGACCTTGTGGGCCATCCAGTCCAACCCCTTGCCAAGAAGCAGAAAAATCGCACCCCCTGACAGATAGCCATCCAGCCCCTGTTTAAAAGCCTCCAAAGAAGGAGCCTTCACCACTCTCTCCGGGGCAGAGTCCCACTCCTGAACAGCTCTCACAATGAAGGAGAGAGGACAGAGGAGGATGACAGCAGCAATGAGATGGAAACATACAATCTTTCAAACACATTTTGATCCCAATGTTATGGAAAATGCTAACCTAAAAAGGCCACCATGCTAATTAATGTTGATTTATTGGCTGAAGTAGGTATCAATCAATGGGTTAGAAAACCAATTTCTAGTTTTGGTTTTCTGTCATATCTTTGTGGCATATGTATGATTGGGAAAATGTTACATGTGAGCATGAGATGAACTGTGACCCATTTCAAATTGTGCCAAAATGACTGGAAGTTCATCACTGCTTTTGGTATTAAAGTGCAGGATCGTCCTGAAAAATGTTTAATAGTTACTGTTTCATATCTGTTCAAAAAGGAAAAAAAAGTCACTGGTGAACTTGTGTCTCCTGGAAACTTACAGGAGAGGCAATTCTCATCAGAAAAAAGTGGTCTAGGGAATGGAGTGGTTGTGGTTAAGTTTGCAAAACATTGTCCTATCCTTGATGTAAACTGAGGTGGGCCACTGTGGGACCCAGGAGCTTGCATTAATACCAAGGAGATTTTGGAGGTCTCTGCTTACCCCCAATCCAATTATTTTGCTCACAACCTCCAAGTCATGTGGACCATTTTGGGGGCATGAATGCCTGGCAAGTCTTATCTACAAAAGGTCAACATACGGTAATTTACTATTTATTTCCATTTTAGGAAAAGCTCCATCCCAGAGAGGCCTAAAATTGATAATAAAAACTGAAATTTTATCACAAATGCTCTTCACACTCCCTTCAGGACATTTTTAACCCCCAAGGATTACATGGAGTCTGCACTTTGTCCACACCCTATGTAAATAAATTATGGGATAAAATTATCTCAACCTTTTCTCAATTTTTTTAAATCAACAAGAATAATTTTTAAAATGGTATAAATTTGAACAACAAGATGGAAGTAATGGGGTAACTTGGGAAGGAAGAGAAAGAAGAAAGGAATTGGGTGGAATGAACTGCAGATTTAATCTCATGAAGAAGGGAAATGATATACATGAACACAAATAAAAATGCCATAAAAACAACATATCATAAAGGAAGCTCATTAATAAACCCAGTGATTCTGGCCATAAAAGCCTCTGACAAGACATCAAAAACAAAATTGTTTTTTGAGTAAAGAAGCATATTAATTTTTGTACAAACAACATTGCTGGTGTGTGTGTATGGAATCAATGGTTAAACAAACAAATTGCAACAACCATGAATGTATGAGGAGTTTGTTTTAAGTAAACTTTCCATCAGTTACAACTATTTTCTGATCATTTTCCAATAAACCCAGAATGGGAATGGCATTTTGCCCTTTGTCTGATATCTAGTACTGGATAACACAGTGGTTTTCAACCTTTTTTTTTTTTTGACCAGGGACCACTTGACCAGGGGCCACTTTGACTAGGGATCACTCTCCAACATTAGTACCAAAAAGGTTACAAATCAGTTTTTGGTCAACTGTAGATTTGGTCTGGTTATTTGGGGTGCCGATTCAGAAAATTGCATCGGATAGACTACATCAGCTCTAGTTTCTGATACAGAACATATGCCATCTAGTAGTCGCCATCTGCTCACCGACAGAAAAGCATATTTAATAAGACTCAGTACTATAAGAGGGTTTCACGAGATAGTTGCTCTGGTTGCAACAGTGTAGTTGGTGAGGCCATGGACCATATTTTAATTCTTTCAGACCACTGGTGGTCCACGGACCAAGGGTTAGGAACCACTGGGTTAACAGAAGATCACGTCTGGCCACTCTTTGTGTTGGGAATTAAGTCACAACTGCTACATTTTTCACAGAGGCATTTTAACTTCAAAATACCTGCTTACTGAATTTTGATATTCAGAATGAGTAAAAGCGTGGTATTTCAAATATTAGCTGAAGAAGTGTGTGTGTGGGTTTAAAGAGAGAAAGAAAAGCCTGACAGAAAGCTGATAATATTTACAAGGTGACAATAGCATCCAGATGAAATTATTTTTGAGCTGCTGGCAAAAAAAGATGGGGATAATTATATGTTGTCAACACAGAGAGGGTTCCTCCAGGTGTGAATGTGTGCATGAAGGCATGTGAAGGTGTGAAAGACTATAAAGATGTCTCTATAGACATTAAATACATCAACGCAACAGACTTTGCACACATCTGTAATTGTAATGCTGTCACCTCATCTAGGTATAGATTTTGTCAACTGGCTGGTTAATGAGGAAAGCTTTTGTTACTAGCTTAGTGATGTATTTTTGTTAATGATGTGCTTTTAAACTGCAATGTACTGTAAATCATGTTAAAAGACACTGGTAGCCCAAGTTTTGTGGGAATGCTATGTAAGCTATGGTCAGTCATTATGCCATGCAGGAGCTGCAATTTTGGCCTGATCTAAGCAGAGTTTTTTCTATGTACAAATAAACCTTGACAATGAAATAAGAGATTAAACTTGTATGTCAATAGAGAATAGATAACTCCAATCATTATATTAAATGTCACATTTTACACACTGAATCTCACTGCTCTAGTTATTCTTTGATGCCACAACTAGGATTGAGTTCAGTAACATTTAGAATCTTTCTACCTGCTAAAATTAGACAGAGAGATTCAGCCTAAATTATAATGTTTTAGGGTCCATTTAAACTGATAAATAGCTACTGAATTCGGGAAAGAAATATATATAGATGGATAGCCTGTTAGTACTGACAAAGACCAATCAATGTGGCTGGCACATCAATTTCTGTGCTGGTCCGTGACGAATTTATCCTGCTTCTGGCTTGTGATAAACAACAGTAATGTACAGATTCACAGGAAAGCAGAGCCCCAGCTCCAAACTAAAAGCACATTATATGTGTCAAAGGCACAGACTGTAAGAACCATAAGGGTAGAAAGAAGAAAGAGATTAAAAAGCAACTTTTAAGATAGAATTGGTTACCATATATACAACATTCAAATTATTGATCTAGAATTCCTAATATATAACATCATATAAATTACCACTCTTTTGAAGGATAAGTAGGAAACCAGACAAGGACTATGGGAAAGGTCTGTAGGAAAAATAGAATAACCAGTGTAGACATTATGGTAAATAAACTGTCCCATATTTGCTCTTCATTGATAAGGATTTGGGGACTTTATCCTCTTTCAAAAAGACCACTGTCAAATATTTTAGGGGACATCCAATGGTGCTTTTGAATTAACAGAACACAAAGTGGTGCAAAGAGGGTGTTTCATCAATCTTCCAACCTATCGTAGGACTCCCAGCCAGGGAGTGGGAATAGGAGGACAAAGCCAAAAACCACATAGAGATATTACTTTAAAAGTAGATTTAAGTACAGTAAGACCCCTGTTTTAAAGAGGGATATGTTTCTAACTGGATCATGATTACCTGAAATTGTGGATGTAACCAAACACCATTAAATTGCTTGATTTCTAGTCCCAGCATCTCTTAGAGTTGCTTTGGAGAAACTAGAGATTACTCGAGAGATATCCATTCTAGGAGCTTGCCAGGTCCTCCATGGTGACTATATTGTAACTTCCAGGGAAGAATATCATAGCCTGGAGGATTTAGTACATTCTTACCATTTTCTCCTGAGCATGGATAAGTGAAACCGTGGATATGTATTGCACAGTCAGAAGTTACTATATCAGCTTAATTTTTGTGGCACAAAAATTTAGAAATAGTATAAAGACCTGGCTTAGGACATCAGCCAGTCCAAAACTATACAAGAATCCAGAGTCCTAGACATATAAGAAATGTGTCCTAAAAATTTGTATTTTCCATCAAGTTCATTCTTTTCCAAAGAACAGAAACAACCGTTCTCTGCCCCTTTCTTCAGTCAGCAAAATACCATATTTAATAACCCAAGTCAAAACACCACACTGAACACACTAGGACTTGATCCAACCACAATGGATTTAAACTTGTATTTTAAAGGAGAGAGACTGTGTAGTCACAAACATACACTGTCTCCAGTGCCATACTTGATCATGCATGAAAACCACATGTTGACTTCATGAAACGAGAGCTTCCTTCTCCAAAGCTGAATGGAAAGTTGTAAGATGGTGGGAGGAAACATTTGTTGCTCCAATTCATGCAAAAATAACCAGAACTTTAGAAAGTTACTTTTGGTTTACTGTTCACAGCTACCAGCCATTGTGTTTAGGGTCAAAGCATTTGCTACACTTCTACAAGTTTAATCATGTACCTTTTTATATGAAGAAAGGGAAATTATAGGTGGTGGACAGGCATCACAAATATTACGTGAAAGACAAAGGAGTGGCAACGTTTTTTGGAGTCAACTCTGAGTTTCAACACACTTGCACTGTTAAATGTTTGATCTAAAAAAATAGGATTTAGCATCTCTCAGAAGATGAAAATCATGTTCACGAGACTGGGGAAACTTCCTCTTGCTCAAGTTCTTTGAACATCAAACTCTGAAATAAAATGATATTGAAAAAGGACAAATGATGACTGATGCCAAGCAATTTTCACCAGGCATCAATAAAGAGAGAAAACTATTCTATTAGCTTTAGAATTATTGTCAGGCCCAGAAGAATGTTAAAACTGGCAAAGCTAATTTCACTTAGGTCACTTAGTAGCTTTATTGAGTAGGTTTCCATGTCCCAGTAAAGGTTTTTATATAAAAAATAGAGCTTTTTACTTTGTATGATTGTCTACTAGAAGGTATGGAGTTCAGATGATGTCATGGCTTTGTGTGAGACAGCTAATCACAATTTTAAACTGTACAGAAAAACTCAACTAGTATTCAGTATTTCTTCAATGCTGGCAAATGGAGGGGATGCCCATCCACATCTGAAGGAAGGAGCCTAGCTTAGAAATGGGTTCCTTGGCCAGAATTCTCTTCCCACACATTCTTGCCAACTCCCAGCATCTGCTACTTGAGCCTGAACCTGCCTGATGTCCCTGTGTAAAGCTTTGGTTCAGATTAGGAATTCTAATCACCAAATTTGGAAAAGCAGTTAGGAATCAGGATGCTTTGCTGACCGCCCTATGACAAATCTTTCTGGGATCCTCCAGTAGATCCAAATCAACCTTTTGCTCAATGAACAGTAGTCAAAAATATGTGACCAGTGCTTACAAAGTCATTGCCAACTTGTTAGCTAAGAGCATTTAATGGAATGAACCAGTATTTCCAAACCTTTTTGCTGGGATTTAAGACAACTAAATAATTCTTTCAGGGTAAAATATGTGCCAGTGTGCTTTTGACATCCCAAAAAATTGTGCTGGTGGCCAGATTTAACTGTTTTGGCCATCAGCAGAATATATTAAACTGTTTGCTTTCTTCTTCTGAATATGAAGATGCATTTAGACCATAAGAGAGCTGAAAAACTAAGATCTTGTCTAATCTTAAAATATAGATAGAGACTGTCTTCTTTGTTTCATAAACCGAATATGTACAATGGATAGAGTAGGCAGAGAAAGGGTACTTCTAAACCACTAGAGTTGACCTGTTCTTGCCAAAGTTATAAGATGAGCAGTACAGAGAGACTGTGGAACTGAAAGTTGTATCTTATCTTCCTTGTCAAGTCCTTTGTTATGCTGTTTCCAAACTCCAACAACGATACGACACATAAAACCAGGAAGACAACCATCATTTTGAAAATGTAACATACAGTTGTCAGGTAGAACACAAATGAGTAAGAAAATTCACTGACCTTCTACATTCATGGCTTCCCTCAGCAACTGCAGCTTCCTCTGCCGCTCTTTGATCCTGTCGAAAGCATTTGACAAAGCTGCAGCCACAGAGGTCTCTGGCCCATGGCGCAACTGATCTAGTTTTTGAGGGCCAAATATATCAAGGGCTATGCTTCCATCTGAGTATCTGCCCTCCTTGTTTCTAGCAGTTGAAGTCCGTACTGAAACCGTCCCTGCATGATGATAGTGCTTGCAGGAATTCCCAGGACAGTCTCTCTCTGTGACTTTGTCAGCTGTGGAAAGCAGATCTGAGGAGGAGGCCCAGACCTTCCGCTTGGGGCCAACATCAGTTTTCCTTTCCAAATCATCAGCTCTACACCGGTATGAACAGTAAGTATTTGTGTCATCTTCATGGCCGGAGTTGTAATTGGAAGAAATGCCCTGGTAGAATTCTTCTTCACCTTGTGAACCTCTAACAGACAAGAATCCCATTGATTTACTAAGCCCTTTGTTGAGAGACAGTTGAGAGACTGGGGCCTTGCGACCATCTCGGGCATCAGTCATTAAAGTTCTTCCTGGAATGATAAAAACCTAGCTTACAGACAGCAAACCTTTTCTCCCAATGCCCCATAGTGCAAACTACAGAAAAACAAATGTTTCTCTTGTGATTCTCCAGATGTTGGAGTAGGAAGCATGACCAGAAAGCAAGTTTAGCTTGTGTCTTTATGGCATTTCTGAATATACCACATTGTTGTTGATGTTGATGAGCCTTCAAGAGAACTCTGACTTCCAGCAACAATGTGTTTTCGCAACAACTTTCATTTAAGGGAGTTTGCCACTGTCTTTACTTCCTTTCAAAAATTGGTTTCTAGACATTCCAGTAAGGCAAGAGTGGGGAACACATTGCCGTCCAAAGGTGGTGAGACTGCAGCTCCAACCAGCTTAGCTAAAAGTGATGGGAAATGCAATCTAGCTGTAAAGTCAAATGCTCCACAGCAGAATGCCAAGAAATATAAAACCTCCAATGGCATGAACCACAAGGTGACACTAAAGCCAATCCTCCATCATTGACGCTGGGGAGGACCAGTTCCCAAGTGCCAAGGGTTACATGGGAAACTATGATGGCTGCTGGTTTCGGATCAGTGGAGTAGTGAATATATTTTGGGTTTCAGTCTGAATTTTAAAGGAGCTATCCAGGAAGCCTAATGTATTTTGAAGATAGTATTCAGCACCTTGGATAGATCCATTAGGTCCATTAGCCAACACTGACAAGGATTCCTGCTAAAAATAAAATATCTTCCTGTTATAACAACAGCCATTTTGGGGGGCTGTATAAATAATGTATGCTACCGGTTTTTAAAAAAGAAAAAAAAAGATATATAGTGCCTCTCATTAACGTGAGCACCCAACACAATATCTGTTTTCCCTCATATTTATTCACTACTGAGAAATGTAAGTACAGTCTTTTGAAAAACACTTTCAGTTTAATTTGTTTCTCAAATATATACAAAAATTGATTCTTAGATTTTCCTCTCCTGGGACTAAAATGGCAACATCTCCATGAAATCATGCCCAGGCTCTTTGCAAAGCGACCAAACAGACTTGCCTACAGTGAGTGTTTTTATAATTTAGTCAAGTAATACTAGGAGCCATCCAACATTCTTGAACTTCATTTCTGACACAGCCTCCTAGTTACTGCCATTGGCTCATAGAGATGGAAATTTCAATGGAAAGCTTATCATGAGAAGAAAGTATATCTCATTTCCCCATGGAAACAAAAAAGCAAGGTTCAAAGGGTGCGTTAGAAGGACGGACCTTCATGCAGCCCAAGAGATAAATATAGCCTTTATCCACAAGCTGTCAAACATCAGGAACATCAACAGCATGCACAGTTATATAACACCTAATCAATTGTCATCACTGAGATCATTGCATTGTTAATGACAAAAGACAGCCCCAAAGCTACCAATTTCATCAGAGTAGTCACAAGGAAGTAAATGGATTTATACTCTAGTATGTTTTGCTCCTTGTTTGGATAGTCCCAGTGTTTTTATTCCTTTGATTCATGCAGTTTTCACGATTTGTTTCCTCCAATGTTTAAATATGATATATACCCTCCTTGTGATACTACAAGGGTCTTTGATTTTACAATAAACTTGAATTATCTTTTGTCAATTTGCTTCTAAATGTAATTAAATGCGTGCTTACTCCCCTTTTCCTGAATATCCTACGACTAAATCACTTTTGTACTTTTGAATTTGGCTCCCTCCAATCCTCTACTGCAACACTTCTCTGCAATCTGTTAATGATCTTCTCTTAAGGAAAAAAGGTATTTATTCTGTTTTTAGAACAGCTGCTTTTAATACCTGCCAGCCCATCTCGTCCTGTTTCTCTTTTCTTGGCCTGAATTTCTGGAGTTTGCTTCTTGATTTGTTCACAGAGAGTCTTTCCAGATGTTAAATTTATCAAGCAGCTATACTCCAGATGTTGCTCAACAACCAGACACCTTCCTCATCACCACTGCTTGCCACCCAGGACATTTTAACAACAGTTATCCCAGGTAGTGGGACAATACAATAGTTCTATCTTCTCAGTCCTTCCTCTTTCCTTCAGTAAAACAATTCAAAAATTTTCTCTTCCTCATGAATCTCCCTTTAGACGCTATATTTCTATCTTTCACTTCTTACCAATTTTCTATATTTTTATTAGAGGTTGGGAAAATTACTTTCTAAGATACACCTCCCAGATGGCTCCAGACAATCTCTTTTTAACTCAAAATAGATTTTCCTTGAGCTCTACCTTGTATGCCTAATCACAAAATACATGATCCTGAGTTAAATACCTTTAGAAGGAGTCCCTTGGGTTTTGTGGTACAGTATACAGAAAATATAAATGTATTACATTTGCCTGTGCATTCCTCCCTCATCATTTATATTATTTAATTCATTTCCTGTGTTCGACTTTGTACTAACTTGTTTTGTTTACATTTTATTTGATGTTTATTACTTGCTGCATGTATTTTATTTTGATCTGTTGTAATTGTTGGGTTTGGCCTCATGTTAGCTGCCCCGAGTCCCCTTTGGGGACAGGGTATAAGTAAATTATTATTATTATTATTATTATTATTATTATTATTCCCTTTTCTTACTGTAGTTAAGCTTAGTCATGTTTTAAGAAATACAGCAGCTTCGTAACTCTTGCCAACTAACCATAGTATGTTTCTGGGCTTCCTCTCTAGGATGGGAACTGAGAACACTGTTTTACAGTGGATTCAGTCCTTTTTCCCCCCAAGGGTACACTCAGAAAGTGGTGCTAGTAGACTCTTGTTTGACATGCTACAATGTCCTTTGGGGTTCAATTTTGTCCCCCATATAGTTTGACATTTATGTGAAACCACTAAGCAGATGTCCAGAGTATTTTCGAAAGCTTTCATGGCCGGAATCACTGGGTTGTTGTAGGTTTTTCCGGGTTATATGGCCATGTTCTAGAGGCATTTTCTCCTAGGAGAAAATGCCTCTAGAACATGGCCGTATAACCCGGAAAAACCTACAACAACCCAGATGTCCAGGGATTAGGAGTTTGGTGCTACCAATGCGCTGACACCCAACTCTATTGGTCATGTTCATCTAACTCCCAGGAATCCTTTTGAGGAGCAACCACCATCACACTAAAGAATGAATCCACTTTAAATCTGGTTGCTGCCTCCTGCAGAATTCTGGGGTTTTCTAGTTTAGGGAGTAGTCTTTAATAGCTTCCCTAAACTACAAACACCAGAATTCTGCAGGAGGCAGAAACCGGATTTAAAATAGATTCATTCTCTAGTGTGGTGAAGTGGCCACTGTCTGTTGTCATTAATGGACTGGATGAAGGCAAAGAAATTTATGCTGAATCCAGACAAAGGAGTCCTAGTCACTTGGAAGGAAAATCAAGAAATACAAATTCAAGGTGTGCTGGACAAGGTTACATTCCCTCTGAAATCTTGAATCCATAATTTGGTCATACTCTTGGATTGAAACCTAAGTTTATATGCCCAGGTTTTGGCAGTGGCCAGAAGTGCATTTGCACAACTTACATTAATACACAAACTATATTCTTTCTTTAAGATGTCAGATCTAGTCACAGTAACACAGTTATTTTATAAAGGTGATGGGGCATTTTTGAGGAAATTTGATTGTTATGTTTGAAGGTTAATGCTTTGTGCATATCAAATTCAAAGATTGTCGTTTTCGCCCCAGCAAAGAACTAAAAGAAAGTAGTAAGGAAGTAATATGCAACATAACTGACTGCGACAATCAGTTAAACAACATCACAAACAACTGAAACACAGTTTGAGGAGCAGTGGACCATAGAAGTATGAGAGTGGGTCATGAGGGATGGGAAAATTGAATGGAGATGAAGAGTAGAAATTGGGAAACAAGCAATAGTGGCCGAGGGAGGTCAAAAACCTCACAATTTTTCATTCCATCCATTCTCTATAATAATAAGCAGGTTTCATTTTTTTCCAAAGGAAATTATCACCAGATTTCAGGATTTTGTTCTGAAAGGAATCATTTAAAGAGTCCCTCAATATTTTTGGCTATACAGCAGAGAAATTATATTATGAAGTAGCATCTATGTTATTCCAATAACTGTAACAACAGTGTCATTTTAATAGTGACAGCCTATTATAACTTCAGCAATTGAAACACAAGTGTAGCATTGTGGTTAATGCACTATAAATGATTATAAAATATCCCAGCATGTTTTACTTTGGAATTAAAAAAGGAACATATCTTTTTATACTGACTATTTGTCTTAAACATTGCAGTCAGCATGGAACACTTACTATGCTTCTCACAGTTATAGGCATTATACAGCCACAACAACGAAATATATCCTGTTTTTATTGGGTATCCACTCTTGACATGGAGCAGTGACTTCAGGTACTTGTAAAACACACAAGATGGATGGAACATAACCTAAGAAATGTGAATTAACACTAGAAATGGGTGAGGAATCAGGTCTAGCAGACTTTTTTTGAAAACAAGCTTTATGCAGCCCATCCTTCCCAAATTCTGTGTGGTCTTGATATGATTTGAGAACCAAAATCTGCATAGTAAAGGACAGCTGTAGACACTTCTGGAAAAATGAACACTTTTCAAAAGTACACACAGAAAACATTCGAATGTGTGTAAAACTGTACTTATTTTCTTTAGTCAATAGAAGAGGGCATAGAAACCATGCATACAATTTAGAAGTTGTGTACAACCATGATGATGTTTGAAACAAGGAACCAAGGAAGCAGACTCCACATGATGAAGACAAACAAATGAACAAAAAACTTGATGGAAACAAACTCAGACCACAGGTGCTGGTAGGTAAAGAAGGGGAATTACATATTGATGTAATTTGTACACGTGCACATCCCTAAATAATATGATAAACTTGGGTTTGAGCCATATAAGATTCTCCTCTGATGGCACTTTATTTTTATTCTCACAAAGAAACTGGAAAATCAGCATGCACTAATCTTGCCTAGGTTTGAGATTTCAGACTTTACCAAAGAAAACTCCCAAAGACACATGTGCTCCTCCTTGTTCCTATCACCATCAGAAAGGAGAAAATGATACCAGGCTTTACACATTTATTTGAAAGCTGTATCTCTTTGATAACATGATGGAAGATACTCAATCTGGCAAAGGGCATGTGTGCATGTTTGTGAGTGGAAGAGAGACAGAGAGAGGGAGAGCAAAGGAAAGAAATAACGTATGCATGTTAGAGAGAGAGAGAGAGAGAATATATTCATATGAATGTGGTATGGCCTGGAACATTTTTCTTCTTCCTGCACTAAGGGTGTAGGATGGAGCATGTAAAAATCCGTTATTAGTATGTGGTTCAAAGTAGATAAAATACTGCATCATGTTAACTGCATAAAAGTAATTCAGATGTATGTTCTTTATAGCTAAGCAGTAGCTTGTGTGTCTCTATGACACAGAGAGCATTTGGTGGGGACGAGGAACAGGGCTTTTTCTGTGGTGGCCCTCCGACTCTGGAACACCCTCCCTAAAGACATCAGACAGGCCCCTACGTTGGCAGTCTTTAGGAAGAATTTGAAGACCTGGCTGTTCCGATGCGCCTTTCCAGATTAGGAAAACTCCAGTAAGCACTTTATCAGAGTCCCAGAAGCACTTTATTTAGAATTTTAGGTTTTCTGCACATTACACTTCCTTGAAATTCAATAGACCATCTATCACACCCAGCACTTTTAACCTGTACCCTTTACTTTGGCCCGGCCCTGTTTTTATTGTGATATGGTGTTTGCTTTTGTTGTTTATTGTATTGCTTTGATGTTTTGATTTTTGTTTGATTTGCTTTGAATTGTTTTGTTATGCTATTGTTTTGTGGAGGCCTTGGCCTTTGTAAGCCGCATCGAGTCCTTCGGGAAATGCTAGCGGGGTACAAATAAAGTTTAATAATAATAATAATAATAATAATAATAATAATAATAATAGAAGTAAATACCTAGTCACTGGGAAGAATAGGGTTAATTTTTACTCCCACTGTAATTTCACCCACGGCTATTGTTAGTCCCAAGAAAGAAGGTTTCACAGGAATCAAGGGTTGCATCTCTTCTGAAGCTAACAGCAGCTGGTTAGAGATATTTTATCGGGCTCATAGAGCAAGAAAAAGGATAACTTTTTTATCTCTGTTCACTATCGTGCTGGCTAGTGGCTCCTCTGTGAGCATTACACATTTCACACCAAGCTATTCAAGATCCTGAGCTGACTTCCCAAATTGCTTCATCACCTTGGATCTTATTCAAAGTTTAGATTAGAACCATCATCTGATTTGATGCCACATCAACAGCTGCCATGACTACAATCCCAGTTCTGTTGAGAAGTGCTCTTCATAGTTTGGAAACTAGTGAATCCAAACAGTTAACACCAGGTTAAGCTTAGCCTCAAGATGCCTCTCTTAAGACCTTGAACTGAACTAGTCACACAATTATTTCTCCAACTTCTTTTTTGTAATACTGTCATCCAGTAATTTACTAACAGTATCTGGCTACAAGGAGACCAATCTACTTTCTGAGGCAAAACCTGTCAGGCTGGTCATAACCACCAGGCATAACACTTACCTCCTTCACATTACTTATCTGGAAGGCAAAAGATTAAAAAGAAGTCTAGGCTTCCACAATACGGACACTCCCTTCATTGCTTAACATTTACCTGTGGGAAGCCCTTTCCCTCTCAGCCTCTCCCGAATGGCCTGGCTCCTGTCAGTCTGAAGGTTTCTATCCCCGATGCAGGAAAGTTGATCTACCTGTTAAAAAAGTAGATCATGCAGATTCTGAAACAAAATCATGTTGGCAAGTAGACTGGAAGCTACATTAAAAGTCGGGTTAGTCAGGAGAGAAAAACACTCAGTTACTTCCCATTCTCTGAGCTCTTTGGATTATGGTTCGAAAAATTTGCCAGCCACTATGGCCAATGGTTATGGTGGATTTGCAGTGCTTTCAGCATTGAAATATTTTCTAGGATTTTAGATAGTAGGTTCAGAGAGAAAATCAGTGTAGTATTTATTAGGGCTGGGCGGTTTCATTTCGTAATTTGTTAAAAATTCGTTATTTTTTTTATAACGAAGCGATATTGAACCATTCAGGAGCATCTTAAAAATGAAACGAATTTTTCAATTCGTTTCGTAATTGCTTCGTATTCGTTTCGAAATCGTTTCGAAATCGTTTCGTTATTATTTCCGCATGTCTGGGGCAAGTTTTATAGCTGTTGTTTGTTAAATCAGTGAAAAAAATTATAAATATCACACCAACAGTCAACAACAGAGGGAGAGGGAAGCTTCAAAAGTTTCCCCTGTCCCATATGGAGGTTTTTTAGCGTATTGCGCGGTTGCGTCCGCCATTAACGAATCGATTCGTATTCGTTCCGTATTCGTTTCGTATTGTTTCGTAATTTTATGAAATTTCGTAAATATTGAATTTTAAAGAAAAATTTCGGAATCCTTTTAAATATCGAAACGCAAAAACCCCCAAAAAACAAATCGAGTTTAGAAACAAATTTTTCCGTGGTTGCCCAGTCCTAGTATTTATGCTTGAGAGCTTGAGAGTAGCCTGAGAGTTGGACCCTGATTCTGGAGACTAGGGTTTCATTAAGGAAACTCAATGGGGGACCTGGACAAGTCATACTTTCTCAACGTAATACAAAGGCAATGGCAAATCTCTTCTGAACAAATATTGTACAGAAAACCATGTGATAGCTTGGCTTTAGGATTGCCATAGGTCAGAAATAACTTGAAGGCACACAACAGCAACAGTGAGAATAATGTCCTGGGTTGAGGATAAAGGAAATTTTCCAAGTTCTGTCATTGCATGTCTTCCTTTGAATTATCAGATTTCTTACACCAACCTATAATTATTTAAAGTAGAATTGAATTAACAGTTGTTATATCGTTATGCCACAAGCCACTGCAGTACTGATTTCTTGGATGAGTATTTGGCTTGATTCACAATCTTTGCCAAAGGTGATGAAAATAAATGCACAGCCCTCCTTAATCAATACACACTTAAATGAAAAGAAACAAAGCATTTAACTGTTGCTTTCTGTAGAAAGGAGGCATCTAAAATCACTGTTTGAGCTACTCTCTCACAAACGTCTATTTTAATATCACAGTTGCTGACATAGTAAACAGAAATGATTATCCGAACCATTTCAGGCACCTTAGAATTAGCAACAAAACCCAGAGTCTTCTCACAAAATATAAAGCATGTTTGAAATAATTATGTACATATTGAAGGGATGCTATGGTCATAACATGGTTGATGTTTCATGATGATAACATGCATACTAGCTGTGCCTACTTTTCACTTTACCTTCACACACACACACACACTATTTGTTTTTAATGCCCAGAAGTCACAGTCAACATGGTCACTGGTAAGAGTTTAAGGCAGTGTTTCTCAACCTGTGGGTCCCCAGATGTTTTGGCCTTCAGCTCCCAGAATTCATAACAATTGGTAAACAGGCTGGAATTTCTGGGTCAAAACACCTGGGAACTCACAGGTTGAGGACCACTGACTCAAGGCAACTGTAACCCAAAGTATCTGGAAATCCAAGGATTCCTCATTTCTGCTTTAGACCAAGGCTGTATCTACTGAAAAACTAAAGTGTATGCACCGTGAACTTTAAGAAATGTAGGCTGCTCAGAAGCAGAAGCAGATGTCTTTTCAATTCCATTTCCCCCTAGACAAATCAAACCCCACAATCTAATTTAGCCTAACTCCAACTCTCATTAAAGAAGACATTAATAACACAATACAAATTCCCCAAATCCATTGAACAGTTTCATCTGGATAATTATAATGCTTGAGGAAAACAAATCTGTCAAGTATTTTTTTTTAAAATACCCTGATATAGAAATTTTGATTTAATATATGTGCTGCTTTGCTGGTTTTGGAAAAAGCTATTCCATAAATTATACACATTATTTATTGCTTCTTGGACTTTTGGCTGAGATCAGGTGTAGCATACCAAAAAAATGCAAACCTGGTTTCCACCAGATGTTCCTGTTAAAAAAATGAGCTGGAAGCTATGAAGGGGCTGGATCAAGTCTCACTTAAATCATAAAGCAAGTGGATTGCCTTAGATAAGACTCTGACTGCATAAACCCAGGGATCATGTTTTTAGTCTTCTAAACCAGGACTGAGAATTCTGCTTACATACTGACCACATGGGTCTTTTTTTTTCAGACCTCAACAACACACCATCATAAACTATATTATGAAGAAAAACAGGGAACTGCTCATCCAGGCAATGCAAATCTTAGAGACATGATCCTCACATCTTGTCCTGCCTCTCCAAAGCCACTTTAAACAAAAGCGGAAAGGTGGGTTTAAGGGGTCTGGAATAGGTGGGCAACAGATTGCGTGCAGCCCTTGGATATCTGCTCTAAACCAGAGCCTGAAAATAAATCATCTAAACTTTCCCAGAGATTTTCAAATGATGCTCTTATGATGACCTGCAGGGGTCTTTTTCAGGAGTGAAATAACCCCACATAGCTGCACTCCAATATTCCCTCAGTGTGGCATTAATATCTGCAAGCAGCAATATGGCACAATGATGGTAATAATAATAATAATAATCATTATCATAACAATAACACCAACCTGCCTCTCCCCAAGGCTTGAGATAGGGTAAAACATAGGATTATGAACAAATGATGGCACAAGACACCTTCCTATATCACTCAGTGATGCTAATACAATTAACCCTTAAGAAGAAACTCTCATTCCTGAGCGACTAACAAAATTCTGCAGCAGGACAAAAGTGAAAGACATCATGTCTCAGTGGCAGGGGGTGGGCTTCTAATGTAAGGTATCTATGTGATACCATGGACTTTTGGTAGAAAAAGCTGTTTTATATTAATGTAGTTTGGTTTTGAATGCATTGAATAATGGAGGTAACCAAGTAAAAAGCAGAGTGAATGAAGGTTGGCATTTACTGGTGACTAGTTGAGAGTTTGGAACAATTTGAATAAAGATGTTGGCTGACAATCTGGCAGTTGAGGGATTGGCATGGAATGTGAGGTAAATAAGTGACAATTAGGATTAAACCAATGAGGTTTAAGAATAATGAGTGTGGCTTAATGGTCTGAGTTAGTAGTTTTAAAAGAAGAGTATGAGTGTGATTTAAATGTTTCCTTTAATGTATTAAATTATTAATCTTTTGTTTAATGTCTGTTTATAAATAATGATTTTTCTGTATCATGTGATTTTGGCTGCAGGGAACACTATACTCATTAAAAACCTTTTATCCACAGGAAAATACATTCCTGGTCATGATGTGAAATCATGGATATGTCTGAATGCCAATAAATTAACTCACTTCTAGTCCCTGCATACCATAAGAGTTATGTTGGAGGGCCTAGAGATTACTAGAACGGAATTCCCCCTAGGAATTTGTGAGATCCTTGCTGGATGAACTAACAATCCTTGCATGCACATTTGAAATGATTTGGAGTCTGCATGTTGCTGTGTAGCCTAACTTCTCTTGCATGGTTAAGCTTTATGGCCTTCATTTAGAATTTGCATAAGGGGTTTTAGGAGCTTTCACCTTAGAAAACATGGGACAAGTCACGTAGACACAGCCCTTTGAACTCACAAAGGTATAAAAGGGACATCCTTTTGTCTGTTGCTGATTTGGTATTTACCTTATCTACATGGAGTGACCATCTTCTGCACTTTTGGGCAATGTAATTCTGCACACCACAAGGCCTGCTTGGGCCTCATATTCTGCAACCAAGTTTTACTTGTGTGAATCTTCACTCAAGATTTGTGAGTAAACTACTTTTTATTACATCAATCAGTTTGACGTGGTTTCTTTGTTTTCTGGCATTCTGAAAGTGTAATTCCATTGCATGCTTTCAGTAGTTAAGACAAAGCTCTCAAATCTGCCTGTATTTTGTCTTTTACCTGCTCAGCCTCCCACTGTGTGTATGTGTTTTCAAGTTTTAATACTCTGCTTTATGTAATGCTTTAATGGAAGGTGAGCTATTTCAAACCACTTAGTTCTGTGCTTCAGTCAAGTGACTGAACCCTTCCATGTCTTAAGCATCTGCATAATACAAGAGTCCTCCAATGCAATTCTATGGTAACTTTCAGAGAATGTACACTACATCTTCCAGAACCTAGCAAATTCCCAGAGATACAATTTCTTCCTGAGTGCCAGTGAAACCACAGATATGGGTTCAAAGTGGCGGGACTCTTATCATACAAAACACCCATATATATATATATATATATATATATATATATATATATATATATATAAATTGGGTTCAGACATGGTGTTTGTAGTGGAAGCACAGGACAAGGAGAGTTGGTGTCCAGTGGGAACAGAAGTTGCATAATGCTCTGCAAGGGGATCTTGAGGACTTTTAGTAGTTTTTCACAATAGTGGCCATAGCAGGAGGAGGTCTTCATACTGGTGGTGGCGGTGGTAGTGAAGGGAAGATAAAGGAAAGACCTCATTCTTTGTGATAGTAGAGAGTTTTGTGGTTGCAGTGACCTTGGATCTGTTGGGGAAAGTGATGGGATAAGAAACAGGATTTTTCTAATTCCATGCTTAATCCCTGACATTTATAGGTAAGTCTGGGGGAAAGCCCCTTCATGGAAACACTAGGGCAGTGGTTCCCAACCTTTTTTTTTTTTTTACCAGGGACCACTTGATCACGGACCACTTTGACCAGGGACCACTCTCCAAAATTAGTACCAAAAGGGTTATGAATCAATTTTTAGTCAACTTTAAATTTGGTTTGGTTATTTGCGGTGCTGATCCAGAAAATTGCAATGGATAGACCACATCAGCTCTACTTTCTGATACAGAACATATGCCACCCAGTAGTCACCATCTGCTCACCTACAGAAGACCAGTTGCTCCTGTTGCAATGCTGTAGTAACGGTGAGGCTGTGGACCATATTTTAGTTCTTGCGGACCACTGGTGGTCCACAGACAACAGGTTGGGAACCACTGAACTAGGGAGACACAGCCAACCAGTAAACCCCCCCCCCCAAAAAAAAAAAAAACAACAGTGAACTTGACAGAACAATGGTTTGACTAGATAGAAGGTCTAGAATATCCAAGTTGTAAGGCCAAGCAGGTAAAGTTCTTAACCAAGAGAAAATGAGCAAAGGCTTCAACACGTGACATTATTTGGTCAACAGAAGTTCAGACATGCTCTCCTGAAGCCAATGCCATGGAAGCTATGTACGGAGGTAACTCACTATTCTGTCATCACTCTTCACGACATGTAAAGGTATTTTCCTGCTACCAAGATCTGGGGCCCTGATTGCTCTTGGGAGTCTGTCAATCTCTCATTCAAACAAACAGAAGAGTAAGGAGTGCAATTACTTGATTATATCACGGTAGCATGTCTCCAGTGTAAATTAAAAGCAAGATGCTGCAGGTCAAATTTCACCCCAGCTTTTTTTTCCTGTGTGTTTTCCAGTATAAATCTAACGGCAACGTAAGGAGAAGGCTATGAGATCCAATGAATTATTTCAATAGACCTGTTGGAAAGAATTTACAAGAAAAGAAGAATGTGTGCCAATGAAGTTCAGCATCATTAAACTGTCAGGAAGATCTATATCATAAACTTGCCGAAGTGTGTATAACCATAAAGTTGAGGCACTTGACCAGGGTCACCTAGATTTTGTTCAGAGATTAAACTAAACTGAAAACACACATGGGGAAAAACAGACATAAATATGTTCACTTGTCACTATAACCAGAGTCCAGAAAGTTACTTAATTTTTTTCCTGTTGCTCATTAGAGTGTTTACCAAACAATTCATTGTTGTTACTCATTATTGTGCTGAAAATAACATAATTAGTTACAGTGTTTCAACATGTCAAAATTTTTGCAAAACCACTGTCACAAATGCCTCTAAGTTTACCTAAAATACTCCAGTAAAGGAACTGCTAAAAGTAACTAGAAAACATAATTAATTGTATCACAGAAGTTGTTGTATGCCTTCAAGACATTTCCAACTCAACACAACACCAAGGCAACCCCATCACAGAGTATTATTAGCAAGGTTTGATAAGACGGGATTTGTCATAGCGTCCCCCTAAGGCTGAGAGAGTGTTGCTTGCTCAAGGTTACCATGGTCAAACAGGGATTAAAACTCTGATCTTGCAGAGTCATTAGTTTCACATCCAAACTACTACACCATACTGGCTCTTCCAAAATAAAGGTAAAGGTATCCTCTGAAATTAGGTCCAGTCATGTCTGACTCTGGAGGGTGGCACTCATTTCCATTTCTAAGCCGAAGAGCTGGTGTTGTCCACAGACACCTCCACAGTCATGTGGCCGGTATGACTGCATGGAGTGTTATTACCTTCCCATCTGAGCAGTACCTATTGATCAATTCACATTTGCATGTTTTTGAACTGCTAGGTTGGCAGAAGCTGGGACTAACAGTGAGAGCTCACCCTGCTCCCCAGATTTGAACCTTCACCTTTCGGACAGCAAGTTTAGCAGCTCAGCAGCTTAACCCGCTGCATCACCGGGTGCTCTTTCAAAGCAAAGTCCTATTACATTACTTTTGAAATGCAATTTTGCATACCATCAAACTTTATAAAAGGAGGTGACTTGTTCTTTGCCACTGGTTACTTCTAAAATGAATTCTCACGCTAATGCAAAACATTATATAACCATAGCTTCTGGGATTTAGTAAGATGAGTTAAAAATTCTAAGCAAGGTCGCACAAACAATCATGGCAAGTTCTAAGCAGAGAGAAGGCATGAGAAGCCAATTATAACCTCTATAAAACCTCTAAGCATCTGGCTCTTCAATGACGAATCTTTCATTAGGGCTAGAGTTTCAAGTAACTAAACAAACTATAGTATTAAATAAAAGGGAGAGGCAAACAGTAAAAAAAGAAAAGAAAAATAGCATATACAGAGTAAACATTTGTAGTTTTTATAAAAAGACCTACTGAATTGCTTCCAAATCTGTGTGTCCATAAATGTCACTGGACTATATCTCCCCTAATACACCATCCCTAGGGATGCTGACTGAAATTCCTGGGAGTTGAAGTACAAAAACATCTGTGGAACCAGGATGGGAGCCACCAGTTTACACATGAAATCATATACATGAAAAATCAAGAAGCTATAAGGGATCATGGAGATAATTTATCTGGATAGTCAACCTGTGCCTCCAGATGTATTTGCTTTACAAACAAGCAAACAAAACATCACAAGCACCAAAGTACAGTTGGCATTTCCTCATCTGCTTGAGAATCGTGAAGATCAACAGAGAGCTTCCTGCAATGGGCAGGTATAGAGTACGTATTGGAAGTATGATAAAACCTCCATATCCGTAAATGCTATGTTCCCGGCGAGGATACAGATGTAACTGAAGACCATTAAATTACTTGACTGCCACAGTGCCATCTTGAGGGACTGGAAAGTCCTAGAGATGTATCCAAGGAGACTTAATGGTAATCTCCAGGGGAAGCGTACCACCGAATTCCCTGGAAGAGATAACTTTTTCCTTGGTGCAGGGATGCAAAATTGTGGATAAGAGTTCCTCAGTTGAGGTAGGGGTAGGTCTCTTGAATTTACAGCCTTACTGGATTAGAGCACAGGTCTGTCTATCTGTTGTTGTTGTTGTTGTTGTGATTTATGCTACACTTTTTCTCTGCTGACTCAAAGTGGCTAACATTAAAAACCATAACAATACCTATTTCTATTTTTAACCCAAACAGTTCGACCAAGGGAGACAACATGAACAAGGCGAAAGACCTCCAACACTCCATGCTTCTCACAGAGATTGCAAATACATAAAAATTAATTCATCACTCCAAATTTGTCAAATTTCAAAAGTTATTTCAAAGTTATTTCAATCAATAATGCCCTCCACCATTATTTTTGCCATTTCTTACTACTTTAATTCCTTACTGGCCATTTTTAAAGCATTCTGTTAGTATAGAATATGAATTAAGTTATTTTAAAATTAACAAATTAATTTTCTTAGGAAGCCAAAAGAAAGACCTAAGATCTCTTCTCAGCAGTCTTGCCAGCTTTCAGTGATTACCCAACTCGCTTGTAAATACTTACCCCAGAGACGTTCCCCAGAACGAGTTTCACCAACTGTTTCACATATGAGAAGGAGGGTGCACAGTTACTGTTTCGTACATGAGCGCTGCAGGCATCCAAAACCGTCCGCACGGACACACGGGCATAAACAATGTCTTCACACATTCCAAGCAGTATGCTGTTTAAATGATCCCCAAGTCTGATGGGCTAATTTTAAATACAAGTGCAAAAAGGTAATGTTAAAACCTGTATATGTGCCTCCATTCCACTATAAATACTTAAGTGTAATGCAGCACTGAATTTAATCCACACCTCAATTTTCAAAACCTTGAAACAAACAAATTTGCTGTCAAATATGATGTGCAGTGGCAAAAATGTAATTTTGTGGGAATATGGACCTGTTACCACAATATACTGTTCCATAATGCAGTATATTACTGAAGGAGAGCCAGATTTAAGGAAGTCATAATCATAGGCTATTAACTAGCTTGGTGACCAAATTAGTCTGTCTGTCTGTCTGTCTGTCTGTCTGTCTGTCTATCTATCTATCTATCTATCTATCTATCTATCTATCTATCTATCTATCTATCTATCTGTAATTCTAAATGAACTGGAAACAATATCTATATAGACAAATTCTTTTAGAGAAATCAGGGTGATGACACATTGTTTGAAGTACAGTGAAATCAGTTATTAGATTGACAGATGCGAGAAAACTAGTGTCTCCCCCCGCCCCCACCCTGAACTTTAGCAGATGAACCAATAAAGCAAATTTTCTGGACAACTGGAGCAACGCTTTCAATTACATGGCAACATTAGGAAACAGAAGGAAGGTACTTATCTTCTCTTCCACTCCTGAAACTCTTTGAGTTCTGCAACTCATAACTACTTAATTATTTTCCTGTATTACTTGTTAATCATTTATTTATGTATTTATTTATTACTTGTTGATTATTTATTTATTTATTTATTAAAAGAGTGGCCTTACAAAAGGCAAAAAATTGATGCCATATCAACAACTAATATAAACTAAACATATACATTACAACATAGATTAAAAACCATATAGGGATTAAAACACATTGTTAAAACCATGCAATCCAAGATCATAGTAAAAAGCTTGGTTCCAGAGCCATGGTTTTTACTTGCTTTCAGAAAATCAGGAGGGAGGGAGTTAATCTGATTTCACTGGGGAGGGAGTTCCATAACCGAGGGGCCACCCCTGAGAAGGCCCTGTCCTTTGTCCCCACCAACCGCAACTGTGAAGGAGTCGGGACCAAGAGCAGGGCCTCCCCAGACAATCTTAACCTTTGAGTTGGTTCATGGTGGAGAAGTGTTCAGACAGGTAAACTGGGTCAGAACCATCTAGGGCTTTATAGACTAAAGCCACCACTTTGAGTTGTGCTCAGTAGCAGATGGGCAGCCAGTGGAGCTGACGTAAAAGGGGGGTTGTATGCTGTAGAATCATCTTATGTCTTATGCTAGAGTATACATGCAATCTCTGTTGATATAACTTCCCAGTTACCACAAATATTTGGATTTCAGCCTTTGTATTTCACTGCCAATGTTCATACTGGATGGTTATTTCATGATGACAAGCCCTATCGTGCAGTTCTCATCTTTTAGCACCATTATAATATCTTGTTTGATTTGTTCATCAGCAACAGTGTAAGCTTTCTTAAAATTATTGTTGTCGTTCTTGTAACCCTGCCATTGTTGTCTAAACCACACTCAGTTGTGCTCCATCTGTGATCAGGAGTTGCAGGAGTGGAAGAGAAGTTAAGCACAGCTTCTTCTCCTTCCTAATCTTTCCCATTGATTTCCTCATTCCCGATATTATTTTGTAACAAAGAAGCAGAAAGAATGAAGCAGAAACAAATGCAAAATGCAATGTGACTACATCCCAAAGTACTACATTATGAGCTAGTGGCATGTTTTCACTACTTACTTGACTTTGAGGAACATCATAGTCAGCTCCCCAATATAGCGTCATTCCGAGGGAATAAATGTGGATCTGCAAGAAAAAGTGAGATATTTATGGAATTAATGGTACAGTAAATATTCCAGATATAATTGTGTATGTGATGGATACAGGAGGAAGAGGATGCAGTGATACAAGACGGAATCCTGCAGGACCGTCCGAAAACAAAATCACATGATACCTTAGGGTCACATTAAAAATTGAGAATTAAGAACTGGAACAGCCATGGCAGTAGCTTACTTCTTACGTAAATATTTCCATGTCTCGACAATTACAAGAAAATCTCTTCTTCAGTTTGAGCACACAGGATATGACTCTTCTTAAATGTTTTTATTAAAACATTTTATTTTGCAAGAAATGAGCTCATTTCTAAATCCATTCATTATCAAATGAGTGAAAAATTGAGTATTTCTGGCAACACTAGAGTTAATACAGTTGCCTTTTTTAAAAGCTTGAATTTTAGCAAGTGACCAACAAGGCATTCTTTTGTCTATCCAGCAGTCTGCCAGAAATGTATCACTGAGTACATCATTTCTTTGGTTTAGGAATGAAGTCATAACCCAGTAGCTCAAGCAACCCTGTCATTGTGTTTCAGGAGGTGATTATAAATGGGAATTTGTTTTGGTTTCCAGCACTTTTATGGGACATGCTCAGATTTCAGAACAAGAGCTGAAAATAAAACAGATTCTCTCTCAGAAGATTCTTGATGAACCGTGGCTGAAGCAAAACAAAAACAAACCCAAAAAACCTATTCGGAAATAATTAGCAAACTCACAGTAAACTTAGCTGCAGAGTAATAACAGATGTAGTTCCTTTAAATTAAAATAATAATCTTTATCTTCATCTTAATTTAGAATAAATTATAATTTACAAAAGTGGTAGTTCCTTTAGTCTAATGAGGAAAAATAAATAAAAAGCAGATTGGATGATTATTAACGGAAAATAGCTTAATTCAGTCTTAATAACGAAATTATGCTTTGGACAAAGGCCCAAGATTTATATGAAGGTTATCCGGAAAGTAAGGTTACAAGATTTTTTTTAAAAAAATACAAAGAATGAATACATTTTAATAAAACTTACATGGATTGTAGCATAGGTATTACATTATTTTTACACATAATCACCATTCAGTTCACTACATTGTGTCATCCATGGGATGAGTTTTTGATGCCTGTGTCATAGAAGTTTCCCTCTGCCTTTTTCAGCCAGTTTGTCAATTTGATTTTCACTTTGTCATCATTGGAAATGTGTTTTTCACCAAGCTGTTGCTTCAATTTAGTTTTTTTTTTTTGGTCGTATCAGGAGTGACTCCTGGTGTGAGAGAATTGGCCGTCTGCAAGGACGTTGCCCAGGGGACGCCTGGATGATTTGATGTTTTTATCATTCTTGTGGGAGGCTTCTCTCATGTCCCCGCATGGGGAGCTGGAGCTGATAGAGTGAGCTCATCCGCCTCTCCCCGGATTTGAACCTGCGACCTGTCGGTCTTCAGTCCTGCCGGCACAGGGGTTTAACCCACTGCACCACCGGGGGCTCCTATTTAGTGAACAGATGATACTAACTGGGTGTGAGATCAGGCTGTGAGAGGGGTAGCTTAAAACATCCCAACCAAATGAAGTCAACAACTCTTGTGTTACTTGAATGGAGTGCAGACATGCATTGCCATGCAGGAGACAGACTCCCGCCATCAGCATCTCACAACATTTGTTTGGGATGGTTCTATGAAGTTTTTTCATAGTCTCACAATATATTCCTTACCCACTTTGTCACACACTATTCATGATTAATCACAGCAGCATTCATGCCCTTAGCATTTACGTAGCTTATTACAGCGCAAACTTCACACTTGGAGGGAAATGGAATGAGGACACTCACCTTTAACCTTCATAGTAACAGCAGTTGATGAACTACTGACTACTGGCACTGCTCATTTGCTTCCACTGGTTTCCCACTACACAGCCGTGATACCAACTTTCCCCATGAAAATTCCCCATGAGAGCAACGTGCCTTGTAACCTTACTTTCCAGATAACCCTTGTACAATCTTTCTCATTTCCCTTCTAGCTTTCTACTTTGGTCAAACTACAGTTGGCTGTTAAGTCCAATTCAGCAAAACGATGACTCGTGTAAACTACAATTTCCTTCCTCATTATTTCACAGTAAATTATTGTCTGTGCAATATAAGAAGTGTGAAAAGTAACTTGCTTATGAAAGAAGAGGGAAGAATTTATTTATTTATTTATTTATTTAAAAGTTTTGTATACCGGCCTTCTCACCTCTCTTGAGGGACTCAGACCGGTTTCCAACCATAACATCACATACAATCAATAAAACATCAAAATACATATTACAGTAAAACATTAAAACAGCAATTACAATCAATAACTATAATGGTCAGTCGTCACATTAAAATCGTTGTCAGCGAATGAGTCTGACATGCTCCAAAATTCACTAAATTATAAGTTGTTTACTGTGAACCTCAGAAAATACACTAGCAAATCAAACCTATGTATGTTGTTGTTGTTCATTCGTTCAGTCGTCTCCGACTCTTCGTGACCTCATGGACCAGCCAGAGCTCCCTGTCGGCCGTCGCCACCCCCAGCTCCTTCAAGGTCAAGCCAGTCACTTCAAGGATCCCATCCATCCATGTTGCCCTTTGTCGGCCCCTCTTCCTTTTTCCTTCCATTTTCCCCAGCATCATTGTCTTCTCTAGGCTTTCCTGTCTTCTCATGATGTGGCCAAAGTACTTCAACTTTGTCTCTAGTATCCTTCCCTCCAGTAAGCAGTCGGGCTTTATTTTGGAGGATGGACTGGTTGGATCTTCTCGCAGTCCAAGGCACTCTCAGAACTTTCCTCCAACACCACAGCTCAAAAGCATCGATCTTCCTTCGCTCAGCCTTCCCTAAGGTCCAGCTCTCACATCCGTAGGTTACTACAGGGAATACCATGGGTTTGACTAGGCGGATCTTTGTTGCCAGTCTGATGTCTCTACTCTTTACTATTTTATCGAGACTGGACATTGCTCTCCTCCCAAGAAGTAAGCGTCTTCTGATTTCCTGGCTACAGTCTGCATCTGCAGTAATCTTTGCACCTAGAAATACAAAGTCTGTCACGGCCTCCACGGTTTCTCCCTCTATTTTCCAGTTGTCAATCATTCTTGTTGCCATAATCTTGGTTAACCTTCTACCAACCAATAACAATACAAAACACTTTAAATGCAAGATATATAACTGGAGGAAATCATGTGCTCTGAAAAATACAAACTTTTCATTATTTGAGGGAACATTTCTTCAAAAATGTGACATGCATATCTTCTAATTTGAACTCTAATTGTAACCTAAGGAAATGCAACAGAAATCAGAATCTTGTACCTTTTCAACATCCGAAAGAGATGACAGTGATTGATTTTGGAGCACCTCTGGTGCTGTGAAAGCCCGCAGGTCTTGGTTGGAGACATTTTCATCTGTAAATGAGACACTGCCTGATGGAAGCAGCAGAAGAGACCACGGAGAAATGATGAACCCCAGGGCAGTTGGATCAGCTGTATTTGGAATTGGAGGGAAAAGAGCAATCAATTAATATAGGAGATCACAGAATGTATGCAAAGAATATTCAAGAAAGAATGTTGAGAGTACAACCTTCTTTCTCATCATATGAGTTCAGTGAACCAATTATCTTCTAAATATCAAATAGCCAAATAAAGTAAAAGAACAAAAATGGAGCAATTGTAAACATCAAAACAAATTCAATTAAGCCAAAAAAGAAAAAGAAAAAATGATCTGTTCTTCTCTGAGATGTAATCTTTTACAGTAATTTCAATTGGAAAAAGTGAACTTTGCATGCCTGGCTCAGACGTAATATGCCATTTTATTAAATTACTGCTTGTTATTACTTGATTTATCATGTCCCCATTCCAGTTGCACCACTTTCATCTGAGATTTGAATTGATAATTTTGATACAGTTATATAACTATCAAACTCAGTATTAAATTCTACAAATTGGAACAGTCTTCCTTCCTTAGGATCCTTTTTGGCAGGTGTTTACCATCAGAACGAATTATTGCAGGAAAAACTCCAAAGTTACCCAGTGTAGTAGTGGGAATCTGTTTTGAGGAGGAGGAAGAACATAAAATGTCATACTCTCCACAAGAAGTTCCATTCATGGTTGGTAAATAATATTGCCATAAAGGAAAGCAAACACAGAAGCAATTCAGCCTACACTTGACCTTTTGAGAGGAAACCTACCATGAGAAACTACAGATCTCGCAACAATAAAGCTTCTGTAAAGAACAAGAGAAAGCCATCATCACTCTAGGATGAGGCATTTTCACGGCTCCTGGGGTTATCCCCAGTCATGGGCTGAGGACTTTCCATCCACACCAGACAAATCCATCAGAGACATTGACAAGGCACACAAATAAGACTTTGTAGCTTTTATTATATACAAATCATGCAAACACACTACAATATAAGAAGCCAATGCCTAAACACAGATTAAACAAAACAGGATACTGTGGTTGGCATCACCCATAGAAATTATAATCAGAAATACTTAATAGAACATGCAAACAAATATTTGGGGAATCTTATGAAAGATTGGGAAAGTCTAATTATTCTTTTTACAAGAAAGATGTGAAAAATTAACTGCAGGTTTTGAAAATTAGCAGTTTTGAACAACAAGCAGAAGTGTGAAATAGTAAAAGTAACAGGGGAACAAAGTTCTTGGAATACACACACACACACACACAATTGATAGAAAACTCAGAAGTCAAATTTTAATGTCCTTATTCTCACTGATGTTTTTCTTTCTTTTCCAATATAATTGAAAAATATAATTGACAAGCATCTCATGGGAAGGAATCCCATAACAGCACACCAAAATACCTGGGAGTCACTCTGCATCATGCTCTGACTTCTAAGAAGTACTGCTTAAATATCTAGCAAAAAGTGGGTGCTAGAAACAATATCATATGAAAGCTGAGTGGAATAACCTGGGAATCACAACTAGACACTGTGAAGACATCTGCCCTTGCACTTTGCTATCCTGGGGCTGAGTACATGTGCCCAGCACGGAATAAATCTCACTACATTAAAACAGTGGATATGGCTCTTAATGAGACATGCTGCATCATAACAGGATTCTACACCCAACATTGCTGGAGAAATTAAACTGTTTAGCTGGTATTGCACCACCTGACATTAGCTGGGAAGTAGCAACCTATAGTGAAAGGACTAAGGCAGTGATCTCTCCGGCCTATCCTTTGGAAGATGCTGAATAGGCTGTGCTCTGGCATCACAAGATGCAGAGGCAACCTTAAGAAATGGGGCTACAAAGTGGAGTCCACAACATGCAAAACAGAGAAGAGCAAACCACAGACCACCTACTACAATGCAACCTGCACCCGTCCACATACACAATGGAGGATCTTCTTACAGTGACACCAAAAGCAATCCAAGTGGCCAGCTTCTGCTCAAAGAACATTTAGCATAATGCCAATGTTTTTTTAACTTTGTGTTTTCAAAATACGTTATAACTGTACCTAATTTGCTTCTGACATGATAAATAAATATAGTTTTAATAGTTTGTAGTTAGCAGCTGATAGTGAATGTTGTATCTATGTTATGTCTTTGTGTTATTCATGCAGTCAGGCTGCTACAGTTGCAGATTTGAATTTTGCTGCTACAAGTATTTGTGGGTTTGATTAAAATGTTTCCCTAGGAATATCTAGGTTCTCCAGTGTGACTGGAAGCCCTAGAATTTCTCAGAACATCTTAATCAAATCTCTCAATAAGTCATATTCTTCTTCCATAGTCAGATGTTTCCTGTATGTTTTGCCTCCCTCCCACTTGAATCTGCCAAGGCTAGTTCTTCAAATCAGACACCACCAAATTTTATAAGTTGTGATGCCAAGGAGAATCAAGAGGCCCTCCTAATTCATCTCAACAAAATGAGGGTCCTATATAAAACACTCAGACCACAAAATCCAAGCAAGAGGTTTTCCGAAAACTGAATGAAAAAGATAAACCTCAGGAATAAGACGAACTCATGGAAAAGAGGCATTTGCAAAAGTCTTGCCCAACAGGATGCCGGTTTGATGATAAAAATCACGTAACTTTGCTAAAGTATGCACAAAAGTTCAAATTACAGTTCTACCGCCTGCTGGCAAAATAATTTTTGTTGTTTTGGGCAGAGAGCCCACAAACCAATTTCTAGCAGGACACCAAAATACTGAAAAGGAAGAAACAAACAAACAAAATTTTTTTAAAAAAGGAGAAATATCTTTTCATGTAAAAAAAAAGCTTGCTAAACCCTTTGTGTATTTCCAATATTGCATGGAAATTTAGAATACACATCTGGTATAAAAATGACAGCAGATCACTCCTACTGAGACTCCATTTGTTTTTTTGTCAGGCTGACAGCTGTTTATAACATTTACTACATTGTGTTCCTGGTTCTCGGTTTAGGACACTTTTGGAAACACAACGAAATCTGTACTTATAGACATATTTGCTGCTCAGGGGCCTTATTTAAGTTTTATATTATTCCTCTTTTATTCCATGCTACAAATCAAGACACCACACTTATAGTTCCCAAGGGATAGCTCAGCCCAATGTTGCTGAGCTTTGACAAACTTGCTTCAGCTTATACTAGGGATGAGGGAACATTTAGCCTTCCAGATGCTTGAGCCTCCAGATGTCTGCTTTTGGGCCACTACCCAGAATGGTCAATCACAAGAAATTGCAGGAATTATAGTGCAAACCATTTAGAGGACCAATGTTTGCAATGTCTGTTTACAATCGCAGACCCTGCCATAGGACATTTTTTAGATTAGGTGCAGAGAGCCAGCTCTAAAAGTTGTGACCGTCAAGTACAAACTATGGTAACAGTGACAAACGCTGATATGTCAAGCTTAATGAGAAATGGTGTGGAGTGTCATACAGCAAAGAAGAGTCAAGAAAGAGAGCAGATCTAATACTATGCTATTTAGGACTGGTTTTTATTAGAAAGTAAATGCTGATCCTCCTAGAATAAAAAAACTATCTGCCTCAGGCAGCAGGTGCTGGGGTAACAATTACAATTCACCCTTCATTTTGTGGAATTAAATTTTGTGGATTTGATTATTTTTGGAGTTGATTAATATGGTTTCTGTAGGAATTCCCTAGGTTCTCTATTACAACTCTCATGGCCAACTTCTAGCAGAAGTCAATCACGGAGTTGCACTGGAGGTCCTAGAAATGCCTGGAGACGTGTTTTCTCATGTTAACACAAAAACAGCATTTAAATTTTTTACAAGGATCCAATGCCTTTAACACCAGGATGTGTGGAGGGCCCACTGTATTCCCATTGGCCATTTCTCTCTCTTGGCAGATGGCACTGTGGATGCTGCATCCCCAAATTACCATATTCTTTGCCGCACAACCCCCGCAAATGAAGAACCAACACACATGAATGGGTTAACTAAGGACAATTTTTTATTAATGTTACATAATTAAAATCTATAAATCTCTCTCCCCCCCCCCCCAAACGGGCCTGTAATGCATAATGAACTTGACCATGAACTTGACAATGGACTTGGCATTGATTCAATGGTCATACCTGTTAGTTTCTCTGCATTTAATGTACAGACAATCTTCAAATTAGAAACAAGATAGGTTCTGTAGGTTTGTTCTTAAGTTGAATTTGTTTGTAAGTCAGAACAGTACAGTTTTTAAGTGTAACTCCAGCCATGTACACACACACGCACACCTGCTTTGGATAGCATAGGAAAGGGTTAACACCCCTTCCTAGGGGTAGATTTCTTTCACTTCCTATGATCTCACGCCCATTCTTAACTATGAGTCATTTGTAAGTCAAATGTTTGTAACTCAGGGACTGCCTGTACTGGCAGCAGATGGTCTTGTCCTTTGTCTAAGGCAGCAAAATGTTTTGGTTGCATGTTGAGTCTGGAACTGTGGACCTTTCTGCTTCAATGTGAACATACCAGAATAGACTTGTGAACACTCACCGATGCAACTGACACGAGAGGTTGCCTCTCCCATATCTTACACTCTCCTTTTATTTAGAACAATGGTTCCCAAACTTTGGTCCTCAACTTCCAGAAGCCCCAGTCAACTTAGTCAATAATAGGGAATTCTGGGAGTTGAAGTCTCAAGCATCCAGAGAATCATTGTTTGGGGATTCACTGGTTTAGAAGGTAGACAAAGGCAGCATCTGGAAAATATATTAGAAGACCACATTCTGTTGAATCTGATCTAATTTAAAACCATCACAGGAGGAAAAGATGGGGATGAAGAGAACTCTATTTCTCCTCCTCCTTCCACCCTCCCTCCTCTTTTTTGCTGGGTACAGAGATATAAAAGCAGTACTGTGAAGTATGTTAAAATTGCCAAACTGAAATCAGCCAACCAAGCAGACAAACACAAATGTGTGCCAAACTCCTTGAGAAAGAAGCACAAAGAATTATAATAGGAAAAATGTGGGAGGGAAGGCAGGGAAAAGGCTATGAAAACTTCTGCTGTCTCTCACACTCACTCATAGTT